GGTTGCGCTGCTTGGAAATTATTGTAATTACGATAAGGTTGTAGTATTGTACATGGTATGTCTTAGCCACGGCCAGCCACGGTAACGTCTGAGCCACGCCAATGTCTGAGCCACGGTAACGTCTGAGCCACGCCAGTGTCTGAGCCACGGTAACGTCTGAGCCACGCCAACGTCTGAGCCGCGCCGGTGTCTTAGCCGTGCCGTGGTCTTAGCTAACGAAACACTATGCGGGGTAATTCACCAGTAAATGCCTTATATCAGGAAAATAGTGTATGGGTGGTAGAACATAAGACTTGAGCAGCTAAGACAAGGTGAAAAAATGGTAATGTATCATAATTCCGTTTCTCTACTTTCAAGAGCTTATGCCCCAGTGGCGTGGCGCGTTGAGGTTACTTCTAGGTCTCAGGTTCGATTCCCGCTTATGCCATTTTTTGGGCTTTTCAGAAATTCTTCAGCGTGTCTTAGCCGCTCATGGGCGCTTCTGGGTGGCTAGTCAGGTGTAACTTAATAAGTTCCCGTGTCTAGGCCGCCGAACTGAATCAGCTCTCCAACCTTCAAACTGCGCAGATTCGGAAACATCGCGGACATAGACCGCAAGCGCATGAACAGAATCATATGCAGGTGTTTATTGAGCTCTGCGGAATCTTCATACGTCAGCCTCAGAGTCCTGACGCGTGCAGCATGTTTCAGGAATTGAGCCCATTGTTCGCCACCCAGTTCACGGGCCACGTCCTGCAACGGGATACCATAAATATGCTGATTGCACAAGGAAGACGTGCACTCACCGGACGAAATCCAGATTGCGCCAGCGTATCTCCGGGTAAGCACAAAAGGAGCGGTTGAAGGCGAGGCAAGTCCTCCCAGAGGATGTTGCTGGCGAGTTCATAGAACGTTTGACAGGTGGATGCCACAGCGGCAGCCGTGGGCCTTCTAGACTCCTCGACGGATTGAAGAATCATTTCCAGAATTTCTGATATCTGGAGGGCACGATGCATGGTCGGAGGCGGTCGCGGACGTGGATGTTTGAGCTCAAGGCGCGTCGTCTCTGAAGCACCGACTCAGGATGGTGCAAACTATACTCACACCAGGCCGCACTATCGTAGAAAATACTATACTTTTTTTTTGCTCATGATGATTATAGGCATGCAAAGGCCTTGAAGATACAAAAAGGTGTTTTACAGGCCAGAACGCGAACTACACTCTAACAGCTGTCCGCCCGCGCCTTCACCAATGCTCGTGCGACATAACGCCAGCACAGCTGATCAAGGTCCCAATCCTCGTCAGCAACGCCATAGCCATATTCGTGCTGGTATTTTGCATTCGGGTATACACGCAATATGTAGGCTGCGACTTGTCGCCAATGTTTCTTCCGGAGCGGAGAAATCCTGAACGCCAAGCTGATCGGGACGAGTGACCGTGCAAGTGGTGTCCTGAGACTGGAGACGGTAGAGGTTTCGATATTTGTCTCCAGATACTTCAGCATCGGCAGATGAGTTGCGAACCACTCCAGTGCATATAGTGACCAGGGCTGGGGGGCTTCATCATCATCGTAGTTGGATAATCCGGATGCCTGCAGAGATCGTAACGGACCCCTTTGGGAAGCCAGACACTTCTATGCATATTGAAGTTGTGGACATGAAACTGCCAGCTGATCTAAAGCTCGCAGCGTGGCCTCGTCTTATCTCCAATCGGATCGTCTGTGTCTTCGGGCTTAGTAAAAGAGGCAAGTGTATGGGAGTGTATGGCATTCGGTTGCCCCCTCAATAGAAACCCGATCCAAGCTGCACAGGTTCGGAAACACCGCGGACGTAGAGTTCGAGCCCGCATGAACGAAGTCGTGCGCACTGCGAAGACGTTTGATGAAATGATCTGAGTCTTCACGTGTCAGCCTTATAGTCGTAGCATGTTTCAGGAACCGATCCCATTATTCGTTGCCCTGCTCACGGCTACTTCTTGCAGCGAGATACCATCAATATGCTAGTCGTATAAGGCGGATGCGTACTCACCAGACAAAGTCCAGAGTCTGCCAGTATATCGCCAGGTAAGCACTTAAAGGGCGGATGAAGGCAAGGCAATGCCTCCCAAACGATGCTATTGCGTGCAAGCCACGGTAGTAGCGGCGGTAGGCAGTCTGGAGTTCTGAGCGATCCATAAAATGACCTCCAAAATTTCTGAGATCTGGAGAGCACGATGCATGGTTTTGAACGTAGATGTTCGAGTCGAACTCGCAGGCTCTCGACCCGCTATTGGAGAATTATAACGGGGCTTTCGTAAAGTCCGCTAATTAACTATTACAAACAGTTTGTTACCGCTGCACCCTGGTACCTCCCGCTTGCTCAGCTTCCACAGTTGCGCATAACATTCGCGTGGGTTTACGACTCGATGGCGCGGTGTCGTTGCCGTCTAAGGGAGGGCACAGAAACAGAAGTCTTTCCGCCCTCTACTTAAAATTCAAGTTTATGGCCCGTCAAAGTGGGAACCTGAAATCGGTTGACTCTTCCTATTTTTTTCTTATTTCCTCAATTTTATCCCACCCTTTATGAAGGTCGAAGGTGGACAAAAATAAATATCTTGTGTTCGCAGCGCTGAATCTTGTTTTTACAGCGGCCGACAGTTTATTTCACTGTAATATACCTAATTTATTAGTGTTATAGTGAATCTATGCACATCTATACTCACTGTTGTGTGTGATCATACAAGTAAGTGCACATTTTTTTCAAATCTGTGCCCCTGTACAGACACAACTGGGAGTTTGAGAGTCATGGGCATGATATTTATGTGCACTAGTTCTCATCACAGATTCTCCATATTTAGATATAACGATAGCTCAAACAGGAAAATCAATGATAAGCGCCGCGCGAAAACGAGTTCCAGACTGTGCGAGAACGAGTTTTGATGCGGACGAAATGCGGCTTGGGTGCATCCTTGTACACTTATTTTCAGTATTGCGCACAACGTCGAGTGTAGATGCATGTAGATTCACTAACATACAAATACATTAGGTATATCACAGTGAAATAAGCTGTCGACTGCTGCAAAAACAAGATTCGGCTCTGCGAACACCAGATATTTATTTCTGTCCACCTTCGACCTTCATATACCCTTACCTTAGGCTAAACAGTAAACACTGGCGCCCACTAGCGATTGGTATGAAGGTGTCTGTCAGAGCTTATTACGATTTCGCAACTCACGACGCGGAAAATGCATAGGCGCCTGGTGATAACGTGTAATAACGCGTAATAACGAGTGTTAACACGGTATCAGCATACAGGATTACACAAACCTGTAAACTTGTTCTGCTCGGACACCTTCATCCATGAATATTGGCCTTTTATAACAGGATAATGCACTGACAAGACCGATCTGCAGACATCTTGCAAACGGGCGGCATCTCTGACTTGAGTATGGAGCGCATGGCGAACCTGAGCTACAAGCTCAATATAGTATGCAGCTCGGATATTATCAACGGGATGAAGTGGGCCTGTAGAGTTAATGGTCGGGTTGGGCGGCACACAAAGAGTCAGCCTCTACACAGGCAGCTACGAGACAAGCAGGGCTTTCAATGGGCCGGGACGACCCTGTTGCCTGCAGCAGGCACAGAGAGCCGCGCACATGGTGGGCAATAAGACCAGCCTGACTATGGAAGGGGAGCATTGACAGTCTGGCCATTGATTACTGGTTTTGAGGTGAATCCACACGTTATTACGCGTTATCGCATGTTCTATGCCGGGATAAACCGAGATCAGGTGGTGTTGGGAGAGGCTGTGCTGCGTGATAACGCGTTATCACGCATGAAAACACGAATAAACGCACAATAACCCTGCGAAAAAAATGTGCATGCTGCGAATGCAGAATAAATTCCTTCATGCGCCTTCAGAGATTGGTTTTTAAAATTTGAACGTCGACGCCGAGGTTGGGTTCTCGTACAAAGGACTATCCGAAGCCTGTTATCCACCGCAAAGCATGTGCCTGCTTGCCCAACCATAGACACCCGCACTTTCCTAATTGACCAGCTTTGCAACCGAACCGTTCATCATCTGCCATGGCAAGATCTAGACGGCGACATGGACTGGCCGAATAATGCTCGAAAAATGCGCAGCAAGCCAGGCCAAGCTTCGATTTGGACCCCTTGGATTAATATCGTGCGTGAGGTTTGCTGTATTTATGCAATCGGACCCGAAGCCTATGAACTATCCGACGAAGTACGATTTTTTGGAGCTAGAGTACTAGTGGCCTGTTTAGGGCCATTCCTCGACGTACGAGAAGATCGAAGGTACTACCCAAAGCCCCAATCCGGTTCAGTTAGCCCTAGTCAAAAGTAACATCAGTGAGGGCGGGCCTCCACAGGCGGTCGCCTAGACATTGACGCCACAAGGCCGGCGGAGATTGAAAGTATGCGATTTGACCTCCTGATCTGATCCGCTCGCTGGCGAGTCCTGAATCAGTATACTGACTTGAGTCACCAGTCCTACACCGCAACCTAGGTCAGCTCAGAATATTTTGATATAATAGCAGAAACTCTCTCATCTCTGCGCCAGGAGACTGAAGATACAAACTCCTGCTTCAGTCACGAGGTTAGTCGGCAGTACCCGATACGCAGGCTATGCGCGCCAAACGCAATCTTTGGTTGTTAACTGCCGCCTCGAACTCGCTTGGGCAGGTGCCATTCAGGTTACCGCCGCGAGACCAAGATGCCATTGAGAGGCACAACCCATTCACATCTCGTCGGTAACGAGGCACCGTACTTTCAGACTCTGCAAGCACTCGACGATTGGGCATCCACACCCACCGCAAAGCTCACGGGATGCTTGCCTTACATACCTAGATCTGATGTTCAAGCGTCTTCAGAGCAGCGTGGAAAGCTTTTGGTGAGTATTTTTGGCGGTTTTCTCTAGGGACCTGCTGCTGACGCCACTGTAAGGTCTGCCACGACTACAAGGTCTTGTGAGCATCTTCCTGTCTTTCTGTGCGTTACTGACTTAGTCTTGCACACGCGCAGGGCGGATACACGGAGAAACCAGATGCTCTAGCATATACTTTTAATTTCTGGTCTCATTGCGATACTTTCATCTAGTAAGATGCGAGTCGAGCTGGCCACTTTCGGGGCTAACGTACGCCCTCAGCTTCGCTCACAACAGGGTCACCATCCCTCCTTCGGGATGGATCAACGCTGCACATCGCCAGGGCGTCAAGATGCTTGGCACTTTGTAAGCGGTTCCATATATCAGCTGCGCGCGTGCTGACCTCCATAGGATATTCGAGCACGCGGAGAGCGAGGCAGACTGTCTGAGGCTCCTTGTCGGACGTCTGCCGCAGTCCACGTCCGGCCCCGCTCGTCCCAGTCCCGCCAACTCCTTGCCTGCGTCCTCGCATTATGCGCGTCTCTTGGCGAACCTAGCTTACCAAAGAGGCTTCGACGGCTACCTGCTGAACTTTGAAGCTCCGCTGCGCGGAGGAGTGGAGCAGACCAGAGCGCTCACGCTGTGGATCGGTTTGCTCGAACGAGAGCTAAAACGACTAGTTGGAGAGCATGCCCAGGTCGTATGGTAGGACCATTTCAGTGCATCTATTGGTATGATGCTAACGAGCCCTATACGACAGGTACGACAGCGTCATCATCAATGGGCAGCTCCGATGGCAGGACAGGCTGAACGCTTTTAACCTCCCGTTCTTCTTACCTTCAACCTCGTTCTTTACGAACTACACCGTACGTCTCTTGTAGGCTACTGTTGCCCCAGGGCCTCATGCTTTCGCAGTGGCCGCCTCAGTACCCCTCGCTCATGGCTCAATACTTCCTGACACTGGATATCCAACAAGCAGACTCCAAGGCGAAGCAGCTCCGCGACATCTTCGTCGGAGTCGACGTCTGGGGGCGGAACCAGCACGGTGGCGGCGGGCTGTCCTGCTACAAGGCGCTCACGCACATCGATCCGCAGTTCCTCGGGCTCAGCGTCGCGCTCTTCGGCCAGGGCTGGAGCTGGGAGAGCGAGCAGGACAAGCCCGGCTGGAGCTGGGACGCGTGGTGGGCGTACGAGCGCACGCTCTGGGTCGGGCCCGCGGATCCAGCCGACACGCCCGACGTCGAAGACCCGCACCCGCCCGGGCACACCAACTCTACGTGCGCGCACGGCCCGTACAAGCCCGTCACCTCGTTTTTCGCGCTCGAGCCGCCACCGAACCCGGCGCGGCTCGCGCTCTTCACGAGCTTCTCGCCCGGCGTGGGCCGCGCCTGGTTCGTCGAGGGCCGCAATGTCTGGGACGCGGACGGTGCCGCGGGGTGGACGGACCTCGACAAGACGTGTGCGCTCGGCGACCTGCTCTGGCCGCGTCCCGCGCTCGCCTGGCACGACGCCGAGCGTGCCGAGGCACTCCCCGCCGCGCTGCCCGCCGTGACGATGGACGACGCCTGGCTCGGGGGCAGCGCCGTGCGCCTCATGCTCTCCGTATCCGGCTCCGCCGCCGCGGATGCCTTCTTTCGCTGCCTCTGGCTTCCCGTGCAGTCGCTCGCAGTCACGCCCGGCATGCCCTACATCCTCACGCTCGTCTACAAGGAGGACTTCGCGGCACACGGCGCCGAGGGCGACATCGGCCTCCTCGTCAAGCCTCTGCACGCTCCCGACGACGACATCGAGGTCACGCCGCTCGCCGCCGAGTGCGGCGAGCTTGCACACGACTGGCGCCGCCTCTCCGTGCGGCTCGTCCTCCCCCTGCCGCCCCCTACCGGCGCACCCACACGCGACGTCGCGTGCGCCGTGGGCCTCGTCCTCGGCTTCGCGACCGAGGACCCCACGCAGCCGCTGCAGCTCGGGGTCACACTCGGCGCGCTCGCCGTGCATCCCGCGCTCACACCGTCCGGCGCGCAGGCGGACGCGCGGCTCATCTGGGCCGACTTTGCGCGTGCGTCGTCCCCGCCCCCGCCCTCGTCAGCGAGTACCGCCGGCCCCGTGACGCGCTTCGCCGGGGTACTCACCTGGGAGGTCGGCGAGCACCTCGGGCCACTCGCGAGCATCACGCTCGCGGGCCCCGACGACCCCAAGCCCGCGTGGCCCTCGGGCGCGCGAGCCCCCGCCTTCGCATATTTTAACGTGTACGTGATACCGCACAAGGGCGAGGGCGTCGCGCTGCGGCCCGAAGATGCCGCCTTCATCGGCACAACGGGGCTCGACGGACGGGCAAACAGGTTCTACGTCGACCCCGCTTGCCTGCCGCGCGAGCTGGACAACGCCAAGGGCGCGCGTTTTTACGTCCAAGGCGTTACGGACCGGGCGACGGTGCTTCGCTGGGAGGACTGTGTCTATGTCGACGTCTCACCGTAGTGTGAAGAGCTACTGTTTCCGGGAGCGTATTCGAGATTTGTATGTACTATAGAGTGACAGCGCAGAAACGAAGAGATATTACACTGCTGGTATTATGTCAACAGAAAACGAACGAGTGGCAAATAATGTAAGCGATACATTGTGATAGTAGCAACCGATGGTACAGCAACCGATGGTACAGCAAAACGTGACCTTATCCCTCGTACGACGAATCCATGTCATCGAGATTAACCTCGTCCACGAACCTGTCCACCGCCTGGCGCATCTCGCGGATGAGAGCAGAACGATCCCACTCCGAGCGATGCTTCCACACCAGGGCCAGACACGCTGCGCGCAGCTGCTCCAGCTCCTCAACGTTGAGCGGCTCGGTCTTGTTGCACAAGTCGGCCTTCAGCTGCGCTACTTCATCCCCGTCGACAACGAAGTCGGGCAGAGGGGTAGGTGTGCGCGCGACGACCATCGGTTCCGGCTGTGGTTCTGGTACAGGGGTACGAGGAACGTCATCCACCACCATTCCGGTCTCAACGATACTGGGCACCTCGTGTGTTATTGACTGAGACGGAAGTTCGGCAGCATCGCCAACGCCGTTGGGCATGGGTGTGGGAACGGATGGTGTTGCAGACGGCGCACATACAGGGGATAGCTGAGTAGGCAGTTCCGATATGGAGCGCGTCGGCGTTGACATCAGATACGCTTTGTCCTCGGCATCCGGTGACATGGGATTGAGCAGCGAAGGATCGAATCCGCTTGGTTTCCGCGGTGACTCTGACAGCACATCTTCGCCTTGACCATCAGGTGGGTATTCCAGTGGAGCCCCATTAGCATGCCGCGTCGGGGTAGACGGGCCTGCCATCTGGGAGGTATCGTCGACAAAGCGCACCGCGAGCGACCGTGACGGCGATAATCCATCTAGCCCGACGGCGACAGCTTGGCCATCAGCCTCAGCGCTGGACACCCTCGACCGTTTTGCTGCATGCGCCTCATCACCAGGCTCCTCCTCAGACGGCTCCGCGGACGCCCCCGCAGACCGCGCACGCTTGAGCCTCCGCTCGAGCTTGAGCGGATCAGTGATGGCAAGCTCCGGCTGCTGGCCCGTATGCCGGGCGCTCCTCCTGGTGGGTTGGTTCTGGGCGTTTTGTGCCTCTTCGTCGGCCTTCTCCTTCGCCTTATTGCGCCTGTACTCATCGCGACGCTTGAGCTCGCGCGTCGCCATCCGCTGACACTCGAGTCGAAAGTTCGTATCGAAGTCCTGAATGCTGACCTCCGCCGCGGTAAGCATGGCCTGGGCCCTGAACAAGCGATCGGGGTCCTCGTTGGCACGAGCGTTGGCGTTGTGAACAATCTTGCGAACGTCGTCGAGGAAATCCTCAGGCGTGAGGTATCTGTCTCTGTACAAGTCCAGGTGCATGCGCTCGAGGTCGACGTCGAAAAGCTGAGGCTGGATCTGGATCTGCTCCTGTGCAACCGTCTCACTGACGCCGGCATCAACAGGCGCTTCAGCAGGGGGCATCGGCTGGTCGACGTCAATAACTTGTTCTACCCTCTGTTCTTCGTTAACGACCTCGACAGTGTCGCCGTTGGGGCTTCGCCGGACTTCAACAGTGGTGGTGATGGTCTCGACCTGATGTGCCGGCACGGAAACAGCGTCCTGTTGCCGCCGCTGTTGTTCAAAGTCCACACCGTACTCTTCCTAACCCTACCATGAGACTCAGCACAGAATAAAGAAATAGAGACTTACCGAAGCGCGCTTCGTGAAGCGCTTGAACTTGCGCTTCAATTCAGTGAGGATGGGGCCGAGACGATATCTGAGGAGAGTCTGGGTGCGCTGGTCGGCCTCTTGCTGCATAGCCAGCTCAGCCGCGGTGGGCTGACGGGGCTCCAGGGGAGGTGCTATCGGCAGCTCCTCCAACACACGCTTCTTGCGTTTCATACCGTCCGGGAAGTGATTCGGCGGCCGCGTGACGTCCTTGACAAGCTTCTCGAAGAACCCCGTCCTCTGTTCAACGGACGGCTTCGCCAGAGCGACTCGGTTATCCCGCGTCGGGCCGAACCAAGCTTTGACGTCCCTCGGCAGGGCAGCGAAGGGGCCGTCGACCACAGCGAGTAAGAGCACTGGATCTGTTGGTGCCAGGCTGTCCAGCATTGAGCGGACCGTCGTCCGCGCCGTCTCGGAAACAGCAGCACACCAACTCGACAGTGACGGGATGTATACCACTGACGGCTGATGCCGCTTCGCTTCGACGAATAGTTGAACGATGGCAGCTTCTGTTGTCTGTGTTCGTACCTCGTCAGCAAGAACTATAGCATATCTGCAATGACACCCACCCGTGTCGAGTCGCTGAGGAGGTTGCCGAGATCGAGACTTTGGGCATGATAGCCTTCTAGGTGATGCAGAGCCGCTGCAGCCACATAGGCTTGGCCCATCCCGACAGGTCCGTAGAGTACGACGCGCGGACGGTACACTCGCAGCGTCTCCATGGCTGAAGCGAGCTGTCAGCCCAGATAACCAATAACACAAAGTTAGACCACGGACACTGTAGCATGAGTTCCCGTTCGAGGGCGCTTTCTGGACTCTCCTCGTCTTCGTACTCGGCTTCTTCCAGCGCCGTCCGCTTCTTACCGACAGGAAGTACGTCATTGATGACCGACTTGATTCTATCTAGTGCGCTTTGGAGAAGCGGGGCGAGTTGCTCGGGGAGAGGGGATGCCGTAGGCGCGGTTGCCCTAGCTGACGACGGTACGAGCTCTAAGATAGGCGACCAATGAGAGAGCGTTGCAACCCGGACCATGTAGATCTACGCACTCTTGATAGATATCATGAAGTCACGAAGCTCGACGCTAATGGTCTCGGGCTTGAGGATCAGACGATCCGTGGACTTGTATATTTGCGGATATCGCCGCTGTACCGCATTCAGCGCCGCTTCCGTGCACAACGCCTGCGCACATATCAGTTAACATACCACAGACGACATCACAACGACGATACTCACTCTTATATCAGCACCGCCATAGCCCCTGGTCAGCTTCGCGAGGCCCTTGGCATTCTCCTCACCCTTCTCGCCTTCCCACCCTTCCCACTTCCGTGTCATGATCTTCAATATTCGCTCGCGCGCATCAAGAGGAGGCAACGGGAAGTAGAATTCGCGGTCAAACCGTCCCGGACGGCGCAGAGCAGGGTCGATCGCGTCCGGGCGGTTCGTCGCGCCAATGACGACAACCTGGCCGCGGCCGTCCATGCCGTCCATGAGCGCGAGGAGCGTCGACACAATGGACGCATGGATCTGGTCTTGCTTCGATGAACGCACAGGCGCGAGTCCGTCGATTTCGTCGAAAAAGATGATGCTCGGCTGCGAATTCCTGGCTTCCTCGAAGAGCAGTCGGAGTTGGCGTTCGGCTTCACCGACCCATTTTGAAAGGCAGTCCGCACCCTTGCGCATGAAAAATGCTATGGAGAGTCGGTCAAATGGGCATCACGATGCAGTAGAGCAGACGTACAGATGCCCTTGCCATTCGATCTACAGCTGGCTGCCAGTGCGCGTGCAAGGAGCGTTTTGCCAGTGCCAGGAGGCCCATGGAATAGGACGCCCCGTGGGGGAGTGACATTGAAACGCTGAAATACTTCTGGATACAGTAGTGGTAGCAAGGTCATCTCCTTCAGAGCATTAATATCTGCATTTCTGTTCAGTATCTATGTGCAAGCTAGCGCATATAGTGAGCACATACGATCATCCAGACCACCAACTTCATCGAAGGTCACGTTTTGACTTACGCCGAGAGGATCTGCATCCGCAAGGGCTACAAGCACGATAAGCTGATATCACAATGCGATAAATATCGCCACACACCAGCATCCCCAACTTTACCAAAGTTGGACGGAGTGCCCGCTGCTGCTGCAAGATCTCCAGGTAGTAGGCCACCGGTCCCTGCACTACCCGCAAACAGCCCTCCTCCTGCTCCGCCCATCCCTAGGTTCTTCCTTGGGGTGCGCGTTGGGAAATCGGAGTCCTGTCAACTCATGAGCTCGCGCATTACGCTAGAGCACAAGACGCACCGAGTCATCGCCGCCGCCGATCCACCTGCTCAATTCCGCTCCCGTCGCACTCCACCCTGGAGCCTTGGCGCGCCCGAACGGCCGCCCATTCGACCTCCCTCCGCCCCGCGGCTTAGGGGGCGGAGCCCTCATCTCCTCGATCGGCGGCGGGATCGCATAGTTGACCTTGGCGCGCTGTCGGAACGAGTACGGCTTCCCGTCGTTCTCCTGCTCCTCGACTTCCGGCTCACCCTCTGCATCTGCGTCCGCATCTTCTGCAGCACCGAGGCCAAGCGCATCCTCTGGGTCTTCCTCGACCAGCGACCCGGCTGCCGAGCCGCCCGAGGTGCTCGCCGACCCTTCGTCCTCGTAGTTCCCGTCCTGCTCGTCCTGCCTCGAGTTCGCGCGCGTGCGGCGCGAGCTTGTGCGGGGTGGTCGACGCTTCTGTTGCTTGCGCTTCGAGCTGGAGGCACGGCCGCCGGAGGTGCCGTTCGTCTGCAAGCCAGACGGTTTCGAATGGCTGCGGAGGAGGCGGCCACCACGGGCCGCATCGTCGTCGTCGCTCGATGCGATGAAGCTGTTGCGCTTCTTCCGGGTGCGTAGCTGGTATCGCGGTGCGTCGTCATCGTCATCGTCATCTTCTGCCCTTATGGGGCCGTCCTCTCGTTCGTCGTTGTCGTTGGCGTGCGGACCGTCGATCAAGTTGAGTTCGTCGCCGTCTCCGTCTTCTTCTAGGTCCTCGGCGTCGGACGACTCTTTGTAGTACCTCGCGACGAGCTTGCGACCACGCGAGGAAGTGGTCAACACCACTTTCTTCATCGGCTTTTCCTCTTCCTCTTCCTCCTCGGGCACGCCCAGGTCATCTACGTCCATGGATGCGTTACTGGCATGGTACTCTGAACCGGAGGCGTTCGAGTTGGTCCTCTGACGTGCCGAGCTGCGCGTATTGGGCATGGTTGGTAGCTTGAGAACAAGAGACTGGTTATGGTCCGGTGCTGGGGATGGGGATGGGAAATTGAAGTTGAACAAGCCCTGCTGGCTGTAGTTTGGTATGAGCAGCTTGTCGCTGGGGTTCATCGAACAAAACAATGGGCGAGAAAACAAGAACTGGGAAAGTTCCTGCAACGCCCCCGCACCCTACACAAGTCCTCGTCGTCCAAAGCCCGGGCAGATAGAGGTCGAAGATATCGGAGGTATGAAGTGAGTTCGAAGAGCCTATTGCGGCTGTGATTCGTGGCCCGCGGGAGAAAAAATCGGCCGTCGACGAGCAGGGGATACGGCGTGTGTTGTCCAAGACAGAGAAAGCAGCGTATGGTATGGCCCGAGTGATCGAGGAAGACGTCGACCACAGCGAGCTGGCTGTGTAACGTATTAGGCAAAGTCGCCATCCTCGAACTCGAGAGCCCCAGGGGAATTGTTTGGCCTTGTTTGGCGAGGCCACGTGGGCGGCCTTTATCGACCCACTCCTCCAACCTCGCTTGCTGTCGAATCGACAACGCTCGACATCGGAAGTTTGCTCATTCTACCCGCAGGGGCTCGCGAGAGGGAACCGCAGTCTGGAGCGGAATGTGGTGGTACGATGCGACTGCCGTCTTTCGCTCGATACCGGGGAAAGAACAAAGAAAATGGAGACGCTACGGAAAATGAATCCAGTCAACGCAAGCAGGTGGTGGTGCGAAAACAAGCTGCGAAACGCACCTTGGACAGCACGAAGTTCCACGGCCTCGTCGCTGTTTAGACTCCGTCCCAGCCGCCTGATCATTGGAGCGCCCGAACTAGCCGCTCGGTAGGCCGTCTGGGAAGTCTGGTAGCTTGTATCGCGTGCGTATAAGTAAACTCAAGGGGCACTCAGTCCAAACTCGTAAAGCGGCATGGAAAGGACGTTGGTTAGCCAGGGATATATATATATATATATTCTCGCAATTCGTGCGCTGCTCGCGAGGCGGTATTCCGTCTTTGCCTTCGTTCTACGCTGGGCCCCGCCATGTTGAAGCTGGATGGCCCACGACACATAAATATCGTGATGCCCATGCGTTGTAGTGGATTTGTCTATGAGAGGCCTCCTTACCTATAAGATCGACAGTTCAGCTCTCGAGGGATGATGACATCTTCGAGTTGCAATGACGCGTCGCGCACTAGCATCGCGAGGAGGAATCGTGTTCGACACATCGAGATGGAGAGCGCGTGCCCATTTTGCACATTAGCTGGCCCTGCAGGTTATAAAATCACAGTCTAACTGAGACTTAAGGGATGCAATGGCACTTTTGAACATGCTTATATAGGCAATGTACGATCCAAATTTGGTCATAGTATGTCGGAGGCCGCTACGATACTCAGTTGACTATCGGCTCAACAGTACTCCATGTGCGTGAATTCTCCTCTTCTGGCAGGTCCAGAAGTACGCTGTCAGAAGGATCCAAGTATCCTTGCGCGACGAGCTTGCACACCGGATACTACTGTGCCTTTGCCTCCTTCGTGGGATCGTGCGGCCGGCAGATCACCACAAAATTGAACCCATTTGGATCTAATAACTTGGTATCTATAGCTACAAACTGGTGAAGTGTGCATTAATTCGTCAATTAAGTGTCTAGAATGAATTCACGGCGATCACATGCTGATGAGTCATGAACGCATCCAGTTGTGCCTAATTTGGATCGGCGCTTTGCGCAGTTGCGGTGAGGCAGCTCTCTCGACTCGAGCATCTACGTCCAAAACTACATCCCCAACCAACACCATGCATCGTGCTCTGCAGATCTCAGAAATTCTGGTAGTGATCCTACGGGCTGCTGACAAGAAGTCCAAATTGCGTACAGCCGCTGCCATGGCTTGCACGTGTTGGACGTTCTGTGAGCCTGCCAACGACGTCCTTTGGGAAGCCTTGCCTTGTCTTCTTCCGCTTCTCAACTGCTTGTCCGGTGATGCGCCGGCAGATTCTGAACGTCATTTGGTGAGTCCGCGTCCGCCTAATACATAATACAACTTGCGTGTTCATGCCATCTCGCTGCAGGAAGTGACTCGTGAACCGGGCGGCGAACAGGGGGCTCGGTTCCTGAAGCATGCTGCTCGCGTCAAGTCTTTGATCCTGACGGATAAAGACTCGAAACACTTCAGGAAGCACCTGCGCACGATTTTGTTCATGCGCTCGCGCTCAGCGCTCGCGATCTTCCCGAACATGCATTATTTGGAGGTTGGGTTGAACTTTCTATCGACAAAAAAACAACCAACTGCTCTACACCTATCCCTTTTCCTGAGTCCGAAGACGCAGACAGTCCAATTGTGGACGGAAGACGAACTTTCATCGCAAGCACTACATCAGCTGGCGGTTTCGTGTCCGCAGCTTCGAAGCATAGCAGTGGACAACTTCCCGGTGCAATCCGTTGAAATTCTACGATCGTTCAGCGCTCTAGAGGAGATTTATTACTGGGACGACTACGGGACCCCAATTCGCCTAGCAGAGATAGCTCATCTGCCAACGCTACGCCATCTTACCATTCCGCTAGGCAGTGATCTCTCCGGCATCACGACTGCAGGCGATTGTGGCATGGCGTTTACCACTCTAGAGACACTTGAGTTGCGCGACTCTAGCTTCCCCCAAAGGGCTAAAAGTCTCGTATCTCTCTTTCAGCTCATCAGCGCTACACGTCTCCGACACCTTCACGTCGAGACCCCGTGCTTTGGCTTTCATGAAGACGAATTTGAGGTTGCAGATCAAGCCCTCAGCGCACTTACAAAGTTTCGAGAACTGCGCAGTCTACGCTTCGGCGATTACAACTCCAAGTTCTCAAATTTTCCTCCCCAGCCGATATTGAAGCTCCATAACCTCGAGAAACTCCATCTCAACCTCGGCAACTTGTCCCTGGCAAAGCAAGGCGTCATAGATCTTGCCAAAGCGTGTCCCAAGCTGCGACGCTTGCAGGTATCTGGATTCGGCCACTACAATGATGGGGGTCCCCAGCCCTGGTCGCTATATGCGCTGGAGTGGTTCGCAACTCATCTGCCGATGCTGGAGTATCTGGAGACAAATATCGAAACCTCTACCGTTTCCAGTCTCGAGACACCGCTTGCACGGTCGTTCGTCCCGATCAGCTTGGTGTTCTGGAATTCCCCGCTACATGAGGAACATTGGCGGCAGGTCGCGGCTTACATATCACGTGTATACCCGAACGCGAAGTGCGAGCTCGAGTATATATATGGCGATGATATTGCCGACGAGGATTTGAAGTCCGCAGATAGGCTGCGGTGGCGTTATGTCGCGCGAGCATTGGCGAAGGCGCGGGCGGACAATTGTTAGAATGTGGTTCGCGCTCTGGCCTGTAGAACTTCTTTTTTTTTGTATTTCAATGACCTTTGTATGCCCATCATCCTCGTGAGCAAGAAAATTGTGGTATTCCCTACGACAGTGCGGCCTGGTGTGAATATAATCCGCGCCGTCCTGAGACGGCGCTTCAGAGACAGCGCACCTTGAGCCCAAACATCCACGTCCGCGACCGCCTCTGACCATGCATCGCGCCCTCCAGATCTCAGAAATTCTGGAAATGATTCTTCGATCAATCGAGGAGTTTAGAAAGCCCACGGCTGCCGCTGTGGCATCCACCTGTCGAACGTTCTATGAACTCGCCAGCGACATCCTCTGGGAGGACATGCCTCGTCTTCAACCACTCCTTTCGCTCTTACCCGGAGATATGCTGGTGCAATCTGGATCTCGTCTGGTGCGTGCACGTCTTCCTTGTGCAATCAGCATGTTTATGATATCCTGTTGCAGGACATGGCCCGTGAACTGGGTGGCGAACAACGGGCTCGGTTCCTGAAACATGCTGCACGTGTCAGGATTCTGAGGCTGACAGATGAAGACTCCACAGAGCTCAAGAAACATCTGCGTATCATTCTGGTTATGCGCTCACGCTCTACATCCGCGATGTTTCCGAATCTGCGCAGCTTGGAGGTTGGAAGGGGTTTTCCGTCGAGAGGGCGACCGAACGCCACACACTTGCTTCTATTCCTAAGCCCGAAGACACGGACGGTCCAGTTGAAGACGGAAGACGAGTTTATATCGCAAGCTCTAGATCAGCTGGCCATTTCATGTCCGCAGCTCCAATGCATAGAAGTGCCTAGCTTCCCAAGGGGGTCGGTTGAAATTCTATCATGCTTTGACGCTCTGGAGGAGATTCGTTGCTCGGACAGCTACCGTGGTGGCGACCCGGTTGATCTAGCATTTATAGCTCGTCTACCAATGCTACGCCATCTATCTATTCCGCTACGCGACGATCTCTCCGGTATTGCGATTACAGGCGATCGCGGTACAACATTTGCTGCTTTAGAGACACTCGAACTGCGCAACATTGACGTCGCCTCAAACCTCGTGTTCATTCTTCAGCCTATCCGCTTCACACGCCTTCGAAACCTCTCTATCAAGCTCACCAGCTGTTATGTCGATCAAGAAATCGAGGTTGCAGATCAAGCCCTCAGCATGCTTGCGAAATTTCCAGAGCTGCGTAGCCTACACTTTGGCGGATACAGCTCTAAGAGCTCAGCATTTCCCCCGGTGCCGGTCTTAAAGCTTCACAACCTTGAAGAACTCCATCTCGACATCGGTAGCTTGCTCCTGTCGAAGCAAAGCATCATAGACCTTGCCCAAGCGTGCCCAAAGCTGCGACGCTTGCAGGTGTTCGATATGCACGGCCTCAATGAAGAAAACCTCCGACCCTGGTCGCTGAATGCACTGGAGTGGTTCGCAACCCACCTGCCGATGCTGGAATATCTAGAGACAAACTTTGACACCTACACTATTCACACTCTCGAGACACCGCTTGCGCGGTCGCTCGTCCCGATCAGCTTGGTGCTCGGATTTTTGACCCTGTTGCACGAGAAGGATTGGTGGCATATCGCGGCCTACATATCGTGTGTGTACCCGAACGCAAAGTGCGGGCTCGGAAATAGCTGGGACAGTGTCGCTGACGAGGAATTGCGGTCTGATCAGCTGCATTGGCGTTATGTCGCGCGAGCAGTGGCGAAGGCGCGTGCGGACAATTGTTAGAATGTACTTTGCATGCCATTAATCCCCATAAGTAAAAGCTTTTGATATCCGCCGCGGCGGTGCAGCCTTAATCCAAGATCTCCGTTGTGGGTTTGCGTCGCTCGACATCCCGAGGCGGCGCTCCAGAATCGGCGCGTCTTGAGCCCAAACATCCACGTCCACGACCGCCTTTGACCATGCATCGTGCCCTCCAGATCTCGGAAATTTTGGTAATAATTCTGCGATCCATCGAGGGGTATAGCAAGCCCACGGCTGCCGCTGTGGTATCCACCTGTCGAACGTTCTATGAACCTGCCAGCGACATCCTCTGGGAGGACATGCCTCGCCTTCAACCGCTCCTTTCGCTCTTACCCGGAGATACGCTGGCACAATCTGGATTTCTTCCGGTGCGTGCATGTTCTCCGTGTGCAATCAGTATGTTTATGATATTCTTATTCTACTGCAGGACGTGGCCCGTGAACTGGGTGGCGAGCAGTGGGCTCGGTTCCTGGAACATGCTGCCCGTGTCAAGATTTTGGAGCTGACACCTGGAGACTCAGAACCGTTAATGGAGCACCTGCGCATAATTCTGTTCATGCGCGCGCGCTCAGCAGTCACGATCTTCCCGGACTTGCGTGACTTGGAGGTTGGATGGGGCTTTCTATTCCAACCAAGCATCCTACACCTGCCCCTTTTCCTGAGCCCGAAGACCCAGGTGGTCCGATTGTGGACAGAAGACAAAATCACGCTGCAAGTTCTATATCAGCTAGTGGTTTTCTGCCCACAGCTTCGATGTTTAGAAGTGCCTGGATTCCCGGAAAGACCCAATGAGATTCTCTGGTTTTTCGAGGCTCTGGAGAAGATTCATACCTGGAAAAATCACGGTCATCCAGCTGACCTGACGGTGATAGCTCATCTACCAACACTACGCCATCTATCTATTACGCTACGCGAGGATCTCTCCGGTGTTACATTACAAGCGATCGCACTACGACATTTGCCACTTTAGAGACACTCAAGTTGCACGACGTTGAATATGTCTAAAGTCTCGTGTTCCTCCTTCAGTCCATCAACACTACACGCATCCGAACCCTCTTCGTCGAGCTCACGAGTTGTTCTGAAGATGAAGAAATCGAGATCGCAGACCAAGCCCTTAGTGCACTTGCAAAGTTTCCAGAAATGCGCAGCCTATGTATTGGCGATTACAACTCTAAGTTCTCAAAATTTCCTCCAGAGCCGATCTTGAAGCTCCACAACCTCGAAGAACTCTTCCTCAACCTCGGCAGCATGACCCTGACAAGACAAGGCATCGTAGACCTGGCCCAAGCGTGCCCAAAGCTGCGACGCTTGCGGATACTCGTCACCTATAACTATAATGATGAAGACACCCGACTTCGCGACTCATCTGTCGATGCTTGAATACCTAGAGAGACTTTAATACCTCTACCGTTCCCGCTCTCGAGACACTGCTTGCGCGGTCGCTCGTTCCGATCAGCTTGGTGTTCGGAAATTCGAGTCTGCTGTGCGAGGAGCATTGGCGACAGGTTGAGGTCTACATATCGCATGTATACCCGAACGCGAAGTGTGAGCTTGCCGGAGACAGCGATAGTGTTGCTGATGAGGACTTGTGGCTTTATGAGCTGCATTGGCGTTATGTGTTGAAAATGCAAGCCCCATCGTGGGCTACATCGTCGAGAGGAGGCAAACGCGCAAGCGTTCGCAGTCTATTCGGCGGGTATTTATCTACACTACGAATGTCTCAGGTACGAACGTGGGCGCAATATAAGATAAATACAAGTAAAACAACATGCGCACGAGGCGCCAGTGAACACGAGCTCGTGATCCAAAAATCTAACATTATGTTGCGCGAGCGGTGGCGAAGGCGCGTACGTGCGGGCAGAGGCTGCCAGAGTGTGGCTCGCGCGTTCTGACCTGAAAATCGTACTGCAATTGTATCTTCACAGGTCTTTGCACGCCATCAGTCCCTACGAGCGAAAGCTTACGATATTTACGTGCAGCCAAAAATCAAGGTTTCCGTTTTGGACCCGTGTCGCTCGCCACCCTTCGTTACCCCGAGGCGACGCTTCGGAGTTGTCGCGCCTTGAGCTTAAGTACTGAAATCCTAATAAGCTGCATTGGGATTGTATCTCTGGAGCGATAGTTGCAGCTCGTGCGAACCGAGGTACGGAGAGCGGGTAGAGTACTTGTAGCCCGCATTCTTGGACAAAAGCGCATATGACATCCACGCAGTCCACATCCCCTAAAATAAAGATACGAATAGACAGACGGCCCAATTAATGACACTGCTTAGCTATTATCCAAAGCACAGCCTGCGGTGACCACATGCTTTACCGTGTGGGCCCGGGCTCCTCACCGTCGTCGGGCTCGGACCGCTCACCGGCGAGGTCCGTCCTGTCGACCGCATTTTGCTTGTTACCGAGGTAGTAGTTCGGCATGACGAGCGCGCACAGGATCGGGAGCACGGCAATGCACGTCGCAGCAATACAGAGGACCTTCATCGTATCGTCGTACGCGCCAATGACGCCCTCGCGTATCGGGTTCCCGCGCGGATACTCCGTCACCGACGTGATGCTCCCGAAGAGCTCGGCACGCTGCGCGTCGGACAGCTGCGGCAGGTGTTTCGCGAGTTGCTTGGGCATTGTGTTCGTCCAGACCGCGCCGGCTGTAAGCAGAGGTTTTAGTGAGAGCAAAGGCTCCGCACGAAGGTGGACGTACCAATCGCGGTGCCGACGCTGCCGCCAATCTCGGTCCAGAGCAGGACAACGGCTGTGATGATGGCGACATCGGCGTGCGTGACGGACGCCTGCGCACCGACCTGCGACGTGGCGGCAGCGATGCCGCCTCCAAAGCCCTGGAGGATCTGCGTCCAGACAACCTCGGCATCAGACGCGTTAGCGCCACGCGAGTGGATCATCAGGCCCGCGCCGAGCAGGCGGATGCAGAGGCCGACGACAAGAAGCCACTTGTAGCGGTGCATAAAACGCATGAGGATGCCAGCAAGAATGCCAAACACCGTCAGAGCGACGGTCTGCGTCGAGGTGAAGTACGTGACGTTGATGAGCGGCCAGGGCTTGACGACGAGGATGAAAGAATATAGGTAGGTGTTCGTGAGGTAGAAGGAGACAAAGTCGAAGAAGCCAATCCAGGTCGCGCCGATGAATGCACGGTTCCTGAGGAAGCGCGGCGGCATGATCGGGCGCTTTGCGAAGCGGGTGTCCCAGACGATGAAGACAAAGAGGAGGACGATACCAATGACGAGCATCGCAATCATCGAGGCATTGTCCCAGCCGCCCTTGGCAGTCTGGCTGAGCGTCAGAGGGAGAAGAATGAGGGCGACGGACGCGCCGAGAAGGGTGAGTCCAACGAGATCGAGCTGCTCGGAGAAGTTCCAGACACGCTGCCAGAGGTTGTCGCCGACGAACGCTGTCGACGGTGGAGTGAGGCCGAGCCGCTTTGCCTTGCGCTCGGCCCAGCAGAGAGTGACGATGAGCGGCGCTAGTGAAGCGGGGATAAGAATGGCGAACATGCCGTAGCCCCATCGCCACGTCGAGTGCTCGAGCACGCCAGTCGAAACGTTCGCGCCAATGAAGGCGTTGATGATGAACGGCGCCGAGGTCAAAGCTGACACGAGACCACGCCATTCGAGCGTGGTAATGTCGGCAATGATGATCTGGGTGAGCAACTGCAGGCCGCTATGGAGAACATGAGACTCTCGATAGTGAGTAAGCGAACCGCAAACTCACGTGTATCCGCTATAAACAGTGACCCGTCACTTGAGGTGAATCTCGTGACATGATGGAAAGAACGTACACCGCGTAGAGAATGATACCGACGGCAATGGCGCCGACACTGTGCGCAGAGGCAATGACGATGTAGCCAAGAACGTAGAAGAGGACTGGAAAACGTATTAGGCACGGCACGCGTGACGACAAATTTAAACAAGAAGCCACTACTCACGGACGGCGATGTAGGCAGTACCGCGTGATGTGGTGTCGGCAAGCTTCGCCATGACAGGCTTACCACATGCAACTGTCCGCAGCCTGTCAGTTGGAATTCAATTGACCATCACGGCGCAGAAAACATACTGATGATCGACTGAGCGACCTGAATGGTTGATATCAGACTGTGCTCCTCGAACGTGGAGGCAGCATAGGCCAGGTAGGTGTACGTCGTCGAACCATCTAGCGAATAGATGTACGACGCCAGCGCAAGACTGCATCCCGCGAGATGAGCAGAATGGTACAAATGCGGTGCAAGAGGAGTACACGTACCCGATGAAGAGAAACCACTTCGAGTACTTGCCGTAAACCTTTTCTGCCGCTTCAACGGTCTTGACACCGACTTGTGCCTCGTCTGTATCCGCGAGCACGAAAGAGCCGGCGTGGCGCGGATGCGCGCCCTCCCATCGCGGTTTGTCGCTTTGGTCTGAACCGGTGTCTTTCCTGACGAGCTCCATGGCGGTTCCAGCGGGGCAATGGCGGGAGAACGGCAAACATAATTCCGTGTGAGCTCTTCGTTTTTATGTCTTCCGGACCCTGCAAAATATACCGCACCAAGTGAGCGGTAGAAGACCCCACCGCATGCAAGAGATCAAATTCTGTGGAATATCACCTAATTCTTGAATCTTATCTGATACCGGCCGAGATCTAATCGACTTCGACCTTATCAGATAAAAAGGGCGCCTATAATCGCCGAGCTTTCTCTCGCTCTTATCTCCCGTGTACTCCTCGGCAGCGAGAAGAACGTGAGACGGACCCGCAGAGCTCTAGAACCACAGGCGAGCGCTCGAGAATAAGCCTTCAGTTGCCCCTCTTGCTCCTGAAATCAAAAGTTGACAGGAAGGTTTCTTGTTCAGGGCCAACTCATCCAAGTCCAAGAGGCGCTAGCTAGCGAATTCGATATCTCCATTCCTTGCCAGGAGTTTGCCAGGAATGAACCTAACGGTAACGAGAGGTTAGGCCGCAGCCGCTATGCTTGGAGGACCGTTGTGAGCAGAACATGTGCGCGACAGCGATCGCACCACTTTCCTTGCTCCATGCGTGCCTGGCCCTGCACCTCCTGGGGTTTATGGCCGTGCCAATTTGCGAACGTCGGACCCGGACCCATTACGGAAGAGGCTGAAACACGGTGATCGGACACGCGCAACTTTGAGCAGGTGACGTCGTCTCCGAGGCTAGAAGTCCGAAACACTCAAGCGTAGCATGTCTACATCTTGGCAAAGAGGGTAACATCCCCGCACCTGACCACCGCCACTTTCCTACAGATTTCGTCAGTGCAGAGCAAGCAGACGCACCTAACTAGAAGACAAGCGAACCAGAGGCAGCCTCAAACGTCCCTCTTGAGGGTGGTCGCGAACACGATATATCCATCTATTATTATCACCTACGAAAAATTCCCTTAAAGTAGTACGCTACAAGGTATGGTAGTACACGAGAAAGTAAAATGCTACAGCCACATGCGGGTATGGTCCATGAACGATGATAGGATGTTTATGTGAAAGAAAGAAAAAAAAAGAAAACCGAGTTACCGTAAACGAGGAATAAGATAGAGGTAGTCGAAACGACGGCGACGCTCAGATGAGGCCCTGTTCGGTGTAAAACTGGTAGGCATGGCTCAAGAGCACCTTTTCGTACTCGAACCAGTGCGCCTCGGTCTCGTGCTTGACCAGGTGGCGTTGGCCCGAGTCGACGGCCTTGACCTGGACGCGGAACGCGGCAGACACGGGGCGGTGGTCGGAGACGTTCGGCTCCCAGCGGCGGTAGTGCAGCTGGTGGACCCGCGACGGCTCGCGCGAGCGCCACAGGACGCGGTCGCACCACGCGGGCACGCGCCGCTTCTCGGACGTGTCGTATTCGTCCGACCGCCGGTCGTACTTGTACGTCGGCGCGAAGTGGAGCGGGCCCTCCATGAAGGTGCGCAGCCGGAAGCCGCGGTTGAGCTTCATCTCCTTCAGGAGCTGGTCTTGCGCCATCAGGTGCTGGAAGTTCCCAGCCTTGACGTCAGCGACGGCGGCGTCGCGGCGGAGGTCGATGCGGTAGTTCATGTCGCCATTCAGCTGTGCACGGGGTTAGCCAAAGGAGCTAGCTTCAGTGGCAGCGACGTACGAAAACGATCTCGTGGTCGAGGACCATCGACCCGTCTCCCCCGTTGATGAACGCGACTGGCTCCTCCAACATGCTGACCTCAGAAGCGAACAGCTCCCTGTCCTCCAAGAAGGCGGCTATGTCTGCGTTCCGCTGGCGCACGTGCGATTGGCCGGCCGCAAGATGACAATTGATGAAGCAGATTGAAGTATCGTCAACGACAAAGCGACAGATGATGCCGCCCTAAAACACTCGTGAATGATCTGGACATCCATCAAGCTTGAGATCAAAACACACCTTATTGCCATACCGCCCACCCATCCCGCGTTTGACAGTAGTGAGGGCGGCGTGCCGGAGCGACGGCCGCAGGGTATCTTTGACGAATATACAAGAGAACAGGCCGACGAGGTTCTCGGTGTGGATGACGTAGTACGGGGAGTCCGCGGGCAGCGCGAGGCGCACGGACTGCACGAGCTTGTCGTACCACTTCTTGTACGACGTCGTCACCCGCTGCGAGAGCGCGCCTTCGGGGTTGCGGTTCTTGCCGCCGAGGAGCACGGTCTTGGCCGCCATCTTGCGGCTCTCGAGGTCGATGAGCTCCTGAAGGCCGAACGCGATGATGTCGGGCGCGTCGACGCTCGTGAGCACCTCGTGCAGGAAGTTGACGTTCTCGGGTGCGCCCACGAGCGCGTCGGGCTTCTGCGAGTCCAGGTTCCAGGAGACGACGAGCACGTTGAGGTCGCGGAAGGAGCTGAACTCGTGCTCGCGCTTCATGAGCTCCTGGTCTGCCAGAGAATGAGTCCAGCCATCCTTTCAAACAAGAACGTGTGAGCAGCGCAGCGCACCTATCCAGTCCGCACCCAGCAGCCCATCCCAGAAGCGTATCCGCTCGTCCCGTCCCACGCTGTACACCGCCAGCTTGCCCAGCTTCTGTATGCTCCAGGTGTCGATGGCGAGCCTGAGGACGGGCAGGCCCTGGTGCGCCATCCAGCGGTTCGTCATGACCCACGGCTTGAGCGTGACGTCGAACGCCGCGATCATGCCGTTGCGCGCCCCGGCCCAGAGCCGGTCGTTCACGCCCTCGAGAGACAAGATGTCCGACGTCGAGACCTTGACGACCTCGTCGCACGCCGGCACGCCGTCCTCGGTGTCGAGCGCCCAGATGCTGACGTTGCCGCCCTCGTGGCCGAGGAAGACGCGGTGCGGCTGCGTCGGCAGGACCGTGCCCGACGTGACCGCGCCGAGGTGCTCGGGCGGCAGCAGCGACTTGCCCGCCGTGCCGGGCGTGAAGACGTCGTACACGCGCACGATCGGCCCGCGCGACGTGCTCGCCGTGTTCGAGTTCGTCGAGTCCCGCGTCGACGCCCACAGCCGGCCCGCGAGCACCTTCGCGAACTCCTGCCGGTCCGCGACGCGCACGACGCGCGCGGGCGTGTGCGCGAGCAGGACGTCCGCCTCGCCCTGCGCCTCGGGCACGAACACGAGCGCCTTGCCCGTCTCGTCCAGCGTGACCATCGCCTGGCCGTACCGGAAGATGTGCGTCACCGCGTGCGAGTGGATCGCGAGCTTCATGCCGCAGACGACGCCCGCCTGGATGTCGAGCTCGAACAGGTGCCCGTCCTTCGTGCCGATCCAGAGGAACCGGCCGTGGTCCGTCTCCTTGTGCGAGGCGCGGAACTCGATGCTCGTGATCTTGAAGTCCTTCATCTTCGTCTCCATCCCCAGCGCCCGCGCATCCAGATCGTGGACGGGCGTGTCGGCATGCGACAGGTCGTATATCCTGATGTGATGTCCTTGCGCAGAGGCTACGGTGAACCCCGTCGCAACCGCGATTCCGACGTACGCCGGGATGTAGATGTTCGAGTCCGAGAACACATGGGCGCCAAGCACAGGCGGCCGCCGCGAGGCGCGGCTCGCATCGGGAAGTAGCTCGACCTTCACTTTCAACTCCTCTTCCTCTTCGTCGCTAGAAGAACCGGACCCAGGCGGCGGCCGACGCGCAGGTGGAAGCTTCTCGCCCGGGGCGATGGTACGCGTGGGCGGTGGCAGGTGCGTGCCAAACGTCTTGCGCTCTGATGGCGGTGCCGGCTGAGTAGACTCCCTCTGTGCAGGCGGCGACGCAGTGGGCGGCCCGTCTACAGGCGAATCCTGTAATAGGTCGACCGCAGGGGAACTGGTCCGCGGGGGGACCTCAGGGGGAACGTTGAGCGAGCGATGTCGAGGCGGAGGCGGGACACGACGCGTAAGGGAATCGTCTGGCGAGTGTGCGGGCGACTGTGCAGTGCCTCTCCGCGCGGGTAATGGTGGTGGTGTGCAAGAGGTGCTCGGAGTACTGGACTGTACACTCGCCAGGGATGATTGGCGGGAGGTTGGAGTGCTGCTCTTCGGACGCGGTGGCGGCGGCGGCGGCGGTGGGGGAAGATGTGTTATTGGCTTCAGTGGAGAGCTCACCACACTCGTGTAGTACCCGTCACTCCCAGATGAAGTTGAAGACAAAGTCCCAAGGCTCTCGGACGATGCAGACCTATCGTGCTCGGGTGATGGATTCCGACTTGAGGCAGCCCCGTTTCTACGGTGAGGTAGCGGCGGAGGGCGAGACGAAGGAGCTTCCTCTCCGTCAAACGGGCCGTCCAACTGGATGAGGGGTGTCGATGCGTACGGCGGGATGCTGAGTGGGAGGGAGTGCCGTGGTGTGCGTTGGGCATCGACCCGTGCGCTGGGGTCATTTGTAAGGACGCTAGCCCCAGAGTGAGATGCTATGCGGGGCGTGGGATTTCGAGGCGCAGTTGGTACCGCGTTCCTGGGGGACAGATGTCAGCGAAGCGTCTCGATAACAGCTACAGCGCCCCGGAAAACATCCATCGGACACCTGTGGGGACAGCCATCCCTGAGGAGATGGCCCAGAAACGAACAAGGAAATCTTCCGATGATCCCAGGCACTGGTATATAATAACTCGAAATCGCCGTGCAGCCTCAGGGAACCGCCCCCAACCATTTACAGCCAGCCAAAGCAGCCCGTTGGCGAACTGATGCAGCATCCGGCCGCCGAATACGCTCTCTGCATCAGCTTCGAAGCCCGCGCAGGATAGATATCTCGTCACAGAAGCTTCGTTGCAGAGCTTGTTGCAGAAACGGCATTCCAGCAGACGCCAATTCGAAGAGCCCTGCAAGATCATCGTGCGAGCAAGCGTTCGAGACGCGAACAGTTGCTCTGAAGATTTTGGACTTGTGCGACAAACCATTGCGGCCGCCCTGCAACGACCTGTGGAAGCTATCCGTTCTTCAACTCCGCCCACCCACAGCCACCCGGACATCCAAAGACAAGCCGATATAAGGAAGAGGGCTCACCCGAACTTGCTGATCAAGGAAGCAATCCCAGACTCCTTTGATGCAGGAGACAGGTCCCTTGAAGGCGCAGGGCTGGGAGGAGGAGGGGGCTTCCGGTGTAACAGGGCAACTCTGTTGGGCGGCGCGGTGTGTGTGGGCGACGGCGGCTCGCTCCTCATTGGCACAGGGTACACGTGCGGACTGCTAGTGGCAGAGGGCGCCGGAGAGCTTCCCTTTGAGCTCCTGGGAGGGGGCGGGGGCGGCTGCTTCTTCTTGAGGTCTGAAGACGAAGAGGCGGACCGCAGTGAATGCGGACTGCTAGGAGGCCGCTCGTCCGGAATGGACATGGCGCGGGGTCTTGGACTGCCCGAGTCCGGGGTGAGGAGGTCCTGAGACATGGAGAGTCTGTTGAGAGAGGTTGTCGAGGACGACTCGACCGCGAGCTTCTCGAACTTGGAGCGGAGGCTGCTGACCGCGGGGGCGGGGGTCTCCTCGACCTGAGGGGGGGGTTCGGAAAGCATGTGTGCTGCGTGTGAGACGACCGGCGACCACGAGAATTGCTCTGCTCGAGCGGGCAGACGTTAAATTATGCGACAAGATGAAGAGGGCGGGCAACGAGCGAAAACGGGCTGGTCGTTGTGGGCCGATGTCTGCTTTCTGCCCGCGCGGATGAATTCATTGGCGCTTAAATACCCACGTGGACCAGACGCTGCTGGGCTCGGCGCCGTGCAGATGCGTACTGGGAGTCTGGGAGGCTTACCGCGGTATCGCGCCCAGTCGCGTCCTGCACAAATTGACACTCCGCTGATGACTTTTTCCGGAAAGAGACGCAGCGAAAGCTTTTCCTCGCACCAGTTTCTGCCCCTGTGTAACGTACGCACAACAACTCTCCCTCGTATCCTGACGCATTCACCACAGAGATTTTTCAGTCTGGGAGTATATGATTCTATGGAGGACGTTCGCCCGGACCAACCTCACGTCTCCCAAGTCCCTACCGAGGGCTTCTCCGTTGGTTCGCGTACGATGCAAGTCCACCACTCCTAGACTTGCCAAGGCCGTCCAAAGCCTCTCGTCCTCTCTCAGGAAACGGCTAGTTGATGACCGACACCTTGAGGCACTGGACTACTTCTATCTCTTCATGAAGAAAAGGAAATTAAGCCCCGAGGGACGCTTCGAGGCGTATTGGCGGAGCATCCGACTCTTCATGGTTCACGGCCAGCTTCGCGCCGCGTACAGCTTGTACAGCCGGATGCAGGACGAAGGTTACATACCGCCCCAGCAGATTCAGGCCAGCATGGTCGTTCTCTACAAGCTTTCGACCGGAAACTCAACCTGGTCTCTGACTGGAGCGGCGGAGAAGGCCTTTGCTCAGGAGTCGTTTGATGAGGAAGAGTTTCGATATCTGTTGCGCATCATCTCCTCTGTGACGCGACTTCCGCCGGCTGTGTACGACGACCTCATCCAGCTCTTCATCAAGTCCCGTGGAAAGGAGAATTACACGCTGTCATCCAAGACCGAGTCACTGCTAGCGTATATACGTACTCGACGTGAGCGGATGGGGGAGGTACGGGAGACCAACTTTCCCGCGGAAGAGGGGCCTCTTGCAGACCGCACGACGGCGCACGAACAGGAGCTCAAAATGCTCCTCAACATGGCCAAGAAAGACCCTGAGATCGCACCTATCATCCACTCGACCATTCGCAGGATGCGCCACAACGACGAAGCGCACGGCCGCACTCTCTACAACATCATGATGTCTGCTCTGGCGGACAGGCGGCGATACGCCGACGTCTTCTCCGTGTACAACATGATGATCCGTGGTGACAAGTCTATCCTTCCCAACGCATACACGTTCGGCATCCTCTTCCGCCTCGCCAGCCGCTTTTCTGGGCCGCGCACGATCCACAGCCGCAAGACCAAGGCGCCCAAGGACGTCCCCACCATGCGCGCCCTCTTCCGCGACATGGTCTACTGCCACCGGATCCAGACGGGCAAAGACGTGACGTCTCGGACTCCAGCGATCAACGGCTCGCTTATGAACAAGATCCTGCGGACATTCATCGAGGCTGGGGACTTCGCCGCCGCGTACGTCGCCCTACGAAGCTACGCCGTCTTCAAGATCCCCGTCTTGCTCGCGACGTACCGTGCCGTCATCGGCGCCATCATGCAGCGCCTGCGGCACGAGCACCCGTACGTGCACCTGTGGAACGACCCCGGCCGGTTCTGGTCCTACCGCTTCCTGGGCTCGCCGCCCACGGTCCCAGAGGAGATCAACGTCGGCGTCATGGACGGCGTGCTCAAGTTCGGCACCAAGGCCGCCCTCCAGCTCGACCCCATCGAGCTCTACAGCGACGTGTACCTGCAGTACATCGCCGACGCCGTGAGCCACTACGTCGCCACCAAGGACGACCGCGACATCCCCGAGCTCACGTACAGGAAGGTCTGGAACGCGCGGCGCAAGCACCCCTCCTACCGCATGCCCACCGCCGTGTCCCTCCTCGGCCTCGTGCACAGCCCCGTGGACGTGTGGAGCACCCAGCCGCTGCTGCGCATCCTCAACCGCGCCATCTTCGCCAGCCGCCCCAGCCGCTTCCTGCCCGACGCCAGGATCGTGTCTGTGGAGATCCGGAACGCGCGCACAGAGATGCTGCCCGCGTTCGCACCGCCCTCGAAGGAATCTCAGAAGGCCCGGCTGCTCAACATGTAAATACAATAAACCAACCACCACCCATTGTTTTCGCATTCCACAAGACCGCGCGTTCCAAGCATCAAGAGTCGTCCGAGTCGCCCTCCGTGCCGGGCGTCTTTCCTGCCTCCACCAGCGCGTCTCGGAGGGCGACGTCCATCCCCGTGCGCCGCATCTTGTACTTGCTCACGCGGAGCCGGCCTTGTCGCGTCAGCTCCTCGAACGTGCCGTCCGTCCTGCTGCACCCGCTGAACGCAGCGACCGCGTCGCGCACCTGCACCACAACCCCCTGTCAGCCATACACACACACTACACACATACACAACACCGCGCCAACTCAGCCCTTACTCACGTCATCGGAAAACGCCGCCCACTCCTCGCACGACACCGCCTCGACCCCTGCGCCCGCGAACGTCCCGAGGTAGCACCACCACCCGTCCACGCGCGCGACGAGCGCGTTCGTGCGCCGCGTCAGCTTGGGGTACGACGCCTCCGTCCAGCTGCCCTTGCGCGACCGGCGGTCGTTCGGGCGCACGATGGTGCACCCACCGGATTGGTGCGCGTCGCCGTCGCCGCCGCCGTCCCAGACTGCGTCGGGTCCGACCTGGACGACGCTCGTCCTGCCCCTGTGTTATAACACACACGTCGCTTTTAAAAAAAAAACTGGACTCTCCAAATGCAACCGTTGCTCTGCTCACAGTTTCTATGCCGTTTGTCCGAGTGTTATCTGTGCTGACTTCCTGCGGAGAGGGGGAGGGGGGACGGAGACGGAGACGTCTGCTCACCTCTTTGGCGGCGTTGAGACACCTCTTTGGACTCGCGTCGGCCGTGAACGGTACCGGGCCTTGCTCGTCAGACGCCGCTCCGTGGACGGCTGCCACTGCGGAGCTAGGCAGCACTGCGCCACGGCCGGCCGCATTAATGGCAGTGACGTTCGCACCACTTTGCTCCGAGAGCTGCCTTTCGAGCTCTGCATTCTTGGCCTGCGAGAAAAACGTCAGATCGCGGAGATTGCGCGTTACGTGGCTCCGCTCATGGTTTACTGCACCTTCTCCTGTTCGAGCTCTTGTCGCAGCCGCGTGAGTTCGTCGTCCTGTGGTTGCATCTCTCACTCTCTCTGTCCTGAGCGGATCCTCGGCTGCCGAGGGAGGGCTCTGGAGCCTCCAGCATCGCTGCAGCTCTTGATATAGGTTTTTGGGGCCATTCAAGAGGTGCGCAAAGCTTATACAGCGGCACGAGGCAGGCGGTTCGTTTCCCTTTTGAACAAAGTTTCTCCCATGCCGCATACAGACCCAGGCTCCTCGCCGTCTGCATCGAACTGAACCCTATCTACCCCAAAGACAGTAGCGGCTGTCGTTCAGACCCAGTCTGTGTTTACTGCCGTTCGCGGATGCTGCCACTGGCAGTCCCGACCGCGGTCGCATAAATGCGGAAGGCGCGGACATTGTGGCGTTTGTTGGCGGAGGTACCGCTCTCTCTAACCCCGGCCGGCGACGCTCGGCTCCTTCCTCCCGCGGCGGGTTCGCACGTTCGCTCGTCGTGAATGCGCGTATCACAACCCGCGTCTGGACGCGACCGTGTGGTTCCCTCGCCGTCGCACATGGTACCGTGGCCTCGAGACCGCAGGCTCCGCGATGAGCGTCATCATTCTCGGCCGTCGAGGCACTGTTCTACGACAGCCTGGCTGTGATCCGAACATTCGGCCTCAAGGATTACCTTTAGAGTTTCGCTGGGCTCTGTATGGGCCGCCACTGCCGCTGTATCACGGAGGCTCAGCAATTAGATGCAGTCACACCTTTGGTGCTGTGTCTAATGATGTTCGGGGTCGTCTCGAACTGCTAGTCTCTTTGCTCTGGGCCGGATTCATCTGTAATTATTCCACGCCAGTGAGAGACCAAGAAGCTGAATTGACAGATGCTCCCTGCATAGAGACCGTTCTTGCAAATGCTAGGACGGTGTAGAAGCTTGCCTCGACTGCAAGTCTCGACCCTTGAGAACGGCTTCTAGTCGTTCTTAACGGCGTCCTGGACGAGGCTAGGCCTAGACAGATGCTGGAGGTATGATACATGTCTCTACACGAACGCATCTTGATGTTCGTTCCAGTTGCTATCCAGACTTCACCGCCGCACATTCTCCCGCGTTGCAGCAGGCAACAGGCTGTATAAGGCTATAACAAGCTTTTCAGGCACGAGCGGGGTCTTCAATTTCATCCGCAAGCCGTTGCGTGAGACACACCCTCCGCTATCACTCTTGATCATCTTTGTTGATGACAGCATCGCCCGCGTCTAGTCCTCACTTTGCAATGCCGCGCTCGCCGCTCCCTCGCAGCACTATCCTCGCTGAGACGACGGCTAGCAGCATGATATCCGTCCAGGCGAAGGCGCATGGTGCTCACGACAGACTCCCACACGCGCCGCTGCGGTCTGTCAGACGAGAGCGACAGGTGTGGGGAAGCCCTGGACGGTGGCGGCGGCAAGCCGCCAAACACTCCCTCGGTAGCCCGCCGCCCGGATATGCATTTTCTCTCGGGGATTTCACGTTCGCCAGGTGCCGCACGCGAAGGCCAGGCTGCTCTTCCGGCACGTTCCCTGCCGCGTTCGAGTTTCTGATGCTCACTAGTACCGTGCGGCCGACTTGGCTGCAGGCTATGAGAGCGAGCGATGCCACTGATGGAATGGCATCTCGTGCCGCTCGACGAGTCGGCGCACGTTCTGTGCATCTCACCTGGACCGTTGCTCCGCAAATAGCTGGTGGAAATGGTATAAAAGCTGCCCCGGGGCATCAGTGAATCGCCAGCTCTGAGCCCTCCAGACGAACACGCCTCCTCTCCATCGACAGCCATGGCCTACTCTCGCATCTTCACCGCCCTCGTCGCTTCTGCCATCGTGTTCGCCGGTGTCAATGCCGAGTCGCACACCGTTACCTTCGTCAATAAGTGAGTCTTGTATGGCCTCTTCTTGATGTTCCGAAATGCTGACAGACGAACGCACCTAGCTGTGGATTCGGAACTGTGAGGTCCCTGTGTCGGCAGCGGCGACCTGGGCTTACTCTTGTTTTGTAGCCCCTACTCAAGGCCAACGGTCAAACGCTTTCGACCGGTGGTTCCGTCACTTTCGGCGGGTCCCTAATCTCTGCTATTGCGTACGCCTCCCTTTTTCTAGCAGATCTATACCACTTGTCTAACTGACGGCACGTAGATTCCTGCAGACGGGTTCGTGCGCTTCGGACTTTCATGATAATGCACAGGTGCTTACCCAATCTGCAGGCTCTTGCGGAGACAACGGTGAGGGTTGCACACTCATCGAGACCACCCTGGTCAACCCTACAAGCCCTGGCTCCGGCTCAAGCACAGACATCTCGCTCATCCCCCCGTACGCCCATGTCTTTTTTCCTTGGTATGTCTTCCCGAAGAGCTGACAGCCCCCTTTCAGGCACTCTTTCTCCGTGACCTCCGGCTTCGGGTACGTCGCATAGACTCTTGAAATGATGTATTCCAGCCGACTAAACATGTTTTGCAGATACTTTGACGGCTGCGATGGCGCCGGAGCGGACTGTGAGTGCACAATACACTGTCGTTCGATGTCTACGAATTCACCGCTGCCACAGGCACCGATGCCAACTGCCCGGATGCGTTCCACACCTCTGGCCAGACCGGCGTCCAAGTTGCGTGCCAGTCCGATAACGTAAGCCGTCCCCTCGACTCCTCCTTTTTGCTCCCGGACACAGTTTCTGAGAAATTTTTGTCTCTCAACTTTTCAGGTCAACCTCGCCATCACGTTCTGCGACTGAGAGCTAGTCTTTCTTGGCTTCTGTTGTTTGCTTCGTACTGGTTACTCTGAGGAAATGACAAAGGGAATAAATCGGTGCTTTGCATAAACGTCCAGATGACTGCTTGCCAAGTTACATCACCGGCATCCGCCTCACGTTCCATGTTAGGATCACATCTCGCCCATCCCCGGGGGGTATACGGGGGGATTCTAACTACTGGTGATCTCCTCGAGTCTTGCTAGGGCCTCGAGAATAATTTATCAAATAATTACTGTGCGGCTATCGCTACCTAGTCTTGAGGGGTCGCCGCTCGTTGCCAGCCGGCGCTCTCGCCTACTCGACGCCACGAAGTCGTCGGCCGCCTCCGGGATCTCCCTATCTCAGCCATGTTGCTTACCGTCGACGCCTCGCCACCACGCCTCGCCAAGGTGGACCATCGCGACTGGCGGACAAGCGTTTTGCATGGTCCAACTGGTAACTCATTGACGGCCATGATTCCGGCGGAACTCTGACACTCGAGGACGCCGCATTTTCAACGTCGTTCCCCACTGCTTCCGACGCCGCCTTCGCTCAGACTCAAGTTCCGACCTCGAAGAGAGAGAAGAGCACGCCGAATAACAACTGGAGAGCGAAGAATCAATTTTTAGCCTCGACGGCGGCAGTAAGGGCCCAGGAACTGTTATCCAATATGTTCCAGCATCACGGAGTGCGTTCTCATCCCCAGCGCGTGCGAAGTAGACGTCAAGGAGGTAGCGGGGCGCGAGCTCCTGGGAGAAATCATTCTCCGCGAGTGCTAACTTGCTTCTCCGTGTGTAACCCACACAGTCTCCTGGGACAGGCGGGTGAAGACCTAGTGTCTTCTTATGGTACCTCAAGATGGACGCTGAACAGATACGGCGGGTATGAGAAACTAATTTATGAGACAGACCCTGCTAACCATTCTGCAGTAGACCATCTCGCGATCGACGCTGCAGTCCTTCCAGACCGTGGTACTCCATCTCGAAGTCCAAGCCAAGCACACAACTGACCTTGTCCATCAGATTTCCACCCACGCCGTGCCCTACGCTCACGCTCTGCTCAATGAAGTGGTGCAATGGAACCCTGTTACCTCGCTGAGTGCGTATTGAAGCCTTTTGACTGCGCCGCCGTCGCCACTGACACGGCCAAACAGATCTAGCGCACGTCTTGGTGCGATGACTATACAAGCCGACGCAAGCCACCGACACCTGTCGGGTTTCGGTAAATTTTAACCTCCCTGGGCCTGGTGCGTGCACGCCGGGCGCCTTGAACGAGAAATGTCCGATCCTGACCACCGCCCCTCATGGAGTACGCCAGTAAGGAAGGCAGCGGGCTAGTAAGTGTGGACCTTTATGAGATGAGCAGTACATTTGACGCGATAAAACGTGCAATTGAGTGCAGAATGCGCTCCCAGGTATAGACATAGGCGTGTCCGTGCATCGCATCTATCTAACGTCTGTCACAGGCTATAGGCCCCAAGAATACTGGTCACCTTGAGTCCAAAACACCTTTGGGCGTAAGGACCACTCTGCAGCTCAGTGTGGCATCAGACTTTTAGTGAATCTCTTGTAATGTTAAATATATCCATGTACAATCTGAAAACCATTCTATTACACCAAACCATTTCAAATCCCTAGCAAGAGTATATATAGATTGGTGGTGTTTTTGAATCTGGCCAACTTTAGTCAAGATTGTAGGGTTTATATAGTTTGCATAACATATATATATATATATATATATATATATATATATTGTATAGTTATATAATACCATATAGTTTGCAGCATCTATGCATGGCTTATAAGACTGAGCAAGCATGATGTTCATGAGAATTTGGCTACACAGGCTCTGCTTTCATGCATACCAAATGCTAATGTTTTACACAAATAAACTTCAATTGACTTTACTATTAATAGCTACTAAGAAACATTCTTGCTGTCAGTGATGACAATGAGCAGATACTAGCAAGCTGAGCCATAAGCTCCTGTCTCCATTACCGTACACCAACTGGCAGAACATGCACTGCAGTGCATGCTCCTCAAAGACTGGCTCGGGGATGCCACTCCCAAACCCACTTCCACCTCCACTCCCACCCCCACCACCCCCATTCCCATTCCCATACACACTCAGTGTGTCCATGTCTATGTCCATGACCACTCACTGGCCTTAGCGTGGCAAAATAGTCCACGTGCAGTGCAGAGGCTGCGCATCTGCAGCAGGGGCTGGCCTTCTGAGCACAAGCACACAGGCAGTGGGCCTTCGAAGGGGGGCATGCACATCTGTGGCAGGGGCTGGCCCTTGGGGAAGCTGAGCGCACGCAGCAGGCACACAAGTGTGAACAGCGGTGACTCACTTTGCACAGCTGCGATGCTGATGCCAGCACCGGCAAGGACAGGCAAGATGAGGCAGGGCCTGCTCATGGTGAGCAGCGCGAAGCACTCTTCGAGGGACATGTGAACGTGCAGCGAGAGCACGTGTGAGGACAGGCCTGCCTCCAAAGCGGCAGCGATGGTGTTGTATGAGAAGTGCAGCAAGGGCGAGCACATGCTCTGCTGGTGCAGCAGCTCAGTCATGAGTGTGAAAATCAATTTAGGAGGAGGAGGAGAGACTTACAGAGACGAATGGCAGGGGCAAACAAGCTTGGGCACTTGTGCAGGCCTGAACAGCTGGGATGGGCTGCTGGCCGCTGCTGCTACTGCTACTAGGGTGGGTGCTGGCAGGTGTGATGTGGCAGATGATGGTGCGACAAGTGAGACAGTGGACTAAGGGAAAAAAAAAAGATAAAAAAAGTATGGAGCACTACACACCTGGATGACGACATACCCCAATGAGCAGACCCGTCCTCTCGGGCAGAAACTTGTCGTCCAGCCAGTGTGATGTATGGAGTGCCAGGAGGCAGTGAGGTGTGATGGAATAGACATCGGGTGAGCGTGGGCATATTGGACGAGGCTGTATTCAGCGCACATCCGCAGAGAAGGGCCAGAGAGGTGGAGCGAGGTCGCATTCAGCACACGTCCATGAGGAAGGGCCGGAGAGCTTGGACAAGGCTGCATTCAGCACATGTCCATGAAGGAGGGCCAGAGATATGGGACGTGGCTGCATTCAGCACACGTCCACGGATGAGGAGCACGGAGGCAGGTGGTGAATGTGGTTCAAGACCGAGCGTCGTAGCGCCAAGTTGGGGTCAGTAAGGTACAAACATGAGTAAACAGCGTGCGTACGAGCCGCCGGTAAACACGAGCTCGAAAATCGAAACAAAAATTCAGTGTCGAGTGCGTACTTTATTGCTAATTTACTCACCATGTCTGCTGATCGCATATAATTGCGCCCTTTTATATGCTGCACCTGCAGCTACTGATTTTTCCGTCTGTCTAGGATCGGGTTGCAATCTGACATAGCTGTAGCAAAGCATGTGAGCCTCTATACTGTAGCATCCATAATGTGTATACGTACGTTGTATGAGAATGTTCTGCCGCGCCACAATTTCATTAACATATATTTATGTGCTCATTATTATTTCCTTGTTACGAACCCGGGGCAAACTTGCCCTCCTTATACATGGCACAATCGCATATAAACGTTTATAATCCTAATCAGGGCGCCCGTGAAGAACCGATGCCCTACGCGAGCATATCAGCAAATACCGTTCGCACTCACAAGCCGCAAGCCAGCTTACTTGCTCTAAGCCTGCCCAGACCACGACGATCGGAGGTAGTGATTCTAAGAATAGATCAGATAGAATGCTTCCTTACACCTAGGTCAGGTGCTGCCATCCATGCATGAGTCAGAGGGATATCTCAAACCTTGGCCGGTCCATAGGGGCGAGTCTTTCCTCTCCCACACAGCTGGTCTTTGTAAGATTTTTCTTTTGCCTTAATTCCGTTGATTATGTCCCACCGCCTGTCTTGACGAGGCCGGACAGTAACAGTGGGGGCATCATTTTGGTTGTCACTCTGGGCTGTTAAGAAGTTTCCAGATAGGTTGCTCTCTATGTTGGGAACTTATCATGATGATGCATGAGCACAAAAAAGTTCATAAGCAGAAGGCGTTAATCACTGACTAGCTTGGAAGGTTACTCGGGAGCATCGACCTCCATCGACACATGTGCTTGGACAGCTCCATGCGGAGGAGTTGCGGATGGCCACATTTCATTGATTGATCCAGACGGCTTAGTAGTGGGTTCTTATCGTTATTAAGAGTCTGAGTGCATAGCAATTCATGATGGAAGGACATCGACCATGCGTAGTTCTGGAGCTGTGCGATTGACAATGTAAACGGGGAAGTCGTACTCATTGTTATTGTTATTAGCAAAAAAATCGACACCTGATCTAGCCTGGACAGCTCTGGTAAACCTAGTCTGGCATGCAAAGGTAATCTTTCTGGGAACAAGTTTACCATAGTAGATAGAGCACCTGTATGCTATGAAGGTTGCTATTGGACAAAAAAAATGAATTTGGAGCTGGCGCAGTCTGTACATACAGTTTGGCGGACAAAAGTGTGCAAACGTGTGTGATTGTGCACGAAAGTGCACGAACGTACACAATTGTGCATGCCGCTGAGCTTTGGTTTTCATTATGCCCTGCTTTGAGATTGGCGATGGTGCTAATGTGTGTGCGTTTGTGTGTGTTCGTGCATTCATTTTATTGTTCAGTTTGGTGTAAGTTAGCAATTGGCTCTCATTTTTGTGATTATGCATCTCATTCGAATCGTCGAGTGCACGAAAGTGCGCGAAAGTGCGAGAAGGCGCACGAAGGTGCACGAAGATAAACACCTAGCCAAAATGAAACTGTGACAAAATGAATATGTAGCTCATCAGATGCACACTTTCGTGCACGATGGCACACATTAGTGACCAAACGTGCATCATCACGCACGAACATGCACGAAAGTGCACAAACACGGATGCAAAATCCTAGACGCACATCGAAAACAAAACTTTGCAGCCAGTGCAAAGGTGCGAATTTATTTTTGTCCAATAACACCCTTGATAGTATGCTTTACCAGCCTCATCAGTCTGGTATCAATTACCAATTATACCATTCAGGTGAGGTTGGCAAAGGCTGGCAAGGCATTGCCAGCGAGCGCCAGCATTTGCTTTACCACTCGAAATAAACTATTTGATATTCAAATATGTTTGGTGGGGATTGGCCTTAGTGGTTGCAGATGAAAATCAAAAATAAAAAGATGATATATTTCTGAATCTACATAGAGTACACATGTGCAGACAGATAACACAGACACATGACAATGGCATCGAAAGGGTCGAAACGGCCGCACGCACAAGGCTCCCAATGACAAGCGGCTATTGCAACGGCTGTGCGGTCGTACGCGTCGTGCAGGGATTACAATCTGGACAGGGCAAGGATGTAAGCATTAACAGACACATGAAGGCTTGTATGCTGTGGTAAATACCGTGGGTGGATGCTGCAGATTGCGAAGCGCTGCGCGCATTGGTGCCAGTGTGCGCAACAAGTACAGGCAGCTGAGTGCTGAGTATAAACACCATGAGCATGGCAATATGAAGGGCTAAACTGCACCACTGACATACTGTGCGCTAGAAGTTATACTGATGCGCAACATAATGTGCGCGCAGATGTGTGGGAATGGTTTGCCGATTGAGTGGATGGATGAGCCTAGCATGAGGCAGTGTCTATCGAAGACGTGTGAGTGAGAGAAGTGAGCACATATATGCAGGTTGCGCACTGTATGTGGGTTTACGCGAGTGAGATGATGGGGACCCGAGCCACAAAAGCGTGCAGGCAATGAGGTGGATGAGCTTCGCATGTTCGGGGCGCTGTCTAACGCTCGTCTCACAACTCGGACTGCACGGAGGAGCGAGAGTCGGCGCCATGGCCACTGTGCACGCAGTCAGTCAACTGCATCGTCAGTGGAGATACTGGGGCAGCAAACCGAGTACACACATACCTAGTCAATGTATATTCAGCCCAGCAATCACATATTCTACACACCGTATTGAAGAGGGAGAAGACAGAGATGGAGGGATAGAGGCGTCCACCTGGTGATACCCAAGGTGCAGTGGTGGAGAAGAAGTAAGGGGCGCAGAGTGGCAAGGACCTTCTATAAGTAGTGAGACTAAAAAGGAAACGCAGCGAAAATGAGTTTAGGGGAGGTCAGAGGACACTTGTGTTTGCTCGCGGACAGTCGACATAAATGCAGTGGACGTGTCTCGAAAGGCAGCGCACGTGACGTCACGTCACAACCAAGATCTGGGTGAGTTGGCCATGCTATATCTAATGACGTTGAGATGGGAGTTGGCTTACAATGCTATAACGGCATGCATTGAGATTGCAACGCAATATCAGCCTGGTATCGCCTGTTCTTGCATTGCCAGCGTCCATCAGACTGCTGGGCGCTTGTTCAGTAACCCATCCCTGACCTACGACCGATTATTTTGCTGATGGTAGAGATAGCTACTAGCAAGTTAGAGATCTAGAAAATGTGAGAGGTTTTAATTCTGACCCAGGCCGTAGTCGCAGAAACGGCTGGCGTCGGAGATGGGACACTAGTCCCTGCATGCGAGCCTACAGGTGCATACCTATGCCACATCCTTGTGCTGGCGCTAGTGTTGCCACGGCTTGACTGCTTAGCCGCTAGTCGTTGCAGTCAAGCCATGTGGCAGCCAAGCCAAGTCGCTGATTGGCTCTTGGCTGTTACGCGGCTTAACTGCGGCTTGGCGCGACTCGGCGGTGGCTTGCAGTCAGGTCCAGTTGTCCCAAAAAGGCAAACACCGCGTCACCTTGCTTGCCACTATGCCTCCTCGCAACCATGGAAAGAAGAGAGCTGCCGAGACCCCTCAGAAGACACCTAAGAGGCAAAAGGTGGCCTCTAAGCATGTTGAGTTTGACAATGGAGCTGTTATGACCCAGTTTAGGCTGTCTGGTGCGCTTTTTTTGAGCTTTTGTGCAGTTTGATGTTGTCTGCTGATAACATCTTGAATTCTGTAGGTGAATTCTCATCTGAGGATGCTGTCCAAGGTTCCCCAGCAAAGAAGAGAGGTGGTAGGAAAGGTCCAGGAGTTCAGGATGTTGCTGAAGGAGAGGTGCTCATGGCATTCACGTTGCCCCGGAGAGGTCGTGCCAATCACCAGCACAATCCAAGTGGGGAGAGCTTGATAGACAAGTGCGTGGTGACCAATACTGCAAATTGCTATGCTCTAATGTTTGGATCTTTGTAGATCTGTTCCAGTTGCTGATAGTCGTGAATATATCAACATTGATATTGCAGACGACTCTGAAGACTCGCCTACTAGTCCAACGCCAGCTGCAGGCTCTTCACGTGATCTCCTGCCTGCTCCTGCCACCCCAACTCGCAAGCCAGCAGGCCCTCCCAATTCACCTGTTGCCGGTCAGCGTCAGAAATCGCCTTATGGGTCTGCAGGCAACAGACAAGGCAAGCAAGCTAAGGATGTCTGGCCCTTTATTGAAACAGATGAGAATGGACGCAAGAAATGCAAGTTTTGCTTGTATGAATTTCTTTCAGCTATTTCTTTGCACTTATTTCTAAAAAAAACTCGCCAGGTTTATGCATGAACAGAATCCTCATCACCATGTGTCCACCTGGACTACTGCAGGCACAGACAACCCCCGAAAGCACTTCCGAGATGCTCATCTTGACGAGTGGGTGGAGGCGTGCGATAAGGCGCAAGTCAAAATCACAGCGAAGTGTGCTACGGCACAAGTCAAAGCCTGGAGGCAACGTTAACGTGGACAACCAGATGTTGCACAAGCAGATAACAGCCGGCCACAGTTCACCAAGGAGCTATTTGTGGATTACATTACTGAGTGAATTGTTGCTGACGATCAGGTGTGCTTTAAATTTACATTTTATTGTGCTTTAAATCTGAATAAATATTTGCAGCCTTTACGTGTCATTGAAAATCCACAGCTTTGCAATATCTTTCTTTTGCTTTGTTCTGAGCTGCATGAGAAAGATATTCCTGGGCGGACCACTATCCGAACACGAGTTGGTGAGGTTTTCGAAGAGTATCTCAAGGAGCTTAGCCAGGATATGAAGGTAAGTGGCGAAAAAATTACAAAAAAATTCTGCTCTAATTCCTAATTATAGAATGCAGTTGGCAGCATATCCTTCACAATGGATATGTGGACTGACCCATTCTTATCGCTGTACATGGCGGTTACTGCACATTGGCTGCAGCTTGTTCTTGAAGATCGTGGTAACGGACTTCAGCTGCAGCTTTGACTTTGTGCAGATCTTATTGGCTTTCATCGTGTCCCCTCCAGACACACCAGTGAGCATCTTGCGGCTGCATTCCTTTATATCCTGGACCGTATCAAGATCACAAACAAGGTACAGCCATTTTAACAACTTAAAATGATTAAACCACTTACTATCCTTTAAAAATATATAGATTGGCTGGATTACAATGGACAATGCAACAAACAATGACACCTGCATGGAGGCTCTTGAGCAAACCTTGCAAAAGCGTGGAATTGCTTTTGACAAGCTTCAACGTTGCATTCGGTGTGTATATTTCAATAAATCAATTGCAGTTTATTGCTCAAAATAACTGTTGCTGCTTTCCACATGTTGTCAACTTAGCATGCCAAAGTGTTCTTAGTGCTATAACTGAACTTGAGTATGTCAAGGAAATGTCGCAAGATTTCGAGCCAGAAAAGTTTTTGCCATGCAATTTTCTTGACGCAGTTAAACTTGACCCTATCGCAACTTTACGTTCTCTCATTAGAGTAGTAAGTTTAATTTAATCTATACAAGATAGTGATTTGCCTTACCTCAATGTATAAATTCGTGCATCTGCACTGCGTTGCCAGCATTTTATGCAGATTTTAGTCAACATGAATATGGCCATTCTGCAGCTTTTCAAAGACGTTTGAGACACAGTGGTCATCAACATATCTCATGATAGATCAGGCTATTCTACTTCGTGAGGTAACAATTTATTTTGGCATACTGTATACTTTCAGGCTTATTTATTTATAGGCAATTGAACAATTTCTCTATGGTTCAGAGTTTGCAGAACTTCGCAAGTATAGCATGAACAATGAAGAGTGGAAAGCTTTGGAAGTATTCCACGAGATCCTTCAGGTAAGTTTAGTTTTCTTTATTTATCCAAGTAATAAATTAAACATGAATAGGTTCCACATGCGTTTCAGCAGCTTTTATCTTCAGAATCTACGCCAACACTCATTAGTGTTTTACCTGCATTTGAAGCCATGAAGCTATGCTGGCAGGAGCAACAGGCAAAAGTATCCAATGCAGCTGGAATTATTCAGCAAGGTCTGGACAAGCTTGAAGACTATCGTGATCGCAACCACAGCTGTAATGCATATACTTTGGCCACTGGTAAGCACAGCTTTAAAGCTGCTGAAATCTGAAGCTAAGTTTATTAGTCATCAATCCTGCATGTAAGCTGGAGTGGTTTGAGCAAAACACTTCACCAGCAGAAGCGGCTGCAGCAAAGAATCTATTTTTAGCTGAGGTGCGCTTTTACTCATATTTTAATCTTCATTTCTCTCTATATTAACATTCATTTTACAGATGCGCAAGTATAAATCCAAGATGGCCCCTTCGGCCTCAGCTCCGGCAGCTGCAGTGATTCAAACACAGCAGCAAAAGGCCTACGACATTTTATTCAAGGGTAAAGGAAAAGGTCCATTGGCTGAGCGTTCAGTAGAGCAAGAGTGGTATGCATACATTGCAGAGCCCACAGATGGATTTGTGGATGCTATCACATACTGGAAGGTGAATGTACACTTACTGAAACTTGTGCCATAATTTTTCTCTCCATTTTTCTCCATTTTTTTTCGAAATATTGATTTATTTTCACATTTTAGGCATCTCAGACCAGGTTTCCAACCATCTATGCCATTGCAATGGATATTCTGCCTATTCAAGCCTCTGCTGTGCCCTGTGAACGTGTCTTCTCATCCGGAAAGATAACAGTCACAGACCGGCGCAACAAAATCGGTGGAGAACTCATAGAAGCACTGCAAATTCTCAAGTTCAAGTTCAAGCAAGGCCATTCTCTGTCTTTCACACATGGTTTGGACATTGGAGAGGAGCTCAAGAACTTGGAGAGCTGTGCAGAAGAGTCTCCAGAGGAGATCAGTTCATATTTAGCATCACTCAAGTAGGACAAGCAATGTTACGATGAATTCCGCGGTACCGGTGTGAACTACCTTCCTTTTTGGGAGGGACGATCGGCTGCAAGCCGCTGCTCAGCCATAGTCGCTTATAGTCGCGGCTGCACTGCGGCTTGACTTGACTCGGCTGATCCCAAAAAGGAAAAGCCGTCCAAAGTCAAGTCACAGCCAAGCCGTGTCAAGCCGTGGCAACACTAGCTGGCGCCATTCAAGGCAACCTTGTCTTTCAAGTTTGTGTTTACACCATACGCGAGCCTGTGGTAATCCAAGCTTCCAGTCGTGCATGGTGGCTGATCAGTGCAGTAGGAGTATGAATGGCTTAGCCTTTAGAGCCTCGCGTTTGGAGAAGATTCTAGCCTTGCGTCTGAGGGAGAGTCTAGCCATCGTGCAGACACGGTGTTTGTAGGCCCTGGGTCTTGTTTGCTCCAGGATAAGCAGCTTTTTGAAATGGATATGTATGCGACTCTTATCTTCGGCCGATACTGCCCAACAATGCCAATTTTCGCACGGTTTACCGAGTGTTGACTCCATTGAGTCGGACTTTCCCCGAGTTGCTTAGCACTAGTGAAGTTCGTTCCACCTTCGCACCAGGCACGGGCGATTCCTGGTTTCTTGGTTCTTGCCATATGCTTGCAAGAGAACGTGCCGTTCCACCACACGTCTTTGTAGGTCATCTGTCCTCTCGCGCATCAGCAGAAAATGAGGGGCACGTTGGTTCGAGCTACCGGAAGCCAGATGACATCAGCTGAGAAGGCTTGATGCAGATATATGTAGGTGTTGCTTGAGGGCGTCCAGACGAAATCTCGACCTACGTCAGAGTCACTACTGCTAGTAGACCGACAAGATGGGTCGCCGCTGGAGCCTCTGTTGCCATCTCGCCACCGTTCTATGTGTACAGTTCGGTATAGCATCAGGTGGCCCTCTTACGGACCTTGTTAACCTGTTCATCGGAACCGCGTCCGGTGCTAACGGCGGCAGCGGAGGCAATGGCTTCCCTGGCGCGGCCATACCTCATGCTATGGTCAAGGTACGTTTGGATCCTCACATCCTAGTCCTGTCCTTTTGTTGAATTTTGTGTATAGGTTGGTATAGATGTAGACGAAGTACCGAGGCAAGCGGGTTACATAGCTGATAACTCTTCAGTCACCGGTACGATTGCTCCGGTTACCATATGTTCACGAGCTCAAATCTCTGCAGGAATATCCCTCATGCACGACGAGGGTACGGGAGGAAACACGGAAGGCGGTTACGGCTTCTTTCCGCTGTTTCCTCTTGCGAACTGTTCTTTCGAGAGCTGCCCGGTTGGCATCGAAGCACGCAAGGCTTTACGTGCCGCTGGTACAGATGGTAAGCAACACGTTTAGCTAAATGTGGACATTGAAAGATTCGTGTGGAGGTAGCGGCTTCCCCAGGATACTTCACGACTACGTTCGTCAATGGCATCAAACTTCAGACGACGTCAACTCGCAGAGCAGGTCTTATTCGCTTTACCTATCCTGATAATCTCAATGGAAGCTTCGTCGTCGTCGACCTCACCAATGATCTCCAAAGATCATTTGAGGGAGGAAGCATCGATCTGGACGTATCTTCCTCTCGAGTCACGCTTACTGGGACATTCTTGCAGGTAAATATAGGCGAACACTCGCTTATGGTACACGGCTGACGACTTATTGTCAGAGTTACGGCACTGACAATTATACTGTTCACGGCTGTTACGACTTCGCCCCTCCAACAAATCACTCTCAAACGCTGGCACGTTCCGGAACCTATCAGTCGGTCTCCGCGTCCGATGCAACTGACATTACGATCTCCTCGAACATCACCTCTCTGTCCTTCCTGGGTACCTCCTCTCCTTCTCCTATCCAAGCTGGCGGACTCTTGTCATTCTCGTTCCCTGACACTACGGCCTCACGTTCCGTCCTTGCACGCTTCGGTGTTTCGTTTATCAACATGGCCCAGGCATGCTCCAACGCAGAGAGCGAGATACCAGACTGGGACTGGGACGCTGTGCAGAACGCTTCCGTGGACAAGTGGGAAGATATCCTGAGCCGTATCGAGATCGATACCACGAAGGAGAACTCTACGGTCGTCGAGCTGCTGTACTCATCGGTGAGTACTCTGGACTAGAGGTGCTTCGTCGACTGATGCTCACATCTTCGATAGCTCTACCGCTCTCAGCTCGTTCCCGCCAACCTAACCCACGAGAATCCGTACTGGGAATCTCCTTACCCTTTCTACGATGCCTTCTTCTGGTACGTGGTGGAAAAGCCTCATAGACCCTCCGCTGTGGCTTATAAATGTCCAGCTCCTGGGATACGTTCAGAACCGTTCATCCCTTGCTATCTCTCACTTCACCTGTAGAATGGGCAGAGATAGTAAATGCTTATGTCGACGGCTGGAGGCACACAGGTGATAACGAGGCTGCTATGGGAGCATCGGACCCATTTGACGCAAGTTCCACAGGCTATATACCTGAGTGTCGCGCGAACACCAAAAAGTATGCGCCGTCCTCTACCCGCTCTACAGTCACGTTCGCTGATTATACGGTTCACAGAGGGTATGTACAGGGCGGGGACGACGGAATGCCCATCCTGGGCGATTTTGCTGTCAAGTATGGCTCCAGGGCTTCGGAGCTGGGCGTGCCCATCGACGACCTGTATCAAGCACTCGTAGACACGGCCGAAAATACAGTAAGTCCGGTCATCCCTCGACTTTTAGCAAATATGTCCGGGACTGATTCCTCTGGCAGCCTCCGGACTGGTACATGGGTACGCGCCGGCTGGGGTATCCGAAGAGATCTTTGTTCTAACGCTCACTCGATCTGACAGTCGGTCGCCAGAACACAGCATGGAAAATGTTTGACTACATTCCGACAAACTGGACGGACCCTTCGGGTGCGACAGGATTGATGACGCGCGAGGCGTCTCGCACGCTTGAGGTACGCAAAGCCAATATACTCAAATAATTTCGTGGAGGACTCATGGTATGGCTCCGGCAGTACGCCCTTGGGGACTTTGCCGTGCGCCAAGCTGGTGTAGCCCTCAACAAGTCCCTCGACGACATCTTCAAGTACGGCAACAGGTCTATGGGCTTCGTCAACGTCTGGGACCCCAACGTTACCAGCGATGGATTCACCGGGTTCGCCCAGCGAAGGTTCGCGGTCAGTACGCCTAGGCTCGTCTTCGTATGAGGCGCTCAATCTATACGAGCAGAATGGGACCTTCGCATTCAGTGACCCTGTAGACTGTTCGCCACTTGATACTGTCGGTCATTCTTGCGCGCGGGGAACAGACAACGATGTCGGTTTCTATGAGTGTAAGTCGTATTTAGTTGACCCGTGAACCTCAAGGGCAACTCATATTTCCTCCCCGCAGCTTCTTCATGGGAATACAGCTTCTTCGCGCCTCACTCAATGGCGACTGTAGTTGAACTGATGGGTGGAAACGATACCTTTGTCAGCCGAGTGTCAATGCCCTATCTTATGCCATGGGTGTGCTCCTCTGACCGCCTCATTTTACAGGGAGCACTACTTCACCAAGGGATATTTCCTCGCGGGAAACGAGCCATCTTTTGAGATGCCCCTTGCCTATCACTACGCCAACAGGCCCGATCTTTCTGCCCTTCGTATGCGGGAGGTTGTCTTCGAGAACTTCAACACCGGAATAGGCGGGGTACGTGGCAATATTGGGGCCCTGAAGACCTAAAAAGCTGATATCTCGCGCATAGATCCCCGGAAACGACGACAGCGGCGCCATGGCTGCCCTCCTGTCCTTCCACATCCTGGGACTGTATCCCGTCCCATCCTCGAAGCAGCTCCTGCTCAACTCTCCGCTCGTGTCCGCCTTCAAGCTCCGGAACGACTTCTTCGGCACCACCACCACGTTCACCGTCTCCGGCTTCGATCCCGCGTCCGTCGCACCGACGCCGCCGGAGACGGCGCGCGTCTACGTGACGAACGTGACCGTGAACGGCGTCCCGCAGAAGTCGATCTGCTGGCTGTCGTTTGACGATGTGGTCGGCGGTGGCGAAATTGTGATTACTGTCGACTCCGATGCGGACGCCGCGAGTGCCAGGGGTTGCGGAGGAAATGGCACCTTACCGGATTCGCTTGCTACGGGAGGCTTCCCCATCTAGAGGTAGCACAAGCACACAGGCGGACGCAGTACATATACATATATTGGATTTGTACACTAGCGAGACATACAATTGGCTGGGTGCGCTATTGTGCCTCCCAGTCTCCGCGAGAAAATTCCATGCGGTCTGGGACTCAGTCGCAGAAAGTGATGGCGAGGTTGACCTGATGACAACCATTTCAGCAAGCTTATAGAAAGTAGAAACCATGGGAGTAGAGATACTAACATTGTCTCCCTGGCACGGGACCTGGACGTGAGTGTCGTTCGGATGATGGAAGGCGGTTGGACAGCTTGGGCTGGTGCCTTGGGTCCTGCACTGGGTGGTAAGCGCACTTTTTTCCGGAGTAAAATTAGCCAAAAACTGATCCAACAAGGCCCCAACTTTATCCGGTTTTCACCTGAAAAAATCGAAGGCAAAACTCATTTTCCCGCCAGTTTTACTGTGTTTTAGACCCTTTTGGCTGGTTTTGCACCGGTTTCTCCTCAATTTGCATCGGCGTAGAATCGAGGAACAACGGGGCCTTGTTTAGCCACTTTTGTCTGAGTTTTCTTGAGAAAAAAACTGCGCTTACCACCCTGTGCTGTCAGTTTTGTAATCACAAGGCACCTGAACTCGCACGTACAGTCGGCTCCCAATTTATCGCATCCGGCGCCGAAGTAGCTGCGAGTACATGTTAGTAAGTGTGACGCGCAGTAATTGACGTGCATCGTACCCGAAGCCAGAGGTAACTGAGAAGGTATGACTGCAGATTATATGGGGTTAGCACTTCACCCGGACACAGAGGTTGTATGACCGCACGGAGGAATAAGGGAGATGTCAGTGCTAGAGCCGGACCCAGGGGTCGTCGGGTTCTTCAAAGTAGTCTCGATAAGCGTGCAGCCCTCTCCGTTGTCGCCGCAGCTCCCTATAAGAGGACATGCAGGTTAACAAGTCAATCGAAGGCACGGCGAGAAGAGTGAACGGACCAATCTGCAAGAAACTGGAGAGCAATATATATATATATATATATTGCACTTTCGGAGAGTAGTAAATGACGTACGCGATGGCGGAGATGAGAGGACCATTGATAGTGAAGTCCCCGCCAGTAGAGTGTCTGACCATTAGCCTTGAGGAGAGGCTAAAGAAGCAGTTCAGCGGGCGGCCTGTGAAGCCATTACGACAGCTTACAGCCCCCCTGCCGCAGCTGTACAAGTATGACGCGGGTTGTGAGTATAGGATGGGTAGTATGCAAGTCGAACTCAGGACCTGCTTGTTCTGGAAGTGGACAGTGTGGATCTCGGCGTTAGCACCAACGAAGGCAACGGCGGCAGCAACGAAAGCGGTGAAGATAGGAGAGTAGAGCATGTCTGTGGATTGTGTGGTGGTAGAGACTGGACGAAAAATCTGTTCTGGTTGTCAAGACTGCTCTGGTTCCTTTTAATACCTGCCGCAAAGGTCAATACTGAAACAACTTCGCAGGTGGAAAGGAAAGGATATACCTGCGTTCCAAACATCTGAGTCGTCTGATGGCATGGGGATTACGCTGTGCTGCGCCTATCCGGTGACAAACGCAGGGTCACAAGGTTTGAACAGTGTCCGGCGATATGCTGCCCGTCTTGTCAGACTGAGCTCTATAACACAATATTTAGCAAGTATGGTTGTGGTCACTTGCATCTTAATTGGAAAGACGTTTGACAATGCATCAGAACTGTCATAGTGTGCACTTTGAATAACAGATAGTGGAGTGAGCACTGCAGAGTTACAAATACTCCGGAGCTCACCTTCTTCGGTTCCGTTGAAGACGGCTGCTAGTCTGCATTCTAAAATATTGAGGATAGCAGCAGTAGCTATTCGGTGACGGTGGAATGCAGTGTAAATGAGGAGGCGGCGTTGATCAAGTACCTGCCACGGATGTTGGCCAATGATGGCCATGGTTCGGAGGATGAAGTTGGCAATGATCCTTGAAAGCTGCAAGAAAAGACTTCCTCACTTCTTCCTAAGTATTTATACTACGAGCATACCGTGGAACGACGCCTAGCCTTACAATATCTCTACACCGATCTTGCTGATTAAAAGTTACTGTGCGTATCTGTGGCGGCCTAAAGAATGGATTGCCCCTACGAGAGTGCCGAGTCAATGCATATATCGAGCAAGCTTCATCCGCCAGCTAAAATTACCAGTGTAAGGCACATGCCTTGAGCTATGTTGAGCTCAGAGCCACCGGGTGTGAGCTTCGTCCGACGTCGGACCCCCCGCGAGCGCCCTTCCACATTGCCCCGCTCCCGCGATCACTGCGCACGATCTTTGCAGGAAGCGGCGGAGCTCGTCGTGACAAGCCACTGGCGTCGCGCTCGCATAGAGTCAATAAACCAAGTAGACTGGGATCGGATCACGATTTGCGAGACCTGAGAGGGCCCAAGCTTCGCGAGACAAGAGGCGGTTCAGGTATCCTGATCAGCCCAACTACCAGCTACAACTCGCCGTGTATTCGTGCCAATTCGTGTGGCATATGAGGACCTGCCCTTGCAGTAAGCACAGACGAGAAATGCGGTTAGAGGACTTAAGCGCTTACTTCCCAAAAACTATCTATATTCATTCAAGTTAGCCATGTCTCACAACATCCACCATCCACAAGCCGGCAAGTGTAGGGAGTGCGATGCATGCATACCAGTATGTCGAGACACCATTCTTTGTAGAGATTGACATTTTACCAAGAGGACCTATGGCTGAAGCTTGTGCCGAAATGATATCCTCTACGTCCTATGTCTGAAACCTACATTAATACAGTGCAATCACGCACAGATTGAACGAATTCTGTGTACATTGATGGCCAAGAAATTGAATCGAAACCTTTGCTTAGTCCTTGAGCACCCAGTCATGAAATTTATACGTAGCTACGATGCAAGGAGATGTGTGAATCCGGGCCAGTAGATACGACGATTGCACTTGACGCAGACAGTCTTGCGGATTTGGCTTGAGAGAAAACACATGAAGCACAGGGCACGATCAGTAATCGGAGAACGTTGCTAATATCGACCTCGTCGCCCACCGCCAGGGCCCGTGTATGGACTATAGTCGGGCGGAGGGCGGCCCCCGCCCCGCAGGGGAGGCGGCGGCGACCTCGGACGAACCGCACCAGTCGAACTCGGGATGACGGCCCCACGGAACACTTGCATCAAGTCATCAGTCCGGAACACAGGACCTGCGTGCGGGAATGCGTGAGCAGCGGCGCATGCAGTGGAGGACTGGAGGCGGACGCACCATCAAACGACGATGGCGAGGGCAGCATGCCCACGAACCACGACAGCACCGGGGGCAAGGTCACATTCTTATCTTCGTCACGCTCTCTGTCGTACCTACGGCCGTGCGGTCCGTCACGCTCACGCTCACGGTCCCAGGGCGACGGCGAGCCATAACGGCCCCGCCCACGGCCGTCACCCAGTCTTTCTCGGTCATGACCTCTTGTCGGCGACGCTGGCCGCTGCCGCTTCGATGGCGGGTAGTCAGCGCTGGACCGTGACTCATCACGACGGCGGTGGTCGGGCGACGGCGGTCTCTTCGTAGGTGCCTGTTGCGCTGCCTGGCTTGACTGCTGCACGATCGGGCTGGCAGACGGCTGCACCTCAGTCTTGTTTGCGCTGCCGCTTCCGCGGCCGCCGAAGGTGAAACCCAAGTCGCGCACAGCGATAGCATCACACCCTAGGTACTTGTGTCGTTCGGCAAACCTCTTGATTGGTGGATCTATGCGCGTACGACACAGACATTGAAGCGCGCGCTTAGAGAAATGGATGTGCACGCACCTTGTGGGTAAACTTCACCAATTCGCTTCTCGAGCAAATGACATGCCTCGAGAGTTCCATACTGATACTCGTACCGCGCCCACCTATCCCATATGGGCCGGGCTTTCTCGGGCGGAAAGTTATTCACAGCACGCTCGAAGAGAGCACGGGCATCTACACGTACAATGAGCTGAACAGAACGCGAAAAAAATGAGGAGCACCTACTGGCATCGTCGTTGATGGTGATCAAGAAGCCGAGATACCGAAGAGCTAGCTCAACCTCATCAGGGAAGGTTTCCATACCTCTTTCAAATATACGGCCGGCGACATCTGCAGCCTTGGTGCAATGGTATTCCATCAAAGCTGAAAATACAGCTCGGCAACAGGTCTGCGATTCAACTAAGTCATAACTCACCTGCTGCTTCGTAGACCTCCCATGGCGTCCACCGGTCCTTTCTTGACTTGCCAAACACTGTCCTTGCAGCCTTGACGCCCTCAGCTCTTCGCGCGAACCTCATGTACACGATCCATGCCACGCCGAATTCTGTTCTTCTGTCACGCAGCTCTTGGTCCTTGGCCGGCTTAGTTTCTTTATGTTCGCCACCGTTCGTCTGCTGTGAAGCAGACGGTGGTATGACGAATGAATCCTCAACACCAACAGGGGTGGACGGCTGCTGTGACTGATCAGGCGACTGGGACTTCACAGCATTCAGCCGGGCCTCAGCAGCCTCAAGATTCTTGCGCAAGCCAATGAAGAACTTGTCGAAGGTGGCATGCACCTCCTCAAAACTGCTGTTTGCTTCTTGCAACTCGACATACGCAAAATTGAGAAGGAAACTGGGGATCGTCAACTCCTGTGACGACAAACAAAGGCGTATATTGCTCACCTTGTCGGGTTGGCCTCGATTCCAGATTTCAGGATATTGAGTGCCTCGTCCTTCTTTTCTTTACGTTTCGCTTCTTGGAGGCTCTGATCGTCGCTGAGCGACATTGTCCACACGTACGCCATGAACCTGAGCAGTTATATTATCAGATCGAACGTAGCTGATGAAGACGGCGGGATCTACCAGATTTCAGGGTAAAAGCGCATGCGTACGACCGCCTTGCGATACACGCTCTGGAGACGGCTGTGTAGCTGAGCCTTGTCCTTCTCCTCAATTTCGAGAGGATTGCTTTCTTCCCATTTGAGATATGCTCGCCAGCGGGCAACGAGAGCCTTCTCTCCGGCGGCAAACGTCGGCACGCGAGGCAGCCATATTGAGCTGCGATGCTTCGATGGCGGAGGCGGTGGAAACAGTACAATAAGGTGTTCTTGCAACGTGTTCAGGACCGTTCTAGCTTGCATGTGCGCTGGAGTAGCGTCTGAGATGAGTTTCTTGGCCTGCCAGGTCCAAAAGGTGAATATCGACTCTTTTGCGCGAGTTCATCACGGACCGTTATCTTATTCAGACCATTCTCCCATTCTTGCCACTCTTCCCAAAGACGTTTCACATTTTCCGTCGGGATCTGCACGACTCGTTGATAAGCCTTGCGTATCGCGTCGTTCTTCTGGCCTTCTTCCCAGGGCGTCGTAGCCTGCGATATGGTTGAATACATATATGCGCCACAGTAACGACCGACACACATCAAGGTCCTTTAGGAACTGCAGGTAGTCGCTCCACATCGAACCGCTCTCCTTGTCATGACCAATGTGGTTGAGTGCGAACTCATACGCTTTCCGGACCGTGTCCTTAGTTGCGGCCGCCGTGTTCATTTGCCTGCAATCCTCGTTAGGATGGGATAACGAATGTGTGGCCACGCCGACGTACTGAACATAGCGTAAGTAGTACTTCCAAAGGTCTACAAACGGCGACGTCTTGAGAGAACGCTTAAACAGTCCTTCCGCGTACTGGTATTTTGTTGGCGAGCTCGACTCGAGGACGTGCCGGATATATGGTATCTGTGCGGACGACTATTCACAATTCAGCCGAAGAATCACAACTTCAAGTAGCTTCCAACGCTAACACTGTTCGGAAATGCTTCAAGCAATGCCTCGTATGTCTGGTTAATCCTCTCGAAGTCCTTACTTTCCTCCGCGACGTCGACCAGCTTCAACCATGCATCGACATCGCGCGGGTTTTCTTTGACTTGGGTCTGCAAAGCTTCCGGCTCCGAAGACTGAGATGCCGACGAAGAACTCGCCTGAGAATCTTGAGACATGACTCGAAAACGAGATGGGAGGAGGAACTGAGGCTGCCGTCCGGACGCGGTTGGGGGAAATCAAGACATGAAGACTTTTCCGAGGTAACTCCCGGATATGGACATATCCTCAAAATGCCGCCCGGTGATGTCTCTCAAGAGTTACTGGAAGACGAAATTGTCGTATAAGCTGAGGGGATGTTCGCTTGGTATCAAGTTATTTTAAAGAGATTCATATTGCTGACAGATGAACCTCCAGTTGACCAAGCGGTTGTAGGCGAGACTTCGCCACGGAAAGCTCGGACGGCAGAGGCTCGAATACAACGCACATCATCCACGAAGGTAGTATTGCCCCGGGGCTATGAGTCGTCTACGGGTCTTTTGGCATTGTGCCTCCCGGCTAACTCGGTAGGAGATGGGATCGATCCCACAGCCTGCTGCAGCATCTCCCAACACGGCCCGAGCGCAAACCGCTCCCATCTACACCGCCTGGGAGGTCAAAGTCAGTCAGCTTCCGTTGGGCGGAAAAGATAGGTTCAGGGCGCCATACCTTCGCTGTTCAGAGCTCTGATTCAACAGAGACAACGCCTTCGTGTATCAAAGATCGCTCTGTCCACCCAACCGTCGCCATTATTGGCACCATTTTCGCCACCTCATACCACCACTCCTGCTCGCCTTCTGAGTCGCTCTCAAGCTCGTCCATCAGCAACATGATCGTGCTGACCTCCGCTTTAGGGTAGGTAGCGGCTATATATGCAGCTATGTGTGGCCAACTTTCCTCCGAGATCGGGTATCTTTCCAGCACCAGACGAATAGGCTCCGATGATCGTCCTGCAGGAACAGGATATTCAGGCAGGATGGACGCGTCAATTGGTATGCTCAGGGAGGTAAGGTCCGGAAGATAGAGTGCACAGTCACCAAGAATCTCTATGCTCGAGAGTGATGTTGAGTTTTCGAGGTCAATCCTTTGCAACTCAGACCATGATATGCCAAGGTCACGACGGAGGAGCTCTCGAGACCAGTGGTACCCGGAAAGCGACACACTAAGATGCCGGAGAGATTGCAGGTGGCCGAGAGGACTTAGGCTCCACTGTGGCATGCTTTCTTTGGCGACGTCGTCTCCCTGAATCGTGAGCTTTGTCAATCGGTGAATAGAGATGGTCTCCACGAGTGTATTCAGATGCTGCGTGTTGGACAATGGCCCTGTATCGCCGAAAGATAGAGAGAGCGAATACAGTTTCTGCGCGGGAACCAGACGAAGGAGAGCGTTGGTGACGAGCACATCTTGGATATCATAAATTTCCAAAGTGGTCAAGTGTGGGAATGTGTCCGCATTGGTCAGGCTACAAGGGATGACAGGCATGGTTTTGGGAGCGGTGATGCTGAGGCTGGCGAGGAAGGATGACATCGTGAGGAATGTGACTATTGTGGGCGTCAGCAACGGAGTCCTCCTTTCCAGTGACCGCAGCTTCTTGAAGCGGGGGAGAGCAGCGAGCAAGTACTCATCCCAGTTCGCGATTGAGAGTGTGTTTAGCTCGGAACATTGGTAGCTCAGAGACCCAACAATGGATCTAGAGATGTCGATGGCATATGAATTTAGAGAGAACCGCTGGAGTTTGGGGCTCAGCAACACAGGCATGTAGGGTGAGGTATCTAGGAGTATTTCGCCGCCGAGGAAGGAGAGGCTCTGGAGGTTTGTGAAGGGTGACGAAGCATGTGGCAGGCACATAAAGATCGTTCGGAGGTGGTTTATCGAAGGGCTTCGTCGAAAACGCAGCTCCGTGATGCGAGAAGCATTGACCATGAACCGAGACCAATCTTCACCAATGGGGCATCGTGTTATCTAGCATGTATATAAAATATGCGCAAGGATACAGCATACTAGTTGAATGGAATGCTTACAATGACACCAGATCGCCCACGTTTCTCCCACGCATCGGAGGGTAAACATTTCATTAATGGCCCCAAATCCGCGAAAGAAGACCATAAGGCATTCATTGCGGGTTCGTTGAACAGTTTGCAAGTGCGGGCCATCGAGGCTTGTGCCTTTCTGGGCGAGAGATCGCCCCTGTCCTCGGAATCGGCTAAAGCATCGACGATAACGCTCAGGATTTCTGCTACTTGCAAACAGCGATGCATAATGAAGAAGCGGCGAGTAGAACGGGCGTTGGCTGTGGTGGCTGGCTATGAGCCTGAAGCCAGCTTACATTCGAACGTGAACGTGAAGAATATTGTGATTGCGCGCGTGAAACGATCAATCGGGCTGGGTCTGGAATTGAAATTTAATGAGAATCTGTGAGACATATGCCGGGTAGTCGGCGCACGTCCGCCAGGAATGCCACTAATAGGTGAGAAACTGCGCTATACGATGCTGCTTCATACGAGACACGAGGCTCTGCCACGAAGATTTGTATGGACAACTTTACTAGCACACGCCTCAACAACGGACATAGTATTGCTAAGATACTGAAGGCGCACGCTGACTGTGTCTTGATTTCTGACACGCTCTCAGCCTCTCACCCAAATATGTCCATGTTCAAGCAGTCAAGCGCGGCTCCAAACTGCCGGTTCTCGTCCCACATGTTCGAAGTTTAATGAGAGGCGGTATTCCTCCGACACACGTCCAGTGCAGTGTCTCAGCGGACTCGTCCGGCCCCGCATTGCTGTAATTCCCGCACTCGCGGTTTGATAAGTCTCGTCTCGGGTGCGTCGTGAGCTGTGATGCTGCCCGCGAGATGATTTAAGACGACTCTTGGCTTCGAGACGTGAAGTGGCAGTGTCTTCGGCGCGATGGCGACGTATAGGTCAACAAAGACAAGCTCTGACATGCGACAGCTTGGGCGGGTGCCGTGCACACTGCGGGAGCGCGTTGTGCGGAAGTTTGCCCGGAAGAAAGGCGTAACAGTCTGTTCGAATTCGTAAGTCAAAATTCCGAGGTCCGGCCACACTGGTGCGCCGGCGGTCGAACTCGGTGACTCCTCATCCATAGCGCAATAATTCGAAGCGGACGTCAAGGATCTTCAGTTCTCGGAGAAAAAGCAGCAGCCGGATGCTAAATGCCCCTTTTACTTCCAAGTTGACTTTCGAGTCCCCGGTGTCTGATCGCCGCAGAGCGAGCTGAACAACTTGAAGGTTCGAGAATTGTTGAGATTGTCGCGGGATGTCGTTGATGCTTCGGCATCTCGAATACTAGTGTTCAGAGGCGTTCAACTCGGAGCCTGCAAGAGGTGATAGTGGAGAAGAGATGTGAAATGATGCCGATGTCCCGGATTTGTGGCAATACTGAATCGGTTAAGTTGTAGAATGCCACGTTATCCGGCCAGATGGTACGGTTCAGCTGATAGTAGGGACGGAGAAAAAAGCCACTTAACATGCATAAGGTGCGGAGTCACCAAGCGCGTCTCCTGCGGGTGCGTATTCCCTCTGGACGGGTGAATCGGACGATAAATTACACTGCTAGGAGCTACCACCGTCAGGGGGCTGGAAGAATGCCGTTTAGAGTTCCTGAAGGCTAGAGCTGTGAGGAAAAAAAGTCAACACGAAGTGTGACTGCAACGGGCGTAATGTCAAGAGAGATACTCAGCTGGCGAAAGACGGTTAAGGAAAGGGGCGCAGCACCGGCAAATTATATCGGCGCTTGAAGCTGACTATGGAGAATTGTTGACTGTAAGCTGGCCACCGGGATTGTACATTTCCAGGTACTTCACCCTTTTCGCTTTCACGAGGCAGCACTAGCATTCGACATCCCTAGGTTCCCACAAAATATCTTATTGACATAGGTGTTAGCGTCACTGCAGTAAGAGATCGAAAAGAAGAAAAGAAATCCCTGCAATATCGTGATTTTGTGGTGGACATATCCTGAGGCAAGGTTGCCATTAAAAAGACTCGAGCAGGGACGAAAGAACAGCCCCGATACGGTCCATATTATGCAGTGTTCTTAAAAAAAGCTTTCAGTTACGTGCGGCCGCCGCGTAAGTTGCCATTCGCCGGAAAAGGTAGTGGCGACTGGCCCCTCCATTCCGATACTACCGTATTGAACATAATCCTCAGAATCCCGGGCTTCTGTGGATAGTGGTGCTCCTCTGTGCTGGGTAATATCGCCGGGTTTCAATATGCTATTTCACTACAAGTAGCTGTAGCAAAATTATTTGAGGACGGTACATGCGCATATCCGAGGAAAGAACCAACTCGCGCACCGCACCAGGCCCTGCGTGCCGTGGGCAGCGCAGTTCGGCAATCGTGAGGCACCCACTCTGAGCGAGCGATTCAAACCTGTCGCGTCGCAGGCGCTTAGGACTCAGTACTATGCCGCTGCCACCCAAATATGGAAAGTCGCGCCTCCGCTCTCTGTTCTCACCGAGACTGAAGTTGACTTTCATGTACCTGCCTGGCCATTCCCTGGCATCACGTTCTTTTCAGACTTGACAGACCATCTAATTCTACGTGTATTGCTGATTGCAGCAGAATCATAGTCCAACGCAAAGAGGAAGACCTAGATTCCACGGACGAAGAACGCGCCGATGTCGATAGCAGGCGAAGAACGCGATGGGATTGTGTCTGAGGGGATGTCGGTGTCTAGCTCGAGCAGTGTTCCTTTTCCACCTTCATCTGCAAACCTGGCGTCGCAGAGTGCGCCTGTTCTAGTTCGTGAGTACACTTGGCGCAAGCTTGGGTAGACCTGGTGTTGACCAGGCGATAGACTCTGAGTCTTCGAGCTCCAATCTTACGAGCTCAGACAAGCTTTCCGCACTCCCTGGGATACACTCATCGCCCGCTCTGGATCGCCTGCTACAAGCTACGCGACCTGCAAGGCGAAGCTTGGACGCGCCCGGCTCTCAGGTTCTACCTTCGCTCGAGTCTGCGTCCCCAGGTCTCGTCAATCTGTCGAGATTCCCATCTCGTGCAAGTGGGTCAGAGAACTCTGTAGCTGGACGTGAAACTCCGAAACAGCGCGTCTCGTTTGAGAGCGACCATGTTTCGCTACCTGCGACATTCCAGAATATCAGACAAGGTGCGTGTTTCTGCCAGCCCGCTTGGACATTAATTGACAGTGGACCTACTAGCAATGTCGAGCCGTGTATCTCAGCGCAATGACCCGTCTGCCGCATCACCATTCGCTCGCTCCGAAGAAAGTTCGCACCCTGCATCACAGTCTCAACGTCCTACCATCAGTACCTCTCCTCGTAAGCAAGGCGCCACCACTCCACATTCTGCATCACCTTCACAATCTCGCGCCGCGTCGCCTCTCAGGTGGTTTGGTTGGAACCTTCATCGTGCACATTCCCGAGACGAGCCGTTCATTCCGGTGGACCCCTTCCGAATTCACTTTCCGTTCTTCGCTTCGCCCTCTTCTACTCCGCAGCGGTCCAGCGTAGCTCTCCTCGACGTGAATTGTGCAACGTGTCTGCCCTTACCGACCAATTGCACGCCCGGATCGAAGTTTCGCTTCCGCTCCTGCGCGCACGGACTTCGGAAGGCTTTGACGGACACCTTACCGCGCCATATTTACCTACACAGCCTCTTCCGTCTACCAGCCCTCTATTTTTCCCGCGTTGCCCGTATATTCGAAGACGCAGAGGTCAGCAAGCACGAAATACAACGGATGATTGAGGCTTGTGCACCCGCCAATACCGAGAATGACCTAGCTGCAGGCATTGGTGCCAATCTTGGTATCAGTGCTGCATTCGGCCCAGCTCGATCCCGCAATGGAGGCTCTGTGTTCCCTTTCCCCGAAGATTGGAACCCACCAACTGTGTCTCCCGCGCTCTCTCGTTTCAAGCATTCTTGGGAGTTGTTCGTCGATACGCTCATTCGCGAATGGAAGACACTTAACTTGGTCTCTGTCTTGCTGTGCACGTATGTGACACCGTATCTCATCTGCCGCCCTACCTGATCTTCACCCTCCAGTGCGATCCTTACAATGTTCCAGATTCAGGATGCCGCTGGCGACCCTCTGACCCGCTTCGCGGCTCTGTTTTCGCTCATTTTCGCTATAATGAGCCTGACTTATGGCTGCGTTTACATCGTTCAGTTCGGCGCTATGCGCAGCATGTACAAAGCATCTCGCTGGGCAGAGGTATGTCTCGCCTCTAAACCAAATTTTCTGGTGCTGACCACCATCGCAGGAGGCGCAGAAGACCAAGACATTCATTTGGTGGAACATCTGGGTCCTTCTCGCGATGCCCGCCATCTGGCTCGCCTGGGCGATGGTCGCCTTCTGCGTCGCCATCCTGTCCTACATCTGGCGCACCGGCTCGTCCGCGGACCCGTCCGACGGCACGCGCCAGCCACTCTCTCCGAGCCAGGCGCTCGCCGTGCGCATCGTGCTCACGGCCGTCTTCACACTCGGGCTGGTCTACTTCGTCATGGCCCTGCGCACGTTCGCGTCCTACGGCGAGCGCGAGGCGGGCTGGCGGCGCAGCTGGCTCGCCACCAGGCACCCCAGGATGGGCGAGCGCGCGCGCGAGCGGAGGCGGCCGGAGGAAGACAGGGATCGCGAACGTGGCAGGCGCAGGGAGCGTGATCGGCAAGGGCAGGGGCACGAACGGGAGCGCTCGCCCGACGTGGATGGAAAGCAGAGCCCCATCACGGGACTGGGCCTCCTTGGTGTGTCTGGCAGCAGCGTCAAGGGCTTTGCGAGTGTCTCGAGCGTCCTGGCGGAGGACTCAGACGGAGAGAAGGGTGAGAAGAGACACAGCACGTATCCGATGGGCGACTTGAAAGGGAAGGTTTCACCGAAACTCTGACAAGCATTTATAGATTACGACGCCTTATGACCTGCATATACCGCTTTGCATACAACATTTTGCATTCTGTTGATACCACGCGCGCTCTCGCTGTTGCATTCATTGTTGTAACTTGATATCCCGCATCATGTATTTTATACACCTACGCCGTTGTAATGTCCCGTCAGCGTGTCACATCTTAGATTTGCCCTTCTCCATCGGCCCACCAGCCGTGCAAAAAACCTTGCGCTACTGCTTCTGAACCATTGTCATCTATCTGCGGATGTCCGAAATCGTGGATAAGCTAGAGCCCTTCAGGACAAATGGTTGCTCACCTCTGCTTGTTCCGTCACGCCCGTGCTACCAAAACGCTGTCGCTCGTCAGCGCGAGCCCGGACGAACAGTGGGACCAAGTCGTTGACTTTGAACCAGAAGTCGATGCGAGCTGCCGGGTCCTTCTCGTCAACATCCGGGATAAGCATATCCGTGAGCCCCATTGCTGGGAAACCGCATTTTGGATAGATCGCGGCAATGTAGGTTGCGACCAGCCCTGGCTTGGCTCCCTCCTCGATAACGTTGTGGTGGAAGGTGAGAACAATGTGGCGTGTGCTTCGGTTGCGCGGTGGCTCTGTTCCGCGGAGGGAGAGTGACTTTAAATCGAGTTTGAGCGATTCAAGGCGAGGCATATACCTGGCGAACAGGTCCAGGACATCCAATGGGAGCCTGATGTCTTCTGATGCTGACGAGCAGCGGCTCCGGGATATATAGAGTTTTTTCAGGGAAGGGAGCGTGCGGCATAAGGCAGGTATATCGTCTTTCGTGACTGCGACGCCTAGAATAAAAACGCGCGGCCTCTCCAAGCGATCGAGCTGCCCGATGGATAGCAAAGGGACCGGTGGACCTGAGACCAAAGGATCGCCACTAAGTTCCAAACGGGATAGCGTCGAATGCCGGGAAACTGCGTGAAGAAGATTTGCTAGAGCATGGCTCTCGGACTCGCCGTCTAGACGAAGGGAGAGTTCGCGCAGAGAAGTGGGTTCTATGAGATGCAGCATGCGTGTTGCGGTTTCAATGGAGACAAACACAGCCGTAAGATCGACAAGCGTAGTAACTCTAAGGGAACAGAGTTGCGGCTTTTGGGAAAGGTGGATTGCAGTCGAAGGGGGTAGCCCATCTTCGCACACAACGCTGGTAAGATTCTGAAGACCGAGGAGCAGGAATGTTGTCTCCGAGGTAAATGCACGAGTATGCCCGGACAGAACCTGCAGGTTGGGACAAAGACGAACCAGCTGGCTCACCAATGTGTCCACTTCGACAGGATCTTCCGTGCTGCTCGTGATATGGCATTCCACAACGCTGGCGCTGAGGAATATCGGTAGGCAGGCTGCTAGCTCCCACGACAGACTGTAAACCTCCAGCGTGCGAAGATTGGGGAACAAAGTTGCCATGCGTGGGTTGTTTACTCGGATAGTATGCAGCTGACTAGCTATTCCATTGTATGCTGATAGTTAGAGAACACGGACTCGAGCCGTATTTCTTAAGAACCGGGCCCAGTGAAGTTCTCCAGGAGAATGATAGGCCTGGGATGTATCGTCAACGGCCTGCAAGCAGTGCAGCAGAGCAAAAGTTGGAAAGGCTTACAATGCGTACACTCGTGCGCTGTAGCGCAGCGTCGGATGCATCGGGTAATGTAGCGAAGAACCGCTTCAGTGACTCCACATGAATTGTTCTCCAGAGTGCATCCGTAGCGGGCTCGCAAAAGGCCCTGCAAACTCGTGCCAGAGCAGCATACGTGGGACGCTCTGACTTGGAGATCTTATCGCGCCAGTAATAACCAATAAAGCCATCGAGCATCTGGGGCTTTACGGAAGGTACGTTCGCGATGATTTCGCGTAATATCTCATGTTCCCGCAGGCACCGGTGCATTTGAAACGCCTTACAATTACGACATACGTAGAGCTAGTTAGTTCGTGTCTCTCACATATGAGAAATCCAGACTCACTAGTCGTGGTGTCAGAAAAGTATATGATGATCGTACTTCTATGTTAAACGTGAACGTTGAACGTTGAAACTAAGTTGGGTGCATGCGCAGCGCGGCCTCCGGCAAATAGCTTGAACGCCGATTCTCCCGCTTTGTATCCTAAGTCCTCACCGCGAACAGCAAGCTCAGTTGATACACTCTCTCGACTCTTGATGCCCTGAGCTTGAGCTTGGAAACCTGAACGTCAAAATTTTATATATAATGTTTCATATATAATTTGACAGGTCTTCTCAATATTGGCTGATCGGCAAAGTGCCATCCCGGGATCGCAAAGCGTATGCTGCGCTGGCAAGACACGTCGAGCATTCTATGGGCTCGCCACGGATGCACTCTAGAAAATTATCCTTTCACTGCAGCCTGTGTTGAGAGCCGGCTGCCACCCACTGTAGATAATACCGAAGTAAGCAGCTAGCTTCTCATGCGACTTCGAATTCATGGCATGTACCTGGCTCAAGGGGATCCTTTATGCTCGGCCTAAGGGCGTACCTCATACAACGAGTTTCTAGGTTCACCTGATGCCATGATCTGACACACACACATAGAAACACTACCGAGTTTCGTACTCGTCGCAAATTCGAAAATTACTCCACCGAAAGAAAGACCGTTATTAGCAACCTAACTAATAGAAGAAAGACCGAACTGTTGCCCAGTGAACTGGTCGCACTTCCGCGCTGCTACGATATTACAGCAAGATTAAGCGACAAGGGAGGGCAAGATATTCCAGAACACTCTACCTTCTATCGGCCATGCTCGTGGACCCACAAGCCCCATCCAGCCGTCTTTCAGTCGCCCTGCGCTGCACAATCTCGGGAATCCACGCTTCGATCTCGTCGAGGATTTCGATAGTATCCGGGTCCGAGAATGCGATGTCGTCGCTGAGCCGCAGGGCGAGCTTGGGGTAGATCTTGGTGATGTACTCGAGCATGTGCCATAAATCCCGTCGGCACGAGAGCAACGACGCGTGCGGGTGGAAATACAGAGGGTTTGGCGAGCATGGGAGCGGCTTGTTTGGGACGGGTACGGCCGCCTGGGTCGTGTCAACGGTAAGATAAAGATGTGCAAGGCGCGGACACTTCTGCGCGAAGTGGCAGAAGATCTCGGGCGTAGGAAGGGAGACAGCGGTACGTGGAGCGACCGGAGTGTCGTTGTTGCAACAGTAGAACCACTCCAAATCCGGCCAGCTCTGGGTTAGCCATTTGATAGACTCGTTGTTTAATTCATTGTTGGCGACTACGTTCTGCAGGCATATTCTGCGTATCGGTAGTAAGGTGAGTCCTTCCAATGCGGCAAAAGGGGCACGCAGGCCGTGGTTGGCGGCCGACAAGAAGAGATCATCAAGCTGAACGTACGACGCTAGCGCATCAGTCAAGCGAACGACCGCATCCTCAGGTAGAGGGAAACGCAGCGTTGGCGCGAACGTGTAAGTAAATTTGCGCAATTGTCGCGACTTCATGTGTTGTAAGAGTCTCGTCACCGCATGCAAGTCCGTGCCGCGAAGATTGAGGATCTGGAGGGAAGGGAAGAACGATCTCAACTCTTCTGCAGTAATATTTCGCAGGGACTCTTGCTCCAAAGGCGAGTTCGTGATCCACTCTGACAGACCATTCAACGAGCCCAGATAACGAAGGCCTGGTTCACCAATTGACGCAGACGGCGTATGGGTGAAAAACTTGAATGATGTCAGGTTGGCATATGTTGCTACGATGGCAGAGACGTCGACAGAGGAAGTGGAAATGTACAGGCGTTTTATGTTCGGACAGTATCGTGTCATCTCGTGCAGCGTAGAAACCACGCCATGCACATTGGACTCCAGTGAGCAGTCGGTGATCGACGGGCCGAGGAGTAGAGAGGAATAGTGAAACAAGTCTGTCCGGTCCGTCCCTTTCCAATAGAGGATTCTGAGGTTAGGAAAAAGGATAGTGTCGCGAGGTAAGTGGATTCTCAGGTGCGGCAAGACGTCCAGCCCAGGCAATCCTTGCTCAGACACGTAAATCTCCTGGATGCGAGCGGCATACTCGTGTACTCGTTGCCAATCGTTCTCTTTCCAAGGCGGTCTGACCAGCATCTTTCATATCGCCTTTAGCATATTACTATATCTAGCATGAGCAGCTCCCGCACTCACCCATTCACCCAGCTCGTCCTGCGCCCAAACATCAGGTGGCAGGCATCTGAGTAAAGGGACGAGAGTTGACATTTTGTGCCACAGCGCGTTCAGCGCATAGCAGCAGATTGTCTTGCAGGTACAGCTCAAGGCCAGCAGGGTGCGCAGCTGTTCGTCCGCGCCGAGTTGTTCGATGATGTTACGGACAACATCAAGGCTCAGGGCCATTTCTGTCCGGGACTGCACTACTGGAAAACTGTGATATGATAGTTGTCGAGGAAGTGTGGAAGGCAGAGAAGCCGTACTGACAGCATTCGACGGCGCCCCGGAGACGGCGTGCCTGATGGGCATTTCCCGCTCAATTCACAGAGACTTCCAGCCAGAGAAACGCACCACCGAATCGCGCCAAAGGATTCCTGCCTCGCATTGCAACCCTCTCCTTTTTATTGTAGAATAGTGCTACGAGTGGTGCTCCCGCGTCCTGCACTGGAACAGCAGCGAGATTCCGCGATAACACCTCGAGGCTGGGGCTTGAGGATTCGGCGTTCAAATGCTCAAGCTCAAGCTTGAACTGCAACGAGCGAAGGCGACGTCTTCCCAAATCTGCGCAAGGCTGTGGCAACCCTGGCGTATCAAGGGGCTGGGGTGATAGACAGGCGGGTTCAAATAGTTCGGAACAGACAGGATAGAGACTGCGCGGCAACTCTGACTTGAACAGCCAGCATAGGACGAAGCGATGAACAAGTTCTTTGCCGTAGTCAAGCAGGCGTTATGCGTTGTAGGGATCTGCGTAGTGATGGTCGCGGGGAGAGATAACCCGCAAGCGGTTGATCCTCGCGCGTTTCCAATGCGGGTCGCGACTTGCAGTGCACTGCACAGACCTTCTGCAGAGACGAAGGAGATTCAACTATGTGAGTGATATGTCTTTTCAGCGAGCACGAGAAGTCTCAAGAGTATTAACACACCTTTTCAGCCTATGTTGATGTAAATTCGGATGCGGAGAAAACGCTGCTCATGATACACGGCTGGCCCAGCCTATGGCACAGCTGGAAGTACCAGATAGAAGAGTTTAAGGTGCGTTTCCTGTGCTGCTAGCCATATACTAGACCGTTTGAACCATCATTCACCCTCTATTTGTGTACCGGGCTTAGAACGACTACCATCTTTTGCTTCCCAATCTTCGTGGGTTCGGCGAGTCCACTCATCCAGGAGATGTCGAGTCCTCTAGTACGATGGAAGACTTGGTCAAGGACCTCGTTTGCATCCTGGAACATGCAGGTGTCCCCAAGGCGGCATGCATGGGGTGCGCAGAGTCCTTCCTATCGCCATGTTCGAGCTGCTTACCGATTTCAAAGACACGACTGGGGAACGCAAATTTGCCACGAGGCCGCTCGCATGCAACCAGATATCTTTGACGCTGTTGTTGGCACGGGTGTTCCTGTAAGCTAATACAAGACAGACTAAGAGGCACGATACTGATGATATGCACCATCGCTAGTATCTCCCGTACAAAGGAACTTTCGTGCCGGCTAGAAGCCTTACATACATGTTCCCGAAGCTCACATATGTCTTGTTCTTCGAAGGCAAGACGAACGAAGCCATCAAAGAGCTCGGAAATGACGTCCGCCGGACTCTCCGCGCAACATTCCGTAGCGTCGACAGTCCCCCGCCCGATGCGTTCTTGCGGCAAAAGGACTCGTTCCTACGGGGTTGGGATGACGTGAGCGATGTGCGTTTGCCTGTATCTCTGTCTGCGTTGCGACGTTCGATTCTGACGAATGTGCAGATACCGCCAATTCCGTTCTTCACCGCAGAGGAAGAAGACTACTGGGTTGAGCAGTATGAGAAGGATCGCTTCGCTCATAGTACGTCCGCCACATTCAATTTATGAACATACTGAATCATCATCTGTCCGCAGCGATGTACTTCTACACTTATGGCGTATGTTCTCACCTACCTTTACTCCAAACGTGCGCGTCTGACAGCGCTTTCAGAACCGTTACACATCATGGGCTATTGCAAATGGCCAGCTGAATCAGGTCATTTCCGCTCCTGTTCTATCAATCCTTCCGACACAAGATCCCGTCGCCGACTGGGTCGCCGCTACCAAGCTCGTCGACATTGCGACGTGTGTCCCTAATCTGACCACTAAGGTACTTCATAATTCCACTTCGCAGATTAAGAGCGTTGTTCATGAAACACTTGCTAGACCGTCGCCGCTGCCCACTGGTTACAACTCGAGAAGCCTGAGGAGGTAAATGCTATCATGCGCAAGTGGCTGAACGAGTGGTACCCGCCTCCCGGGAAGGCCGTTGAGGAGCCTGCTGGAGAGGAGGAATCTACTGAGGGCGGAGAACACTCCAAGGGGGAGGAACGCTCCAAGGAAGAGGAGAAGGATGATATCATGCGGCAGTGGGTGGGCCAATTCTATCCGCCTGCCGCGGCCGTGATGGACCAGCAGCGCGCAAAAGATGAGCTGTGATAGGCTGCGTAGACGGATTGTTATGCCGAGAAGATTATCTTTTATCCGTGTTTGAAAGTAGATTAAGGAGACAATATTTGCGCCTCTGGGTCGTCCAATAAACTACTCAGCATGATTATGAGTATGCGAGGTTCCTGCCTGGTTCTCCCGCCGCCGATGTGTTCTGCCCTGCTTTCGTGGCCTCTGGCCTTCTCTCCTCTCTCGAGACAACAATTATACAAAACCGGAGAAGGCGCTCTCTTTGGAGGCAGATAGGCATTGTCAGATCGTTGAGAGCGTGGTAGGACCGTGGTGGAGTGACGAAGTTGAACAATGTTAATGCTTGTGGTTCATAGCGAGCCCAGTTGATCGGTGTCGCTTACTACTGCGTGCACACCAGTTCGTATGTCTTCTGGATACGACTGCTATATTTCTCATAGACAGAAATTTTTAAGCTACGCGAGAAATAGACCGAAAGATATGTCACTCAAGCTCAATAACCAGTGCCATGACAGCTTTGTGTTTCTTCTCTCGGCGGCGAGAGACGGAGTCGGGAGCTGGGTGAGTCTCTAACAAGTAACCTTCCCCCTCCTCTTCGTCTCCGCCATCTGCCACCTTACGCTTCCCACTTTTAACATCTCCTTGGAGTAGCTTCGAGTCACCAGAGGAGAAGTCGCCGCCCTTCCTGCTGCGTTTCTTGCCTACGCGTTTGAGTGCCGCCTGTTCCGCCGCTTTCTCTTCCATCCACCTCGGATAGTCGTCGATGAGCTGCGCAAGCCACTCGGTGTCATATCCGATGCATTTGATCGACCATACTCCAAATTCCTTAGACCCAATTATATCAGCAGGAAGAATCGTGCACGAGTAGTGGAAAGTCTGCTGACCTCATCACCCCGCGAGTATGCTTCGATGATCTGTTCATCTGTCACACTGTTCAACGCGGTTTGATTGTTCATCAATTGTTCGCGCTCTTTTTTCGTAGGTTTTCTCCCTTGATGCCTCGAGCGAAAAAATATTCTGGCCAGGATGTAGTTGCCCCAGCCGCGCTGCCTTTTCAGCTCTTGAGCCCACGTGAGTTTCATCTAGTGGTGGAGCATATTCTTTGAGACAGTGTTATATTATATGATAGGCATAACATACCTTCGCAGGTTGATCAGCAAATTCTTGAGGGGTGAGCGGCTCGGCTCCAACAAAGGTGTACATGCCGACGTACAGCCACTTCCCTGCATCGAGCCGGACGAACATCCTGCAAGTGCGTTTGTTGGGTTCGCAGTTCAATACAGACCCGCCAGGCTCATAGATCAAGCCAGGTGCACCGGGCACTTGAGGAGCATGCGGATTAAATTCGAGACTTGGGAACGCCCAGTCGTCGAGCCCGTGCTCTCTAACCTTCTGGGCAGATATCGTTGGGAAAGTCTCGACGAAACTTCCGCCAAACCGGTTGCTAAAATAGTACCGCGAGAACAGGAAGAACTTGTTCACATTATCCTCGATCGGGTATATTTCGAACCCGATCTGGCGAAGACGTCTGTAGAGGATCCTGTCCGAGAAGGTGAGATTTTTCTTCACTTTCGCCTGCGACTGGGACCAATGGTAGGCAAATGGAGGCAAATTAGCATCAGCAACGTACGTTATTTATACATGCGAGCGCGTCCCGTATTTGCTGATCAGTTATCTCTTCGTAGACGATCCTGACATGCGAGCCACCTTCTGGAGTAGCGGGATCGGGCAGCTGGGGCGGAGCGATATCTTCTTTCAAGCTGGCCTTGTCCAATGGTCAAGCGACTCCGTCATGTGTCAGCACTATAGAGGGTGCGGACCTTGTAAAGATTGTTAAAAGCGTGCTGCAATTGCTCGTCAGAGATAGGTTCACGTTTCACAGACGTTGTGATGTTGATATCCTCCGCCTTTGGCCCTTAAAAGGAGCAAAATAAGCCAAATAATCGGGTAACCGGCCAGACCAACTGTACTGTCGCAAGGTGTCTTACTTTTCGCAGCATTGTCATTGATGAGACTAGCAGAGCGGTGCGCACGTAGCTCTTTGAGGGTTGGCAGAACAACCTCTACTCGTTGCAGCTTGCGAGGGCGGCGTTTTCTGGTGAACACGTCCCATTCTTTGGAATCGGAGGCATGCTCTAGCACGTTAATTCCACCGCTGTTTTGCGAGTCAGCGTGACACACTAGCACTGATTGCGATCGACATACATTTCTGCACTAGATGCCTGTGGACTAGTCTGACCAGTCGGTGGTAGCCGGCTCAGACTTGAGCTTGAAAACTGAAGCGAGCGTGCTGGGCCGAGATCGCTTTGAGTCTTGCCCATGTCCCCACAGGGCATTTCAAAGATGGCCTTTGCAATGTCTGACGGAGCCATAATGCGTCAAATGCCCCCTTGATCAAGATATGAGAAGGCAAGGCCCAAGTCGGACTAGCCGGCCGAGATTCATGCCAAGCGCTGTTTCTGCAGTCTCCCAAAAATATTCATAGTGTTAACGATGATAAAAATTTACGGCTTGGTAGAATAATATTTTATGTCTATTCTAGTGAATCTGAGATGTAGCATTTTGCCTATCTCCATGCATTTACGAGTATACAGCAAAATGCCGTAGCCTGGCCGACTTCCGGGCACGTGACAGTACTACCCCGGGCCTCCGGCGCCCCGGCTCGGGCGAGTTCACAAGGGGCCTCCCAATCACCTGGTCATTCAGCGCTCAGCGCTCAGCGTTCACTGATACTTCTCCCGACGCTCACCACCACTTCAGTCTCATTTTCGAAATTACTCTCAGGCTTTCAGAAAAATTCCAGTTGATTCCATCCGGGGGCTACCACGGCTTCGCTATGCATCGCTGTTTCCGAGTACCGGAAATTCTAAGCATTATTATCGACGGCTTAGCCGATTTTGAAAGAAGGGCCGATATTCCATTCAAACGAGCGCAGGCATTAGTGGCCCGCACGTGCAAATTGTTCCACGAGCCTGCAATGAACGCTGTATGGTCTTCTCTTGGAGATTTGGAGCCATTGATTAGATGCCTGCCCTCAGAAACATGGAAAAAGGATGAAGCATCGGGTCATGTCATCGTGAGTGCCGCATGCAATGAACTTAAACACTCTAACATTGTATGACTTTGATGCACACCTTAGATGGTTCGGGGTCCTGTCGGCGAAGAATGGGCTCTATTCCTAATTAACGCAGCTCGTGTGAAGAGCTTGGATATTGCACAAGCCATACGATTGAAAGATTATCTCCGCACAATGCGCATGTACCTGCCATCCCTTTCTCCACCTTTCCCAAACCTTCAAAGCCTCGCCTTTAATTGTCGCATATCACTGAACGCTGCGGTGTACATCCCTGTGCTGCTGAACTCAAAGCTCCAGAAGTTTTCACTGTCATTGAACGACGGAGATGTCGTGTCCTCTGTCCTTGGGTTCCTGAGCAGCCAATGTCCGGAGGTTCATTCACTTTCGCTTGCGAACTGGGACGAACACGCGCTGGCTGCTCTCCCCCGGTTTGAGAAGCTACAGTCTCTGGGATACCGGGTACCAATGTCCACGCCGATAACCGTATCATTCCTCGCGACGTCCACCTTCCTCACCACCCTCAGCATTCGTTCTCCCTGCACTATGTCTGTAATCCCCAACATTGTGGCTAGTTCTGATACATTCCCTCATTTGGCCGACCTGAATGTCTACGACATCCAGGATGTGCTCGTTATAAACGCTCTACTCCGCCTAGTTCCTTATCAAAAGCTTTTTTGGCTCTGCCTCGCGTTCGACCCATCAAAGCCGCTATCTAATATGGACAATATGAACACGCTCGTGGAAACCGTTTCCAATCTCCATTCCTTAGCGCAGCTCATGATTATTAGGCCCCATCTCGCTAGAGGCGGAGCGCCGCGGTGGGATTGCCAGTGGGATTTAGGCCCCCTCCGGCGACTCTCCTTTCTCCAGCATCTTGGCATATCACTTCCCGGGTACGAATGGTCCCGGGAACTTCTTCGCCATGTCTTCGGCACTGCGTGGCCCAAATTGGAGGTCTTGTCCCTCGCAGACTGTACATCGCTCTCAAGTATAGAGATCCTTGGAGACTGCGCACTCTATCTTCCAAACCTCCTCTTTCTAAGTATCCCAATCGATGCAACCATTTATCCAGAGCATCCAGTTCCCACGGCACGCTCGATGGAGCCTATTCGGCTGTCGCTGGAGCAATGTCCAATTTCCGATAACAGCTGGCCATACATAGCTGCATATATAGCCGCGGTGTATCCACAGGCAGAAATCGAAACTCCAGAAGCCGAGACGGATGACGAAGACGAGAAACGATGGTGGCACAAGGTGGCGAGGATGGTGCCAATAATGGCGATGGTTGGGCAGACAGAACGGTCCTTGATACATGATGGCACTATTCCGGTCGAGCCCGTTTTCCAAGCTCAAACGACGGTATGACACTCGGAATCTAGCTACGCTGCTGCGCATAGCTAACTCTACCCTCGCAGGCAGCGTAGAAGGGCGTGTTGTGCTCTTGAGCCGCTTTGGGAAACGCAGCGGCAGGCCGCAGGATGCCGCCCGTCTTATTCAGGAGTCGCAAGGTTCGACTCGCCGCAGATGACTCATAAGTAATGGATACAGTATTACCATAGCCTAGCGCGCTGGTTCTCGTACAGTACGGGTCGAGAGCAATCTTGAACACCGATATTTATGGATGAGGCGCGTGACTAGGTACTCGCTACTACATGAAATTAACCATACGTTGTACGCCGCGTGTGCCTCGCCATCCAAAGTCATGCAGCTCAGCAACATCATAGGTGACAGCGGGAGTAACGGAATCCATCTAACATCACCCCGAATTGAGCTCAATGATGCTAGCGGCGGCGGCGACGGCGGATCTCGAGCGCTATTTTTTGGCGAGTTCTCTTCGGGACGTAGATTGGCTTGGCTACTTCAAGTTGTACCCCATCGTCATCCTCGATGTCCTCGACGTCATCATCATCCAAGGTCTCATGCATCCGCTCGCGTTCCTCTGAGCTTGATATCGAGTCGAGGACCTCGGCTTTGCGCTTGGTACCAGCCTCGGCAGCCTTGCTAAATTGCTGGGCACTTGCGCTCGGTTTCGGTGCTTTTTTACTCGCCCTTCTATTTGACGCCTTTCCCCCCACCTTGGCTTTCTTTTTCTTCTTCAACTGGGCCTCTCGATCTTCGAGCCATTTTGGATAATCTTCAATGAGCTCAGCGATCCACTTGGCATCGTGGCCTATGCACTTCATTGACCATACGCTGAAGACCTGGCGGCGGTACGCACGTAAGGAAATTGCGCATCTATTCATGCCATGCATACTTTAGACTTACTTCCTTTCCTGTGCTAAAGGCATCCACGATCTCTTGCTCAGTGACGCTATTGAGGGCGGCTTTGTTGAATGAAACCTCCTTGAGCTCGTCTTTCGTAGGTTCTCTTCCGTTATACTGGCGGCGAAAATATACGCGCGCTAGAATATTGCTGCCCCAAGTGCTATGTGCTTTGATCTCCTTTGCCCACGTCCGCCTGATCTAATTAGTTAGGCCATGTTTCAGTACCACTGCACTATCTTTGAGCGTTTTCGAAACATACCCTGTCCGGCTGGCTGACGAATTCCTCGGGCGTAAGCGAGTCCGAGGGAGCAAAGGTGTATTTGCCGACGTAGAGCCACTTGCCACAATCGAGCCTGACAAATACTCGGCTGGTCCATGATCTACGAGCTTTTCCAGCGGGCGTATAGAACAGCCCGGGAGCTCCGGGTACTTGAGGCGCATAAAACAGTCCAGGAGCTCCGGGCACTTGAGGCGCATGCGGGTTATACTCGAGACTTAGAAACGCCCAATCGTTGATCTTGTGTTCCTTCAGTTTTTCCTCCGACATGGTTGGGAAGGTCGCGACGAAACTACCGCCATATCGGTTGCTGAAGTAGTACCTGGAGAAGAGAAAGTATTTGTTGACGCTGTCTTCCACCGGGTAGATCTCGAGTCCTATTTTCTGGATGCGCCTGTATAAGATTCTATCCGAGAACATGAGGTCCGTTTTGATTTTTGCATCCGACTATCCAATCTGACCGTGTCAGAGCATACCATAGCGAAACGCATGGCACGTACGTTTTTGATGCTAGCCAGCGCGTCACGGATCTGTTCGTCTGTCAACTCGTCTCCGATATTCCGCGTGGGCATGATATCTTCCATGGGTTCTTCTTTGACGCAAACAGTAGTGTGCTCGCCAGGAGGATTCGTCTCGTCCACCGGCTCCGCCCCAGCTTCTAATTCGTTTTCTGCGGCTATCAGGCCCTGGCGGCTAGCGCAATTATCGGGTGGCATCACAGACTCGGAATCCTTCTTAATAGCTTTCTGGTGAAGACGGAGTTGACGTATGGATATAGTGCGGTCAAGAAATTTGGAAATCTATGTACCTGGTATTCCTTGTCAAAAGCAGCTCGTAGCTGAGCGTCAGAAATCGGCACCCTCTTCAAAGCGGGGCTGGTGCTTTTTGAAGTGGCTGCCACAAGTCAGCGGTTCATTTCTTCAGATTAACTGCCACATGTTGCGAACGTGCAACTTACTGAACTGTCCCACAGTCGGTTTCTGATCGTCTGTCTCCCGTCGGAGGCTTTGGAGCTCCCTCCAAGTAGACAGGACAATCTCGATCCTTGGAAGTCTTTTCGGATCGCGGACACGGGAGAATGCCCACTCGGCCCCCTCCGTCTTCATGGAGCCTCTGAGATTCTGATTACTGCGATTTTCACTGCCAGTTGCTGAAATGAAGTCGATGATAGAACCACACGCAGTACCGCGACGCACATCATTTGGCTATCGCGCAGCCGAGCCTGCTGGGCGCCCTGAAGTAATACTTCCGTCAATGTATCGTCTATACACTTTTTTCATCGGACACAACCTCTGTATCATCAGTGTCGGTCGCCACGGGAAGGGCGAAAATAGAGAGGGCAGTCTCAGTTAGTTCCATGACACACGCTACACATGCGACCCATTTGTCGCCGTCAACAGAGAAGATAGATATAGTAGAATGTCTCAACTTACCTCAACGAATGCACGACCGCTGAAGAGACAAGCTCGAGGTGACAAGGTCGAACGACGGCGCTTGTGAAAGAGATCAATCTTTCTTGATCGGCTAGTCAGTAGAATCCATGCTGCACACACCTGCGCACACAGGCATGATTTCTCGATACTACTCTTCTGTTCATCGCGGACAAAAGGGTGGGGATCACATAGCATCAGCACTACAGTCACTCGAAGTTGATGAGTACTTACGAATCGGAGACAACCTTTCGCGCTTTCGCTTGACGACTGGAGGCCTTCTATGTAGTCGGTTGCACATCTACCAACTTGCTTACGCTCTCCCCTTCCTCTCTGCTATCTGCTGCCTCGCATTCTTCACTCGTCATACCTCCTGGAAAATAATTTCGGGACTTGAGCGAGACCGGCCCCGCCACGGTTCTTCCTCTTACGCTCCTTGTTTACGCCCGGCCGCTTTCTTCGCTAAGGTCTCTTCCAGCCATCTGGATTAGTCGTCCGAGACGAGTTTCGCAAGCCATTCGGCATCGTGTTCGATGTACTCCGTTGGCCATATCACAAACATCTTACACCCAACGATATGAGCGGGCGCGATCGGGCGAAGGTGAGAGACTCTACCAGCCTTCGCCGTGCTTCAATTGATTATCCGCCTATCACACTGCTGGGCATGTTAGACCAGGAGAATGCCTTGAGATTCAAAGGAAGAGCGCACCGCTGCCCACGTATTGACCTCGAAACTCAGAACAGCTGACAGTCTGTAAACCCTTACTCGCTAATACATCCTCCGTTTTGTCACCAGCTACTTCTTTGTAGGAGTTACTTGCAGGCGCACCGTTTTTAGAAATGGCCAAATTGGACAGACAAAGCGAAACGATATCTTCCTTTGCAGCGATCTTGTCGTACAGTCAGCTGACGAGTCGCCACCAACAGCATTGTGATAGGACGTCTCACCTTTCACGGCCTTGGTATACATTTAACGATGATCACGCACAAAATTATTTGGGGGTCGGCAGAGGAATTGCTACTCGCTCTGGCTCGTGTAAATAGCGATTTCTGGAGAACAAGTTCCGTTCTTTAAAGTCAGAGTCGGACTGCAGTATGTTGCCAGTACTACTGCTTCTTCACTTGCTAACGGGGTGCCTGAGCGCCATCTGTGGTGGGCGCACATCTTTGAACCGGAAGGCGGCCGTCAAGCTTTTGCTATCCTACATGGCATGGTCAGTCGATAGTATCTGATTGGAAGTTTGAGACGAACGTATCGAGACTTTCGCTGGTCTGCAATCTCTTGGAGCTTTGTCCAAGACCGCAAAGCCCATTACAAGGACGGCCATGAAGATATGGCCATGGCGACAGCCAAGGGAGCGTTACTTCCTACTATTTGAAACTAGAATGCGGAACTGATAGGCAAGGTCCGAGTTAAACGGCGCTCGATAGTCTCCGATCAGTGGTATGACGAAAATCCCGGTTCAAATGTCACTAGCTACTACATGAGCTTCATAGGCCTACATTTGACCTTTTGAGAGGTAGTTAGGTGTTTAATATACTCGGTCTTAGCTTCAAATTACTCATATATCCGTAATCTGCGTCAGACTCTGGGCATCAGACCGGACGGACATCATATATTTGGTGAGTAACAGGGTCATTATCCAAGTACAGAGAGATCAGAATGAGAACAGGGCATTGTTCTTCCTGGAGCCGAAGGCATAGACGATCCCCTGACTGACGAAGAGCCCGGTGGTTATACCGACAGTGACTGCGATCATGGCCCCGCCGATATCAATCCCACCACCCTGGGCAGTGATGCCACCGATAGCAGATAGGCCAGACTTTCGGTGATGCGTGTATGAGCACAATCGATCCTTCGCAGAGAAAGAGTACTCACGGGAACCAAGAACAGCACTCCAGTGACCATGACGGTGAACGCGGTACCACCCATCTTGCGCGAATAGAAGTTGCCCAGGATGCCGACGGCGAACGCGCCCGTGAACGACACAAAGTCAGAGCGGTCCGGGATGAGCCGATTTGCGACCTTGTTCGCGGTGTACGAGACGCAGGAGATGATAACCATGACGAGCATGTCCCACGTCCAGATCGGCTGGAGGTTCGCAAGGGACGAGAGCACCGAGAAGAGCGGCACGATGAAGAACTGCATCCACCACGGGAACCGCATAAGGTACCACGGAAAGTCCGGTGCGCGGTAGCAGCCTGTGACGATGTTCTCGGCAGCGAATGGGTCGATGTCGACGAAAGTGAAGGTACCCGAAAGCGGCTGACCGCCGTTAATGTATCCAAACGTGCCATTGTCGGGAATAAACTCGCCAACGATGGAATACTGCGTGACGAGCCGGCTCGCGAGCGTGGCAAGGCTGTCCCGTGCTTTGTGGTTGAAAAGGAAGTAAAGGTCGTTGCCAATCTGCAGCCCGAAGCCGAGGAACAGTGTATAGATGAGCGCATAAATCATCTTGATACTGCCAGTCGAGAGATTCTTCGCCGCCAGTTCCAGAGAACCGCTCACTGTTGTGGAATCAGTATAAACACATAGTCGAAGACGACGTAACTCACGAATAAGGAATCCAGGGAGGATAGACACGATGCTAGCAGATGAAATAGCATTATAGCAAAAGATGTCGCCGTTGATGCTACTCAGAGCACGCGCCGTGAAGGAGATGATCATCGTCAGGCACACTCTGCGAACGTGATCAGCTCGAAACATTACGCGGGACAGCATTTGCTTACTCGAATACATGCGCATACCACTTCTTAGCCCTCGAGACGACGCCGATGCGCATCGCCGAGAGGAACACAGCTCCCGCACCGGCGAGCCACATGTCGACAAATGAGCCGCCGAAAGCAAGCGGACAAATCAGAGCCGCAATCCAGAACGCAAGGACGATCTGAACAAATGATCCGTAGATGGGTGGTGCCGCGAGCAGCTCATCGAGGCGGTCTCCGGCTTTCTTGGCGCTGAGTTCATCGTGCACGACCGCCCGGTACAGCTGATGGACTTCGTGGAGACGACCGAGGGCCATGCGTCCTGTGCACCGGATGAAGTGCGTCTCCGATGTCTTCTCCTCCTTGTCGATAAATGAGCACATGATGAGCCCGGGAACATGGATGAACTCGGCTTCGATTTCCAGGATATGTGCTGCTGAGATAAGTTGCGCTTCGATACGATGAGATGGTGCGCCGAAGGTCATGAGCGCTTTGGCGAGCTTAAGAAGAAACTTCTCTCGGTTGACGATAGCTGCGCAGCCTCACGATGTCAGAGGCTGATTACGAAAGGGCAAACGGACTCACAGGAGATGTTGTACTCGATCCTGATTCTCGACAGTGCCTTGCGACGCTGCTTGTACGTCATCTCGCGAACCATCTGCTTCTCGACATCCTCGTAGTCCTCCTGGAACTCTCTGTGAGCACCGGTGACTGCTGGGTCTTCCGGCTCCACGACTTGCTCATAGAGCTCGTCGTCAAAATGTCCGCCGTGCTCTTCCTCGTTCTCGTGTAGGTCGACTTGGTCGATATCATCCCAATTGTTGTCCAAGTCGTTGTCCCGAATGGCGGTGAATATGTTGCGCTGCCCGTCTGCGCTGTCAAGCCTTGTCTTGAAACGTCCGCGATGACGAACACCCTCCATCTCTCCGTCAAACGACGTGAATCTGCTCGAATTCATCGATGGCGTTATGGGACTCTTGGGTTCGGCATGCGGTGGCGCGTAGACGTCCGGAGGTCGCGGTATTTCGCTCGGTCGATGGTACGAGGAGAAGTGATACTGCTCCTGGTTATGATCATAGTCAGACTGTGAGCTCACAAGAGTCGAGTCGCTGTTGCCCGCGTCAGATGACTTGGGAGGTCGTTGCGAGAGAGAAGTGCGTTCCCGAACGGGCGTCCGGCGAGGCGGTAGTTGTGTGTAAGGCATTCCGTAGATATGGTGACGAAAAAGTGCGTGTCGAGGATAAAGTATTTGGCAGAAGGGCGACTCGTATGTTCAGCAGGGTTGGCAATGCGGCTGGCGAATTGTCAGCCGTCCACGGGCAAATCTTGCAGAAACACTGCCCAGCGAAGGTCTCCCGATGAAGAATCTCATTTCTAGTCTCAGATCAATTGAAGAAGTGAGAACATGAGCCAATATGTACACAGTCAATACAACGCGCCATGGTAGAACCTACAGGTCAGGCTCGATAGTGGCGGCGACTGCGAAGGCCGGCGCAGAACGCGTGACGACATTGTCCGTGACACTTAACGTCACGGAGTGTAACAATATTTCTAAGCGCCGTAACACAACGCGACCTTTGTCGTGCGCCGCATACACTTGCGTCTGCACTACTACCACGCATGCCGGAATCGGTTGCAGAAGTCTTTGTTCTAGGCGGCTGAAGCACTTCGTATGTCTGAGTCGTTGCCGAGCTCAAGGCATGTCTTTCATCTTATCTTATCTGATCTCCTTTAGACTATGGGTATTTCTCTGCTAATTTTCGCGAATTTGTGGTAGGTTCGCGGCTATCCTTGATTCGTTGCCCCGGGATGCGCGGCAAACACTCGTATACCAGCAACTGATACCACTGCTAAACAATGCGCCGAAGTCAAAGATCAAGAAAGCTTTGAACGCCGCGGCCCGCCTACAGAAGCGTCATGCGGGCATGCCCGACCTTGATTTGCGCGGCAAGAAGCTCGAGATCACCAACATGCTCAAAGAGCTGAACAAGGACACGAAGCGAGCCTATGTCATGGACACCTCAAATCTGGTCGAGCTCCTGAACGAGATCGCTGACAGCCTGGCTGTTTGGATGAGCGATGTATGGGTGGTTGTATACGAGCATAATGTGGACTTCGACTTGGCACATGATTGCCTGCTGTTCGTGTCATCTACTCTAGATCAGCTAGAGAATGTTCGCATGGGGTACGCATTCTATCTCTTTCTAACAAAGGCCGTGCATGACCTTCTCCCAGATGTAAATGCGCCTTGGACTCGCTATACATCCCTGTCACAATCCGGAACAGGAAGGGACGCGTCGTGAAGAGATTCGACGTCAATGGGGCTACACACCTCGAAGACGTTACCCTCTTTATTTGGCGAGACATGTTCCTGAGCATGCTGGCGTATGGTAGCCAGCGGCATAAGGATTTGATTCCCAGGATGCTAGGAGACATCGAGGACATAATGAGCTGGAAGGCTGTCGTCCGGCTTATGTTCAACAAGTCACAAGGTGAGGTTCATCCTAGCCGAGCCATAGGATGCAGCGTGAATATTAACGATAAGTAGACGCTAAGCGTCAAACACAATCAGGCAAGGAGAGCGATTGGGAAGATGTCGATAGCGAAGACGGCGGCGAGTCTCTCAGTTTGGAAGATCAGTCCGACTCAGGAGCCATATCTTCGCTCTTGTCCGATGACGACGACAACGACGAGCTGGACCTCGATGTACCCCGCCTGCGCCATTGGTCAGATATCATCTTTGGACACGTCCATCTTCTGCAGCGCCACATCGAGGATGCTCTTGTCGCTATTTTCGAGACGACGCCGTCGTTAACTTTGTATAGCGCGCTTTTGTCAATAGCACAAGACCCACAAACCCTCGAGGAGCGTCTACTTTTCTTGTTGAAGGCGATGGCTACGGCTTGCTCCGATACATATGCTGTTGCGCTCGAGATATACTCTCTCGAACACAAGGTCGATCGGATCGTCGACCTCCTCGGCTCGTACTCCTACCTATTACGCCCACGAGACGCTGCGGCGCTGCAGGCCGCAACGAAGCTCATATCGCATCATAGTCATGCCCGACGTGCGCTGCAAATTCTCGAGGCCGAGCTCCTCGACACCATCCGGATGACACATCGCGCTCTCCTGCAATCGTTCTCACAACTCGACACTTCGGCGAATCGCGCTGAGATCTTGCAGATCCACAAGAATGGCTCGCGTGCGCCAGGTAGACGGAATCGCGTCGAGGCGTGGGTCGATGCGGTTACAACTCCCGGTGCAGACCAGCCTAATCCGATGATGTTCGCGGCGATGTTCATGGGCATAGCGCCGTTGCCTGGTCTCCATTCGGATGACGACCCGTATACATATCTCGATCTCGATCCTCACGACCCTGATCTTGAAGACCTGAGATCTGAGTACAGGCCCAGCTTGAAGAAGCGCTTCGAGAGCTGGACTGACGTGGGACTTACGCTGATGGGTGGTCCGGAGATGCTCTTGGTTGTTTACAGGAAGCTCATTGAGAAAATGCCCTTCCTGCGTGCCCCGGACGTCACCGAAGAGATGATCGCCAGGTTAATCCTCCCTGTCTCTTGCATTTACCGTTGTTCTTATTGTGCTTCGCCAGGCTGCAAGACCGACGAAGCAAAGCGTACGTTGTCGAGGGTCTCGATGCCTTGCTTGCGTTCGCCAAGGTCCAGCGGCGCAAGTGGTATGCCGCGAAGGCAGAGAAGTCTGGCAACGCCGCCTCCTCATCGTCTTCAGCACAGCTCCCGACATACGCCTCGCCGGCAGGGCCGTCTCGGCCGCCAAATATGCCTCCCTCTAGCACAACCTCAACGCCGGTTTCGCCACTACGGCCCGATAGCCCGGGACCGCCCCCACTTGTCCCTGTTTCGTCACTGACCGATAACAAGCCCCGGCCGGTACCAGCGTCTCCGCCTAGCCCGAGCCCGAGCCCACATATCCCTGCGTCGTCGCTGACCGATACCAAGCCACCACCGGTGCCGGCATCCCCGCCTAGCCCGGGCCCGCCCCCGCTGATTCCTGCGTCGTCGCTGGCGACGTCCCAGCCTACACCACCGCAAGCATCTACGTCTCAACCGCTCGCACCATTGGCACAGCCACCACAGCCAGGTGGAGTAGCTTGGACTAACACTAACACCGGAGTAGACATTACACTGCCAATCGTCGTTGAGCTTGACGCTATTCTGGCTGCCACTCCTCCTCCTCCAGAGGACCATACCCCGCTCACCCTCCTGAACTTGCTCATCGGCGGAGGTCCACCGCCTGTTGGTGGTGGGGCACAGGCAGGGTCTAGCAGTATAGATGACGTCGATTGATACCTTTGCACTTCCGTTTCGTTCGCTTCCTACTGTACTTTTACGACCGTAGCAGATGGCCTTGTGACTGTGACACAGGCGCACCGAACCGGATGAGTGGATGGGTCCTTGGTGACCTGTGACATCCGCCTGCTAATGGACGACCGAGCACGGCTACAGTATTTTATCTGGATAGCATTGTTGGTATGATAATACATTCTATGGTACTACAGAGCGCCGCAGGCCTGAAAAAAGGTGACTTTTTCTTCGTGACAAATCTCAGATGTCACAACCGGATGGACCCCTCTGTGACATGTGACAGAGGCGAAATAACAGACAGGATAAGGGCCCTGTGACGCGTGACATCCGCTACGGTCGTAAAACTACAGTATCCTTTGTTTTTGTCGTGACTGCCGAATGCCATGTGAATCTTTGAGCGTATCACAGTAATTGTAAACATCTTGTGGATAGGACTGTTGTACTATCAGTGTGTGATGCGGGAAAACATTTTATAGTTCATCTATTTCTACAGATCATCACTTCTATATGCATCTCCAAGATCTTTAAGCACTCTATTGGAAGTAGGTAGGTAGGATATATGCGAGATTCTGCCTGTCTTCGTCTTTCTGCTTCTCGGAGCGGGGCATGATGGAGAACTTCATTGCGCCAACCTCCTCAGTGAGGATGCCGCCCTCCTCGGCAGCCTCGTGGAGTTCGTCGAGGATCGTAGCGGCGACGGTGCGCGAGAGCTGCGCGTTCTTCTGGAGGACTTTGAAGACCTCAGCGGTGGTGACTGAGCCCTCGCTTTCGCGCCAGGAGTCGTAGTCGGTGGCAGTGGCGATGAGCGCATATCTCCATCGCTATGAGAGATTGAGCGTGCTGTGAGAACATGGAGAACGCACCCAAGCTCCGCCTCCCTCGCGAGCTTCGCCTCAGGCAGTACGCTCATGTTGATGATATCGCCACCCCAAGCACGATACATCTTACTCTCGGCGCGCGTCGAGAACTGCGGGCCCTCCATGCAGACGACACACTTGTCCGTGTGCAGCTTTGCACCAGCGCCGTGAGTGGCAATGGCGTCCGCGACGCGCTTCTCGAGCCAATGGACGAGCCGGTTGCTGAACGGGTCGCCAAAGGACGCGTGTGCGACGACGGAGGTTCCCTCGAAGAAGCTGGCGGGACGCACACCCTTCGTGCGGTCGATGATCTGCGTCGGCAGCACGCAGTCGCCTGGTGCGATTTCCTCGCGCAGCGAGCCGACGGCTGAAAAGGCGAGAATTGCACGCACGCCGAGCGACTTGAGGGCGGCAATGTTGGCACGTGCAGGCACTGCGGACGGGTTAATGGTATGGCCAATACCATGCCGGGTGAGGAAGGCAATTTGGGTGCCAGTAGGGAGGGCGCAGATGTTGATGGGAGAGCTTGGGGGGCCCCAGGGCTGCGTGAAGATCTGTGAACGTTGTACGAGCGTATCGTCGATAATTTGCATACCGTCTCCGGGCTCACTTGCTTTCTTCACATCACAAATCAGTTTTGCCCTCCAGACAGCACACAACGCAACTTTACATCAAGGTGAGGTTGTCCAAGTGGTACAGACCACTTCCGCCAATCACGCCGACAAGCACTGTTACCGATGTCAGCTATGGCACTTGGATTTTGACATTGCCGCACCTTACCTTTGCTCTCTTCAGACATTTTCTTACAAAGTTTGACAGAAGAGAAAAGGCGGCGAGGGAGAGGGTAAATGGTGGGCGTGGTCTTGAAACAAGATGTAAACAGAGGATGAGACCGACGCCACACCAAATTAGGAAGGAGCGTGGGAATCCCGCCTTATGTTCCTGTAACCGCGGATCCCGCGGTGATGAGACTTCCTTCGCGACCGCCTTCTAGCTTCGGCATCAGCACAACGGGACCTTGTAATTGCGACAGCTTTCGTGTGTCCAGTTCACCAGCATCAAGCTACTTTTCACGCTACACTTCAGGGCGGCGTTCATCGTAGGAGGGCAACCTTGCAACCGCAGCTTCAGTCGCCGCGGCACCTTCTCTTCGATAGGGCCTGTCTCACTGTCGGGCTCCCGCCCTGAGGCAGTACAAGGAGCGCCGCGCCCAGAAATGTCTGCAAAATCCGATCAGACGCATGACCCTGCTCAGCGTCTCTCAGCCGAAACCGATGACGGCGGCGTTCAGGGAGTCTTTAAAACGCATCATGTCGGCTGCGACATGATGCATCTGAACTCACACCATGTCGTCGACAAACGATCTGGCCAAGGCGTACCAGGGTGCTTCCACGTTCAAACTCTTGGAAGAGCCCGTTGACCGGGCGCGGCCTGTGCGCGTGATAATAAGTAAGACCTTGTGATTGGATGATAACTTCCGGCAGCGGTACTTACTATATCTCCCGCCGTTGCAGTCGGTGCAGGGCTCTCTGGAATCGCTTTGACACACAAGATCATCAGGTCCTTGCAGAACGTCGATCTCGTCATTTACGAGAAGAATTCGGATGTTGGCGGCACTTGGTAGGCGTTTCACAATGCATGTGCTTGTTTCGACGGCAGTTAAGACCTTGTATCGCGGTAGGCTGGAGAACCAGTATCCTGGTGTTGCCTGCGATGTGTCAGTCACAACCATCTTCATATACAGCTAGGCGTTACTGACTTGCTTCGCAGACCAGCACTTTGCTATCAATTCTCGTTCGCACTCAGCGTAAGTGACGTACGAGCCCTCTCTGATGCCGGAATGTCGACTTCGCTATACAGACAGAATTTTCGTCATACTATCCCCCTGGAGAAGAAACATTACACTACCTTCAAGACGTCGCTACTCGCATCGGTGTGCCAAAATATACCGAGGTTCGTTCGGATTATTGTAGGAGTTAATGGCTCGTTCTTGACCCACATCGTATAGTTTAACCGCAAGGTCGTCAACGCCTCCTGGTCCGAGTCCGAGGGAAAGTGGACCCTTGAAATTGAGCGCACCGATGATGGATCTCATTTTCAGGACTCTGCTCATCTCGTCATATCTGCCATCGGTATTCTGAACAGGTGGACAATGCCGGACATCCCCGGCATCAATGACTTTAGAGGATCTCTGTAAGAATCGCCGGCATCTTTAGCGGCGCTGCATTTAAATGATTTAATACTTAACCCGACAGTGTGCATACCGCAAATTGGACTCTTGGACAGGTCAACTCTTCATGGGCGGACCGTCGAGTAGCTGTCATTGGATCTGTAAGCACCCCATTCTTCTGTTGCGCCCTGAGGAAACGCTAATGTGAAGGATAGGGATCTGTAAGCATCGCGCAATATTCGTCTTACTTCTGCCGGCCACTGATCACACTGCAGACTGCCATTCAGGTCGTACCTGCCATACAACCCCACGTAAAGCAGCTCGACAACTACGTTCGGGGCCAAACCTGGACAGCACACGTGGCGCTACCTCTACTCAAGAGATACTCCGATGGTCATACAGGAAATCGTAGGTCTGCGAACGTTTTACTGACTTCCGTGCCAACTCATGTCGTATTCGCACCCAGATGTTTTCACTGAAGAAGAGAAACAGCTCTTCCGTGAGGATCCCGCCGTATACCTCGAACTTGTCCGCCAATGCGAAGACTTCCTGAATGCTTCGCATGCTTTGACTATCGCCGGCAGCCAGATGCAGCAGACAGTGCGGAAGAGGCTCACCGAGTATATGCAAGAGGCGCTGAAGGCCAACCCTCATATTGCCGAGGCGATAATCGTGAGTTTACGTAAGATTGCGAGACGCTGGGCTCTTATCATTTTCGGGCCTCCAGCCGGATTTCCCGGTCGTTTGCCGCAGATTATCGCCAGGATTTGGGTATCTGGCGGCTTTGGTGAGTTCGCAAATTTCGCAGCATTATGGATGCTGATTCCACTTCTGCGCTCCACAGCAGGCGAATAATGTAGGAGCTTTAGTTCGTTGTATCAAAGTCATACTGACACCCATGTACAGGTTGGATTTGTCAAAGCGGGGATTGCGCGCTTTACAACTGACGGAATAGAGACGAAGGACGGCGAGCGGCGCCAGTACGATGTGATAGTCTGCGCGACAGGCTATGACCCGACATTTATTCCAAGGTTCCCCGTCATCGGACGCAATGGGACGACTCTGAAGGACTACTGGCAAGAGTATCCGCGTACATACATTAGCCTCTGTCAAGACCAGCATCCCAACTGGTGCGTACCTAACAGCAGCCCGTTTCGGCACCTGACTATCCACAAGGTTCCAGATGGTCGGCCCCAACTCCGCAATGGCATTAGGCTCCTTGGTCCCTGTCGTCGAGGCGCAAGCCGACTATCTTGTTGCATGCATCAGCAAGATACAGCGCCAGAGGATCAAGACGATGGTCGTGCGCAAGGAAGCGGTAGACGATTTCCAGAGGCATCTAGACTCGTACTTCCCGCGCACGGTCTTTGCTAGAAAGGTATTGCCCCCCCCCACTTATTGTCGATACTACAACTGCTGAATGAGATCAGTGTCGTAGCTGGTACAAGCGCGGGGATGCCGACGGGAAGGTCGTTGCGCTCTGGCCTGGTGAGCTCGTTATCTCATTTCTCGTCTGACCTCAAGCTGACACAAACCGTGCAGGGTCTAGTTTAAACGAGCTGCGTGTCCTAGGGCAGCCGCGATGGGAAGACTTCGAGTACACCTTTGTGGATGACAACGCTTCGCATAACCGGTTCTATTGGCTCGGCAACGGGTCGACGCAGGCTGAGGAAGAAGGAAAGCGTGGATCACGAGCGTGGTACATTCCCGACAAGCCCCAGATGCTTGCGAAGCTATAGCTTTTTCACTGCTGTATTGCGTAGTCGTCTAACGTTATTAATTGCATTTGTGTATGTGGGCAGTGTTGTCATTGACCTCAGGCCCTGAAAAACGGCAGCGAACGCACTTCCCTCTCCCAGGTCGTAGATCTCTACCTTTGCGGCCAGGCTTCTGGCTTTTGACCTTTCCACAATGCCTGAAATTCTCAGAGAGAGGGGCAGAAACTCGGACGAGTTCCCACGCCATTAACCCCGGTGCCATCAGTCCATTTGACAACACTGTATGTGGGAAGGTTCGGGATGACGCGTCCCCCCGGCCACCGGCTGCCCAACATGGCGGCACCTGGCCAACTTTTAACTCTGCTGAACCCTAGCCTCTAGTACTTGGGTCCTGTACTAACAAGTGTCGTGGTGAAATATTTTCTCTCAGTTTGAAAGACTCAGATAGCGCTGATATGTCATATCTAGACCGTACTCGCCTCAATACTCACGGCTGAATCCAGGACCTAACACCCCAAAATATTGTCCACAATCACCCAATTTCCATCGTCATGCATGGTTTATTCTCTAATGCGGACGTGGTCCGTGACATACTGGACTTACTACCCAAGACTTCCTTGACGGCATTGGCCAGCACCTGCAAGGTTTTCAGCGACCCCGCTCTGGACCGTTTATGGCATACGATGCAATCTCTGATACCGCTGTGCCAATGCCTGCCCTCGCGCTTGTGTAACTTTTTGCCCGACCGCGGCCTGGTACGCAGTCAAAATTCGTGACCTCTATGGCTTCTGACGTGATGCACATCTAGACATATGTCGAAACTCCGATAACGACAGATGACCGTGCGCGCTTCGATATCCACGCCGCGAGGATCAAGGTGGTGGACTTGCAGAAGGGGGCTGAGCCCATGAAGGAAGTGTCTCGACTGCTGCAAGGGCTCCTGGTCAGCCTTCCCCCTGGACGGCGCTTGCTCCCGAACCTGCAAGACATTCGCATACACCTCCTATCGACCGAGTCGCATGATGGGGACGATATGCCATTCCTTATCTATGTCCTTGCCCTCTTGAGCCCAAGCATCGTTCGCTTTAGCGCATTCCCAGGGTCGGCCCCACGTACGACCCTCATGCTCGGATATATGCAGCTCTTATGTCCCGACGTCCAAGAGCTATGTATCACCGAGCTTCGCTGCGATGTCTCGTCGATGCTCGCTTGCTTTCACGCCTTGAAGGTCGTAAATCTTTGTTCGTCGGGAGTGGAAAAAGAGGTACTCGCGGGAGATTCTCTTAAGGCGTTCGGGACACTTCCTTGCTTACACAGCTTCTCGACGAACTTCAAGTTCGCTGCTGCATCATATAAAACCCACTTTCCCCTCCAATCCAATTACTTCCCTGCTCTTGAGACCTTGGTTATGCACGATGTGACAGACGTCCTGGCTTTCGGAACCTTCATGCAAGACATATGTTCGACAAGCCCCCGCCTCGCGACCATCGAAGTCAGATATACGCTGCATGGTGAGAAGTCGATGCACGGCAGCCAAGTCAGTTCCCTGGCAAGAGGCCTCTCTGCACATACTTCATTAGAACATGTCAAACTGTTCTGCTTATCTCTGCGGCCCCGCGTCGAAGTGGAGGACTTGAACGACCTGGACGCTCTAACGAGACTACGAACCATCAATCTTATCAACGTTTTACCGCCCAGGAGTGTCACGGATACATCAGTCAACGACATCACTCGTATGTGGTCAAACCTGGAAGTGCTCACTGTATACATCACCAGCGGGGAAGATTCAAAATGCACATTGGCCGCCTTGAGCAAGCTTGCTACGAACTGTCCTCGCTTATACTTCGTACGCCTTCCAATCAACTACGCCTCTGTACCCCCCATTTTGGAGGATGCGCCCTTGCTACCTCGAAGGGAAAACACACTCCAATTACTAATCCGGCCACCCGCAAACATCGAGGAGAACCAAGAACTATCCATAGCAGAGTATCTTTCTGCGGTGTATCCGAACATCAATTTGCATATTGCGGAGTCTACATTAGATTCGTCAACAGTCCAGTCTTGGGAGAACGTCAAGCTGCGGATTGCGCTGTTGGAGAAAGTAAGGAGTCTTGAGAGACGTAGGATCCGCGAGACTTCCGCAGAATAATGACTGTCTCCATGTATTGCCTTCATGATCTGAATTTAGGAAAATTTTCTTTACTCTTGTCAACTAGTTTCTTTGACTCCTAGGAGTATTGTATTATAATGGTATTTCAGGTGCAATATTTATCAAAATAACACAGAACGTTTGAACTATAGTGAACTTCATCCCGTTGAACAGTGACTTATGCCCAGCCAGCATAATATGAGTCGTTCTGGTCTGCGAGTATCAAAGCATTTCGTTTGTGGGTAAGCTTATGCTCGAAGATTGCGATGCAGCAACAGACTACTGCAGACTTACAGCTCTACAATTATGCGGCCACCGAACCACATCATTACTGTACGGATATACATGATCGTTCCTGGCGAACAGAGGTGTGAGGGGTCACGACACATCGTCCCGTCGGACCCAGGACACCCCCTAAGCCAGACGCCAGCCCTGCGTTCAGGAGAGCTTGCTTCTTGCCTTTCCGCGAATCGTCTCAGACTTGCTGATGCTGGGACGCAATTAAACTCCACGTATCACTTGGTGGGTCATCACACTACAATTCACTGATATACAACATGACCTATACTAATGATGTGCCAGTGCCGTGGCTTTCTGCCCTGCAAACTAATGCATCAGGCCCTCACCAATCGCGATCTCATAGCGGAGATTGCACCTTATCTCAGGAAAGGATCGCTTTCGGCATTGAGCTGCACGTGCAAAGCCTTAAGCGATCCTGTCTTGGACGAGTTATGGCGGGACATGATCTCGCTTGATCCCCTATATTAGTGTCTACCTAGCAGCGTGTGGACAAAGGACGAAGATGGTCGTCTAGTGCGTCTATTAATTGGTTTTCTATATCGTAGGAGCTGAATCTCATCGCCCCCATACTATAACTTCCCCAGATTCGCGGCCCAAAAATTCCTAATAAGCCCGAAGACTGGACGCGCTTCAATGTGTACGCCGCGCGCATACGCGTGCTTTCTTTTAGGAAAGAATCATCCCAGCTGCGTCCGGAGTTCCTTAAGCTAGTCAAGCTCTACTTCCCGTCCGCGACCGCCGTACTCCCCTATTTGCTAACTTTGCGTATGGCGCGCCGCTGCGCTGACGCAGAGCTAGCTCTTTTCTTCTCCACCCTCCTACCTTCGGAAATACACACCGTAGAGGTGTGCTCGGATTCCACGGAAATTGTGGTCGCAGTGCTAGCCCATATGCAGCTCCGCTGTCCTACTGTGGAGGAGCTTGTCATCTCCAAAACGGTGGGGGTGTTGCCCATGCTAGGACAGTTCGTGAACCTCCGGACGCTCGTCTACGACTCTCCGGAGGACACGATCGATGACACATCCATCAGGCACCTCTCGTGCCTACCTTTCCTTCGAAGACTGAGAGTCACGAGCCGGTTCACACTTGATTCTCTCTCTATCACTCACTCCACGCAAAATATTGAAGTGCTCCCCTTTCCTTCTATAGAGGAGCTGACCTTCGAGAATGGCACCGGTGTCCAGACCCTCGCCTATCTTCTCTGTCTCATCCAATCCTCTTCACTTCGGTCCATCTCCGTATCTTATACGCTGTCGAATGAGCCTGTGAAAAACCTCCGCGCACTCTCTTGCAGCCTTGCTATGCACGACCAACTCACGATGTTGTCTCTTGCCAGTCGACAACCTCCCAACGCTTCTGTCAAAGAGGCCGATCTCTTCTCTCTCAAGCAGCTGAAACGTCTGCGGGCGGTATATCTGACCGACCTCCTGTCCTATACTTCGTCTGAACACTGCATAAACTCCTTAATGAAGGCCTGGAACGAACTACGTACTCTTCATATCATACGCCAATTTTGGCAGTACGCGGGACATACACACATTTCGCCTAGCTTCTCCCATGCCATTGTCACACTGGAGACGTTGGCTACACATTGTCCTTACCCGGGCGACCTTCATATCACGATGTCAAGCTCTACCATCCCCAATCTGAAGGGCAGGAAGCTCCCTCACCGTGGGGCCCCTTTGCGACTTACGCTCAGTGCCGCTTCAGTGCTGTTGAGCGATGCCTACGACACCGCGGAGTACATATCGGCCATATATCCCAACGTCGACATCACATACGTTGGCTACAACTCGTTGATCAACAGTGAAAACGACGTAAGAACTGGAACGAAGTGAACAAGTGGGTCAAGCGCATTGCCGCGGTGCGAGCCGAAGAGAGACGCAGGATCAGAGCTGAAGTGATGCAAGAGGTGCTGCAGGAAGTGCTGCATATGGCTGATGGCACATCACCCACAAAGATTTTTTCACTGTCATCTCATCCGAAAATCCGGCTGACAAGGCGATATCTTGATAGCTTTGCACGGATGAGATAGGCCATCCCCCTACGCATACTGACACTGTACTATCTGGTCTAGGCTGCTGAATGCGTGCTTCGGGCTGTTCCTACGCGAAATCACGGGTGAAATCTTTCGTTAGTTTAATACGTAGCCTCGAGGAAAGCCGGCATATGTCGCTACGATTTCGTTGTAAAACTCTTGCTAACATGATGATACTGTGTACAGCACCTGAATAGAGCTAGGACCAAATTGGCACGATAAATGCTGGCGCACGAAATACGTACGATTTGGGCAGCTTGCAGCCTACAAAAGGGCCTGAATAACCGCATTGTACGCAGGCTTGGGTTGGAAGTTGGCGTCGAAGAGCAGCGGGTTCGACGACGCGATCCAAGAGTCCTGTAAAGAGCCAACTCAGTCCTGCGCTGTATGAATACGAGCATTAGGTATGTACCGGGTCGCGGACACCCCAGCTCGTGATGCCAACGCAGGCGGGAACGGTCAGGCAGGCCTTGACGACAGCGACGTAGTCGTTCGGTGCAGCGTTAACAATATCGAGCTCTGTGGCACATTCAATCAAAAAAAAAAAGGTACCGTGAGGGCATGCGGGAAGCATACCGGTGATGGCGACTTCAACGCCGGCAGTGGCAGCGAGCTGCAGTGCCGCCTGCACGCCACCCGTGCCGCCGGCCTGAAGATGCGACTGGGTGCCAATGCCGTCGATGAGCTTCGTGCCGCCGCTGTTGAGCTGCTTTACGAGATTTACGACGGCAGTGAGTTTCGCGTTCGCGCTGTCTAGGCTGCAGAGTGGTCAGAATCCCGCTTTCATTTTGAGCAGGATGCGAGGGCATAGACGCACTTATAGTCGTTAATATAGAGCTTCGCGTTCGGGTCTGCGGCCCGCGCGGCCTGGAAAGCGATGGTCACGAAGCTCTGGCCAAGCACGTTGTAGAAGACCGACTGCCGGAAGGTGCCGTCCTCGTTGAAGATCTCGTTGCAGACATCCCACGAGCGGACCTTACCCTTGTATCTGCCCGCAACGTTCGCGATGTGGTTCTGGATGACGGAGGTCAGAGTATTTTTGTCTGTGATTGCGGACACCCAGGACGGAAGTTGCGAGTGCCAGACTAGAGACCCAATTAGATATGCCGCTAGTGACGAAAAACGAGACATGCCGAGAGTATGGGCGCGGACGAGCATATTGTTCTGTTGCGCGTAGGCGACGAGCGCATCGGCCTGTGAGAATGTGAAAACACCACGGGTGTCTGTCATAAAATATGCCGTTATCAGGGACAGAAACACATTCATTTTGACCAACAGACTTACTCTCCGTCTGCAAATGCGAGTTAACTTGAGACGATGATCACAGTGAATGTGAGACGTACCGCATCCCATTTCATAGAATTTTCAGGGGTCAGCTGGCCGAAGTTAGCTATGGTGACCTGCGAGTCCTGCGCGTTACTGAAGCGGTTCTGGTCGGAGGCAGTACCCCAGTAGATCTTTCCCTTGGCTTTGATATGCGCGTCGAGGCCACTACTGCTGCTTGTGCCACCGCCTCCGCTAGGTAGGGGAGTAGCGGTGACGGGCGGGGGCGTGGTGGCGGCACCGGGTTGGCACTGTGAGTAGTAATCGTTTTCATATACGCAATGCGACCCGGCATCGCAGACAGTTGATCCAGCGTAGCCAATGCCACCGCCTGCATGTTCTTTGGATGTCAGTGAATGTAGAATGTGGAACAAGTAAGCACTGACATTGGCCCCACACTGCGACCGCGCGAGCGTGGAGAGTGAGGACGGTCGCGAGCGAGACAAGGGCTGCGAGACACTTCATCTTGCACGATGAGCTTTGCTGGCTGAGCAGTGCTTGGAGCCCCTTGATATTTTATACAGCTGCCATATATTCTGACCGTCTCATTTCGTGCCAAGCAGAACTTGCACGTATTCCCAGATGAGCAAAGGCCTTGGCGTACAGTGTTTATTCGTGATTCTGCCGCGTTTAATACTCGCCAAGGCAGAGGCTACAACTTATCGTCTGGCAGGAACGCTGCCAAGGCAGCTATGTCCGGAAGATTATTGAGATATAGAATTGATCAGGAGGCGAGTTTCGACTGATTATGTAGAAACACTGCACCAAGACATCGAATTCGCGACCCGACCCAGGATTGCCAAGGTCTCGGTTGCACACATGGACAGAAAGACACCGAAGTCTCGGTCCAGCCACGAGGATCACTGTCTGGCAAGAGCACGAGAACACGGCTAATTCTCCGTATGTGCGGGAAGGTCATTGTCTCGGAGAGTTGTCGCTACCGCTGATGCACGCACCGTGCGCTAATTAGCCGGTCTCCAGCGAAGGTAATTAATGGCCGCATGATATTTAGGACATTCTGACGACAGTGAATTCAGGCATGGCAGGCCGCATGGGGCTAACAAGTCTGGCTGAGGCGGCTACTCACAGCCCATGGTGCGTGCGCCGCGACGCAATTTGCGGAATGCAGTCGCATGCGGCAGCTGTTGCCGGTTTGAGCGGCACCAAGTTGATACAACGGAGTGTTCGTCCAAGGAAAAGCTGGTGTCGATTGGACTAGGATGATACAGACTGAAGGCGACTATCTAGAAGCACAAGATGTGGAATACAGTGCACTTGAGGAGACAGGACACATACAAGATGCGAGGCCGAGCCAATTGTTAACGGACCGCACGGACAGCTTCTGCGCCCGTACAAGACGGGGAAATAACATACACGCTTGACCTGAGCGGAACCAATGTACAGACAAAGTGTAGACAGATTAAATTAAAACTCAGCGTGCGTCTGGTGTGACCAGCTCCAGATAGCTTTCTGGTACGAGGGCGTGCCCGCCGCCTTCCTTCTCTACGATCGCCCAGCCGACACCCCCGCCTCGCCCGACGACATGCACGAGCTGCTCCTCCTCCAGCGCCACCTCCGCAGTACCCTCTGGCTCGAACGGATAGAGTGCACGATACATGCCTGGTATGAGCGGCTCGTCGTCGCTTGGTGGTGGATAGTCATCGTCATCATCCGCGTAGTCGTCGTGCTCGTTCACTGGTGACGATTGGTCGAAGTTCATCGCGAGATCTGTCTGAGACGGCCCCGCGTCCAAGTCGTCGTCGTCGTCGTCGTCGTCGTCGTCGTCCTTGCCGTTCCAGAAGTGCGTGCTGAGCGTGTTCCAGCGGAACGCGCTGAAGCTGTTACGCTGCTGCTGCTGCTCTTCGCCATCTTCGCCGCCTTCGTCCTCGTCTGAGCACGCGCTTGAGCTCGAGCTCGAATACACTGATCCGCGGTTCCGCGGGCGGTTCGAGCGCGGGACGTCAGGACCTCGGCCGACATGGCGCTCGTCTGAGAGCGGGTACGCAAAATCTCGAATTTTCACTAGCTGGGGCTTCATCGGTACGACGGTCGAGGACGAGCCCCCAGCGTGGTGCTCTGTCAAGAAGAGCTGCTGTGAGAGTGACGTGACACGTGACTGGGGGCGAGACGACCGGGAGAGCGTGGAGGAGGCGCGGCGAGAAGCTGCGGGCGATGGCGGCGCAGGGCGCGAAGAGGACAGCGACAAGTGGTCGGGGAGTTTCTCGACAGGTGTCACGAGAGTTGCATCTTGTGGATCAGGGATGGTCACTTGCGCCGACGAGGAGAACGTGGCTGGTGTGGGTGTCAGCGGTGATGCCACAGACGCTGTCGTTGTTGGAGTAGACTCTCCGTCGATAGCAAGCTTTCCGTTTGTTCCGTTCATCTCTTCCCGAGACTTTCTCTTGGTTGCGCTCGCGCGTTCGACCGATGAACGTCTGGACGCAAACTCGTGTGCTCCCAGTGTCGGCGGCGACAGAAATGCCGATCCAGGTGATGGGAAAGGTGAACTCGGCTCTGTGTGATCCACCGAGAGTGAGAGAGATGCTACAGCTTGTCAGTTACGCTTTCAGCTTTTAAGGGATAGACTCTGCTCACCTCTTGCGGGTTCCTGGACAGCTGCGAATGCCATTCTCAACCGGGATGATTTGGAACGAGGCAAGAAATTTATATACCAGTTTTGGGAGACTTCCTAGTGCTGAACGGCGACAAGGGGTGTTTCGAGATGAGTGAAGAGAGACAAAGAATCATTTTTGGCATTATCGCCATGGTAACTGTGGCAATTAGTCGGATTTGAGAATTTGTTTCGAGTTTTTCTATGCTATGCTCGTGACGTTAGTAGGTTAAGTTAAGTCTTAAAGAGGAACTTATCGTCCGTCTCCCTCTGCGCCACAAAGTTGCTGGCTTTGCACTTCCACCATGACCTCACTTGCCACTACGTCGCTGCGAGGGTTTGTAAATACCCCCACCATATCTTGCGCTTACCGACTCGAGGATACGAGACTCCTAGGCTGAACTATGTGACTGGAGCCTGGTCCGGAATTTTCTAGACCGATCTTCGTCACAATTTGGACCGCTTCGACCTGAGCCCTGCTGACTGTCGGCCAGCTTCAGGACTTCGGTCCAGCCTCTGTCAGCCCCGCTCCACGAGTTGCATAAAGCTATTGGTCTCGCTTCTCAATTTTGTATCACTTTCTGATTCTCTTCGACTACTACCAGCAGCTGCGCTTGTCTCTGTCTCCGCCAACTTCTCTCGTTTCATCTGGGTACCTTGTAGAACAATACCTCAACCACCAATCACTCGGTTCTACGTCTACGTTCATTACACTGTACCAACACAATATGCCTGCTTCCACCCAACTCATTGCCTGCTCTGCATGTCGCATGATCCCTAACTCTACTCCGGTTGCTGGAGTCGAAATCGCCCCGCTGACTATACCCTCGGAGAAGCTCGGAGCGTATGTTCGCTTGCCTCTCAGAGAGCTCACCTATTCTCCTCCGCCATCTCCAACGAAGATGTCTTCTATTCCTCGCTTCGAGTCTCCTGGCTTCTTGCACGGCACCCCTTCGCTACTCGACGAGACCCTGACATCGTCGATCTCGAGCCCGTCTATCGCACACACCCCGATGCCGTACGCCACCACTCGCGATCCCCGCCAAGACACCGCGTCCTTTATCGGCCTCGGAATCTCGGGCCTTTTCAAGAATGACGGCTCGGTCTTCGACGGCATGGGCGTGCTCTCTAAGCGAAACGAGAGCTCGGAACTTGGCTTCTTCATGGACGAGTCGAGCCAACGCTTCACTGGGGAGAGCGATACGCAAGGCTACCCAGAACAACAAGAGGACGCCTGGCGTCAGCGCATGTCTGCCACGGCAGAGCTCTTCAGTCAGCTCGGCATCGACGACGCTGCGAGCACCCACTTCGGTGGGACGAGCTATACGTCGTTCGCGGGCCTTTGGCTGCCGCCCGCGTCGCTCAGTTGCTCGAGCCCCATCGAACGCGCGCAGGCCAAGGCAGCGCCGCTCATGCCCTCGGAGCCCGAGACGGACGACGTGTTCTTCACGCGCATCCCCACGCTCGGCTCGCCCTTTGTCCGCCAGGATATCTTCGACTGGATGCAGGAAGTGCAGGGTCCGAAGTGATACCTCGAGGGACGGTTGGCTTCTACGATCTCGGACTGTGCGCCTTATCATCACCTGTACCATATCGCTGCCTGCCCTACTTGTGCCAATCCATCTCCATAGCGCAAAAGGAGTGCATGCGGCAGCTGCGCCATACATTAGTTGCTCTTGGCCCCGGCACGCTTGCGTCTGGCCTCAAAATTAAGCTGTCTGCATGCCTCTATGCATGTCCGCCAGGTATTGTCGGGCGTGTCGTGCGAAGTGGAGAATGCGCAGGAGGCATACACAACAATTCGGTGCCAGTATTCCCGGGCCATGCGGATTTCTAGAAGCGTTAATTAGACTGGCTGGTAAATGCTTCGCACTCAGTGGCTCATATCCAGCTTGGTCCCTAACTAAACACTGACTATAATCATCGTGAAATCGGAGGTCCGCTGTAAGCCGCTTTACCTCTTGCGTTCGGGGTCGCTTGTACGCTACTTGAGAGCGAAGGACGCAGAGAGATAACGCCGGCTAAAGCCGAGGAACTCTCAAAGCCTCACCTCGTCAATACACCCACGACTCCTGCGATAATCATCTTGCAGGAATGTCAGTTGCCACTATCGTCCCAGCAGCTGGTGCGGGTACAGGTGGACATCAGCGATTCATATCAGCGGCGGATGCGCGAAGGCCAGCTTTGAGGTCATATCAACGTCCGCTGCAGGTGTGGCCATGGATCCACAGAAGCCAAAAGCCTAATCGCATCCACGCCTGTCAAAGGCAAGGTTCAACGCTGTTCAGCGTGTACCTGCCTCCAACACAGCCGACATCGCTGTGGCCTCACGGTCGTGCCTCGTGGCAGCCAGGAGGCGCAGACGTGAGAGCAAAAGGCTCGGGAACGAGTATACAGGTTTAGGGGCGTTCAAGAGAACGCCTGCGGACTCCCGAGGCACATAGAGGCGGTCCTAGGGTGATCCAGGGCGGTGTCTTTGCTCGACGCCGGGCGCGGGTACGTTATGCGAGCGCTGGAGCCTTTGAATAAGTCTGACGGGACACGCCTGGATAGGTGAGGCTACATATCACGGCAATTGTGTCATGCCCTATAAACGGCCAGTACGGTATTTACCACACCCCAATGAACAACCAGCGAGAGTAGATCGCCGCTAGGCAGATGTAGTTTGGCGCTTTCCCGACGTTTTCCAAAAGAAGACGTTTTTGATGCGTCCTTCAAACCGCTAGCGACTTATGATCGCGCCTGCTGATTCTGAGACGGGCAGCACAGACGTCAGTTTCATATGCTAACTTTTCTCGGCGCGTCGCCGTCGGCTTTTCTTTGCGTTATCACCACTCGATCCCGTCCGAAGGCGTGGGAAACCTGACAACAACAGCCGTGTGCGATGATGACTTGGGCCACCGCGAACAGCTGACTTCCCTTCTCCTCTCTCTTGTGGCATAAATCTTTGTCTCTTTTGTAGTTCTCCTTCGCTGTCTTTTGGCATGTCAAAATTGTGTACATGTATGTCCAATATCGTAGCAATTAATGCCCGGGTGGTGTCAGAATCAATCTCCGACTGTATCTGGATGAACCTTCATCAGCAGCTTAATCTTATCGTGGTAAGACATTTCATTATCTTGAGACTTACTTGCCGCCGCCGTTTCGAGATGCCGATGGTTACCTGGTTACTTAACTCTTTTGTACCATCTGGTAAGCGAGTTCTAGAGTCGCCCACCGTCTGCTTCTTGTCCGCGACAACCACCTGTGCACGATGCGGCCATTCCTTTTGAGCATCCACATTCTACCTTCGAACAGCGCGAGCTCGCGGTACCTGACGGAGATGAATATCAAGATTTTCGCCGGAATATTCTCAGACACAAGGGTCCGGACCGATGGAAAGTCGGGCAAGCGGTAATCAGCCTCGAGGCAAGGTTCCACACACTTTCCATCCACGGGTTGTATCGCGTTTTCGACTGCAGGTCTTGTGCAGCGCGATATCTCTCGCCGGCAAAGCCACGTTGGAACCACGACGTGAAGGGGCTCCCATCATCTATGAGTCCAACATCCCTTATCCCATCCGCTTTCTGCTCTTGACTGCGCGCATCCCCTCCCCCCGTTCCCTGCCCTCATCTACGCTCATCCTGAGCTGTCTTCCGCCTTGTTATGTCAGCCAGCCAGACGACGATGCAGACGAGAAAAGTCCCGGTCCTACCCACCACACAAGGTGCGTCCGAATCCCTTTCCCGCATGAATGAGCTTGTTCTCGCGTGGATCCTTTGTCCGCATCTGGCTATGGGCAAGAAGGCGAGCTGTTGCTGTGGATATCGGTGTAGGATCGACCGCTGAGATTGAGTTGGGATTGCCCGGAGTTCTGTAAGCCAAAGCGTGCGAAGCTGGAGGCGTTGGGCGAGGTGCTTTGCGGTAAAACCGGTCCCTATCTCAGGCGGCCTTAGGGGCTGATCTGGCTTCGAAAAACTTCCGTTTTGTGCTGCGTTCATGTATGCTGATTTGTCTCCGTTGTCCCAAATAAGGCCCCATGCAAACCAACATCGTACCTCGCGAGGCATCTCCGTCGCCTTCATTCCGCGAACGACAGCGTGTCATCAAAGCGCATTCTATGCCTATCGTTCCTTCAGTTGGTCAAATACTTTCTGGCAACTCGTCGCAAAGCACATCGCACCCAAGCCCGACCGGCTCGCAAGGCTCACTACCCTCCAGGCGCTCCCCGCCCAGCACCTCGCGCATCTCACCAGCTGCCGTCAAGCTTCCGCCGATGACCCAGAGAGGAGAACACACGCCCGAACGCATAAGTTCACCTTCGCCCCTCCTACACTCTCAGAGCACACCCGCTGTCCCCCAGTTGGCCAACACCTCGCCTCAGACTGCGCCAGCCCATCAGCCTCGGCCCATCCCTCGACACAATCCTCCACAGTTCCTCACGCAATTTCAGACGGCGGACGACAAATTTCAGCTAACCGCGGAGCTACTCCGTGAAATCGAGCTGGCCGACCAGCAACAAGGACAGTTGCAAGGGACTTCTGGCGTAGCCTACGCAGGCGGTGCCGCCTCCAACAGCAACCTTCATTTACAGCACACCGCCGTGGAACGTGTTCGTGCTGCGGACAGATCAAGTCCTACCGATACTGCCTCTAAGCGCCGTGAGAAGGAGACTCAAAATCTCCGTGACAGCCCCAAGACTCGTGAACGATCCCACACCGTCTCTTCGACCCTCTCGCACCACAGCGATCCCCAGTCCATGGCGCAGAAGACCCCCGAGTATCGTGGCTCGCCCCCATATCACACGCCTATGGCGTCTCCGGGTGAACGCTCCGCAGGCTATACCCAATATATCTCCGACACGTACTCATCTTCTCAAGCGGCGAGTCAACCTCCACCGTCATCACGCAAACCTATCCCAGCGACCTCGGATCCCAGCCTGATGCGTACGACACCGCCGAACAAGCAGGCTGGAAGCGCTCGGGCGTCTGACCGCGCGCTGCCTCTGCAGGAGGAGCCCGAAGAAGATCTGGGCCAGGATTTCACCGAGCAGGAGACCGAGTACGAGGATCTCCGTCACAGCTCGCCTAAGTCCGGTTCCGATGTGTATCGCCATGAGCGGGGGAAGAGTGTGGGGCACACAGACGACGACGACGATGACACGCTGAACGAGGAGGTGCAGGAGCACATGGAGCAGCGCAAGAGCGAAGATGACGACTCTGGCTTCACGCCTCGTTCGCCTTCAACGAGTCTGCCCGAGAGGCCGCGGGACGAGCGATACTCACCCACATCGAACGGACAATACAATGTCAACACCGTGCAGTACCCTCAGATGACCGCAGATGCACAGAAGACCGTCCGCTCCAGACATCGCAACAGCTCGAGCGATCAGCTAGGCATGCGTAGTCTTGACCCGACAATATTCGATAGCGGCATGAACGGCGCGCGGAGCAGCGGCCAAGAGACGGCTAATCCGGCGCGATCGACCCAGTCGGCACTCTCGCCGCCACAGATACAAACTCAGCCTCCACAACAGCACTACTCTCAGCAGTTCCAACCTCCGAGGCACTACGGCGACCGCTCGTACGATCATGGCGAGTCTCGGAGCCTGCCGCCTATGTCTCCGCATTTTGAAGATCTGAAGGGAGTTTTTGACAACCCGACCTCATCGTTCATCCAGTCGTACTTGCAGTCCCCTATTCCTGCTCCAGCAGGCACTGTTGGACGTCCAAATGCACCGATTCCTCCAACACCTTTGACACACACCGCCGCCCCGTCGCCATCGCCCCTGTCGGCCATGCCAAGCGACATCGAACCGCGCCAGATCGGTTCGCCTTACCCGTATCCGTTCACGCACATCCGTCGCACGGCGCTCTCGGCGGCGCAGAACGCGCCGTCGTCGACGTACGATCCAAATCACCCCGCGGCGGTGCGCGAGCAGCTCGCGATGCAGATGCACATGTACGCGCTCAACAACGGACTTGCGCCGCCATCCGAGTCGGCCTTCTCTCCGTCGTCTACGCCGTTCCCGGGCATTGGCTACAATCCGTGGTCGTTCCTCTACGGCGCGCACCGCGGCGGCGACTCGAGCATGAGCATGCGCTCGAGCCCAAGCCATGAACCTGTCTCGCTGCCGATGCCGCCCCTCCGTGCGCGATCGCTCCGTCGGAAGGACAATGCGAGCAATCTTCGCACGGTGCTGGGCCGCCGTCGTGTGAAGCCGCCTCCGCGCGTCGAGAGCACCCAACCTCGCGAGACGAGCCCAGAGCCCTCTTCAGGAGAGGAGACCGCCGGTGAGGACCAGTTTGTGGACCGCTTTGCAACAAACGGCCATGATGGCGTGTGGACGAATGGAAAAGGCCCCAAAGATGAGATCGTTGAGAACGGCGAAAACGAGGACGAGTGGATTGATGAAGACGATGACGAGGAGGATTTGTTGCACTTCGAATTTCATCCATCGTACATCGGCCGTACGAATAAGAGACGACGCCGGTGGGAATCGAGGTGGGAAGCGTTAGCTGAAGCAGTGAGTAGTTATCGCTATTTGTGCCTGTTCTACACTCGCTAACGTGTTCGCTGTCCCTAGTTCCAAGCTGTCGACCGCGAGACGGACGCTACACTTGTTCTATTCGCCGCACCTTCGCACTCAGAAGAACTCCACGCCCTGACGTCGCGCTCGCTCCGCCGGGACAAAGCGCTGTACAACAGCTCGACGCTGAAGGACATGCGGCACAACTTCAAGACGCTCGCGAGCCAGCGGCAGGCGACGCGCACGCCGAGCGTCTCGCTGGCAGACCGCATCTCACAGTCGGGCTCTGTTGACGGCTCGCAGTCCGGCAGCGAGTCGCGCGAGGAGGACCTCCGCCGCGCGCTCGAGGCCGCGCTTGGCAGCATTGGCGCAATGGGCGCCATCTACGAGCAGCGCGAGGCCCGCTGGCGCGACGAGCTCCGCAAATTGACGGAAGACCGCACGAGTATTGAAATGCTCCTCCGGCAGACCCTCGGGAGCCCTGTGCCGCCTGTACCCCCTGCGGAAGCACAGCTTCTAGGCTAGTGTACGCGCCTGATCTTCCAAATCATTTCGATCTTAACCTACCCTTGACTGTCGTATGTACTTTTTGGGACGGATGTACTGTACCCGTATCCTGCCAGGTTATCATTGTATCCTCGATAGCTGTTGTGATCCGAGATATATGAGGGACAGAGACTATTACAGTAACGGCCGCAGCAAGTAGAACGTTGGATTCGCGCTGAAGGAGACGGCGGAGTGTGTGTCAGCGACTATTCTGCCGGGTCGCTGTTAAGTATCCTCAGCATCTCGAGACCAACTCTTTCCCTCTCAGTATCTCGAATCGCAGCCAGCTTTTTCACCAGATTTTGCACGTTTTTCCAGGCTGAAGCCATGGATTTGTTACGTTCAGTGATCTCGGGCCTTTGAAGTGCTGCCTCAGCACCGTTGAAAACTATGTTGATGTTGGGATATGTGTCGGATATGTAAACTGCGACTGTAAAAGGATCGGCTTTCGACTGCAATGCTGATACCGGCTGCAGCGTGAGATGCAGTGGGTGTGTGATGCGCGGGGTGAGCAGGTCCTTCTTGAATCTTAGAAAAAAAGTACTGATAGCACTATCAGCCAACACCGCCAGGTGGAGGTCGTGCAGGTGCGGTAATTTCGCAGCGAAGTGCTTTAAGAGGCGCTCGAGGCTAGGGGCATGAAGATTTTTGGAATCAGGATCGTGCCAGACGCTGCATTCGATGTGAAGGCTTTGTACCTTGACCCATGTGGACGTCAGCTGGGGTATGGCGGAGGACGTCGAGACATTTCGGTCGGTCATGATATCCACGAAGCGAGCCTCTTGTAGGTTCGTCAAGCGGATAAGAGGTTCGAAATCGGCCACCGTGACTGCGTCACTTGGGGGGCTGCGGTTCGTAAGGTGAAGTGTGGTCAGGCAGGTGTGGCTGGAAAGGCCGGACGAAAGTGCTAGCGTATCGCTCTTTGGTACTCCTGAGAGCTGGTAGGAAATTGAGATGAGACGCATGGAGGGTGACTCGATGAGCTGCAGAAGACGGGACAACGTTTGCAAATGCGACACATCTTCCAGAGTCAATTCTTCGAGAGCTGGGAAAAACGCCCCGATCGCATTCGAGAGTGGCACATCGTGCCTAAACGAGGTGGCAGTGACCTTGCTCGAGATTTTCAGGTTCTGGAGATGGGGTAACTGGGAGAGCAGAATGATGGACGGGGCATCAATGATAGCCCCTTCGGGTGAGTTGTAGACGAGCACTCGCAGTTGAGCAAACCGTCCCATCAAAGGTAGTACATCAGCTGTCCCCGAAATGATGAGGCTCCGCAGATTGGGACAACTGAGCTGCGCGTGACCCAGTGCTGCAGCCATGCTGTCCTCGAACGATGAATATATTTCAAGCGCATGGAGGTTGGGGTGGACAAGGGTGGAAACACAGAGGGCGAGCTCCCCTTCGCTGCACACATGCAGCAAACGCCGAACTGAAAGTTTTCGGAGGACAGGGGCTGGCCCTGGAAAGTAAGCCTTGAGCAGTCGGAGGAGGGTTGGACGCAGCCCGGATCCCGGTCGAAAAGCGAGGACGTGTATGCGTGCGGCGTACATATCGAACCTCTTCCAGTCGGCTTGCTTGTCAGGTATTCTGCCGCGTACTTGAGTTGGAGAAGGAATTGAGTTGGTTAAGAATCAGATCGAGTGTTGCGGCTAAGGCGAAGACACACCAGACCGCCGATGACGTTCTTCGCACACACATCGCTTGGAAGACACATATAGAGTGGATCAAGCGAGGACATCTCTCGCCAAAGAGAATCCAAGGCGGGATCTTTGAACATTTGGCAAGTGCGGCCTAGAGCTGCCAGCGTGCCTTTCCATGTATATGCCATGATCTCCACAATCAAGTCACGATTGGCGAGCACCTCCTGCATCCTATCCTATCCAATATATCCTATTCAGCTTCCAGTACTGTCCAAATACATAAAGCATACCAGAGACATTGAAATACTTCGATCGATGCCTGGAATGCCTGCGGTTCTCAAAGTGCTGGTTCAACCTGAACACTGCGAGGCTTCGAACCTTGGCAGGTTTGTTTAGGGCAGACTTGAGACACCTTATTCCCAGGCGGCGACGGTAGTGTGCGGATCGGCAAGCACTTGCGTTTGGCACCAACTGACCACCACAAAACTCTCGTAAGTAGATGCACTCAAATTATCCAAGTATATACAAGAATATCCCGGCATCGAAGCAAGAGCGGCGACAGCAGAACTGATGGTATAGATACATCATTTGCACATGCACAAATATACAGGTGAGTTCGATCTTGTGAGATACTTATGCGAAGAGACGCTTAGTGTACCTGCAGATTATAGATGTCAGAGACCACCAACATGCGACGCAAAGGAAGGGTACTCACGAGTTCAGGCCATGAACACCACCCTCGACCTGAGCGCTGGCCGTGCGGAGCTCGAAGCGGACGGTGCCAGCGCGAACACCGTCCTGGAGCGCATGGATATTGCGGACACCGATATCTTGGAGAGAGTGCTGCACGCCCGCGTGGAGGTACGGCAGGAACGCGGTGACGGAGCCCTTGTCCTGGACATCGCCGCTCACGCCCTGCGCGACTTTGACGACAGAAGACTCGGAGAAGTAGCGTGATGTCGCCGCGTTCTCGTGCGTCGTGTTCTTGCCGCGCTTCCCGCCGCCCGGTGCAGACGCGTTGCCCTTCGTCGCCGACGGCGGGACAGGCTTGCCCTGCTCCATGGCCTCGATGGAGCCCATTCCACGATACGCCTTCACGCGCTTGCCTTCGTGGTAGAAATACTCGCCCGGAGCTTCGGTCGTGCCCGCGAGGAGACCGCCCATAATGACTGCGCCAGCACCAAGCGCGAGTGCCTTGACGACGTGACCGACATTGCCAATACCACCGTCTGCGATAACGGGCACACCGAATCTGGCGGCGAACTCGGCGACGCTGTACACCGATGTTGCCTGCGGGCGTCCGACGGCCATGACTTCCTGCGTGATACAGATCGAGCCCGAGCCCATGCCAACACGGAGGCCGTCTGCGCCCGCGGCAATGAGGTTCGCAGCCTGCTCACGTGTGACGACGTTACCGGCGATCACGTCCAGCTTCGGGAAAGTCTGTTTGATCCACCGCAGTGTCTCAGTCTGGTACACCGAGTTGCCCTGCGACGAGTCGAGGACGACGATGTCAAGGCCAGCCTCGACGAGCAGACGCAGACGTTCGCGGTCCGCGGGGCGGGTACCGATAGCAGCAGCGGCGTAAAGCTGCTTGGTGTGGGGTTGCTTCGAAGCCAGAGGGAAATTTTGGTTCTTGAGCAAGTCGGAACGGGCGAGCAGAGAGGTCAGACGACCCTCCTTGTCGACGATGGGGAGTTTGCCCCTCTTCGAGTCGCGGAGAATAGCATTTGCTTCCAGTAGGGTAACGCCCTCGGACGCAGTCACAAGGTCAGTGGTCATAACTTCCGAAAGGGGAGTTGAGGGGTCGCGGAACTGGACGTCTCGGTTGGTGACGATACCAACAAGCCTGCCACCAAGAGAGCCGGTTTCTAGAAATACAAGTCAGTTGCTGTTTGTAAGCGAATATCGATGATAATGATCAGTCCGTTAGAGATATGGTCTCCCCAAATCACACATAAACGCGTTGGTCGGAAGAACGAAGGTTACATTGCATATGTTGTTTCATCTCGAAGCGAGGAAGACCGATACCGGTACTCACCGGTGATGGGAATGCCACTGAAACCGAGTCGCTCCTTGATATCTAGAACATCTTCAACGTGGTGCTGGGGCGAGAGAACGATCGGATCTGTAATGAACCCGTTCTCGTGACGCTTGACCGCACGGACCATAGCGGCCTGCGCTGTCGCGGGCTGGTTGTGGTGGATGATACCAATACCACCCAATAGCTATGCAAGAAGTCTCGTTCGGCACACGCAGACCACATTGATGAATGCAGCAAGTGCTCACCGCCATGTGAATGGCCATGTCCCCCTCAGTGACGGTGTCCATGGGACTACTCATGAAGGGGGTCTTAAGGACGACGTTACGAGTGATCTTTGTTTCCGTCACGACCTCTGAAGCTGCAAAATCGATCTTTCCCGGCAGCATGAGGAAATCGTTGTAGGTGAGTCCGCCGTGGACGCGCGAATCCATGAGTTCCGATACGGACAAGCCATCCGCCTTATCGTAGGTTTTGAGGTGCTCAACCGCAGTGGAAGGGTCAAGGTAAGTCTGGGAAGACATGGTCGTGAGCGTCGTTAGTGGCGGGGAGAGGGAGGGGTAGTGATAGTGGGAGTTAAAACTCCAGAAAAACACCTTTCAGATTGGGCTCGTTTTCTAAGCAGACAGGCGCCTTATTTAATAAGCGCCATAGCTTAGGCGCCTTATTCGTTCACACGCTCTATGCATATTCTTCAAGTTTTAATAAATTAACGTATCGCCTAATGAGCTAACGTACTGTGCTGAAAACAAAAGTTAGGAGGTGTACTTTTATGCAAAATTCTTCAGAACGTCGGGACGGATTGAAGACGCCCACTCCTGATCTTTGCTTCGAACTTGACGGGCCCTGTCCTCACCGTCGAGCTAAAAGTTATCTCTGTCTCTTTCACTGTCCTAAAACGTCGGTTTATTGACGGCACCGTGCGCGAGGAATACCCTAGGAGCACAGGTGTGTTCCTTCCCACAGTCGCCAGACTCGAAAGTTCGCAAGGCATCTAACCCTACGGCTGCAAGATACCACCAGCTCATTTCAATAAGTGATAATTTTTGCGCAACCAGAAGATATGGACGTACCTCTTCCCACGCAGCAATTTCGAGCTTCTGCGAAGCGTTCTGCGTTGATGCCAGTGAACATCGCCCCTTTGCCGGGGCAGACCCCAATCCACATCGTAGAGAAAGAGTTTGCATATGCCCGTTCGGTTTCGCAAAGTCCTATCCAAGCCACCTTGCCCACACCTCCCTCGTCCGCCGGCAGGCAAGCAGTATTTCTCGCACCTAGCCAGAATTCGCCCACATCCGCGAACCCGCCGCATTCACCCATCAATACCTCCTATGTTTCGGCAGGCCCAAGTCCTACGCAGAACTTCGCAGGTGGACAGACGGTTCAGAGTCAAGGGGCGCATGTAGTTGGTGGTTCAGGGTGCGTCTGTATCAGTGCTCTAACGCCCATACTCAGCATTGTTCTGATACTTTCCCAGACTCGCCCGTGTTCCCACCACTTTGACTAGACACCTCATGTCGGCCCAGCAGACCAACGCGACCCCTGGGCCGTCTTACCAGTCTCAGGCTCACCCTGTTGCAAACTCAGGCGCTGAACGAGTCAACGCCGACCATCTTTACCAACAGCAGCTACAGTACCAAATACACAGCTACCAACAGCAGCAGATGGCAACATTACGAGCAACTCAGGCTCAATATCTGCCGCGGCTGCATTCATACGCACAAGCCCATCAATCTGTCCAGGCTCAGCAGGGTTCCGGAATCCCTCAGTCGTTATCTGCACCTCACGTCCCGCCGCAGCGCTCTGCGACGCACCCGTCCATCACCATTCCTTCAAACGTTATCGATCTGACCCAGCCTGGTGCATCGACACCCCCGAGCACCGACGCGTCGCGGCACACTCCGACTGCACCATTGTCCGTTACATCATCGCGTCCGAACTCTGCTATCCACCCGCGTTCGGTATCGTCAACGTACCCACAATCTCCTTCCACACCATTCCAGCCCACACAGCAATCCTACACTGCGCCACCCGCGCCAAGACAGGGTTGGCAACAACATGGTCAACCGTCACCGAATTACTACGTTCAGCAAGCACCACCAGCTGCCGTGGGCACGTCTAGCGCACGACATCCGTCGCAAGCGTCGCAGCCTGCCTACCAGAACCAATCTTCGCCTATACATCCTCAACCGCAACAGCAGCCTTTGCGGCCTCAGCCACCGACACAGTCTCATCCACAGCCACACTCTCATTTCCCGGTTCCCCCTCAACAACCCCAAACCCAGGCTCACGTTCAGCCACACCCTCAGCAACAAACACAAGAGACATCTCAGCAGCCAGATCCGCGTGCTCGTCCGGCCTCGACACACGCCCTAACGCACGCGCAAAGTGTACTACAGCAGAGTGCGGGTTACTTGGAGTACGCATACCGCAGTGGAGTAGTATCCGTCGCGCGCGAGTTTGACATGCTGAATGAAAAAATGACTACCCTGACGGCTGAACACACGCGGCTTGCGGCAGAAAACACTCGGCTCACGGACCTCAATAGGGGAGCAGAGGAGGAGCGCGTCTTCCTCCGCCAGGAACGCGCGCGTCTGCTTGAAGAGCTCGCGAAGGTGCAACAGCCTGAGCAGCAGGACATCGGTGAAGCCAAGGAGATCGCAAAGCGCCTACTCACTATGTGCAGAATGTACGAGGCCGCGCTGCAGCAAGCTAGGGTGGAAACCGAGAAGCTAAGAGAAGTGAATGCGCTGATGGCGAGGCAATTGTATAGCTCAAATGCCCCAGGGGCCGAGGTGGCGGATGCAGATGCGGCGATTGTCAGAGTTGGAGGATTGAGTGTACCTAAAGGCCTGGTGGACGCCGTGAAGCAGACAATTGTGCAGCAGTACGAAGCGAAACTCGCGCAAGGTGCGTGCACTGTATCATCTGGCGCTCTCCTGTCCTGATAAGCCCCGAATAGCATTGGCGGACCAAGCCTCAGAGCGCCAGAAGCTCGTGCAGCGATCGACCCTGCTTGAATCACTGCTCCACGTCGTGCGTACAGCGCAAGTCGCATATCGTCACACTGACCCACCGTGCAGCAGGAGAAGGATTCGCCCGCCGTGCAACCGGCACCTATACCGTCGACCTCGGCCCAGGCTGCCATCGCCGTACCTTCGCGACCATCGTCAGATACTCCTGTAACCCGGCCAGCATCGACGCCTTTTGCGCTCCCTGTGTCGCTCAGCCGCCAGCGCACGCCGCCGCGCTCTGCATCCGAGCAACCCTCGTCACAGCGCGCCGCGGAGACGAACGCAAGCGTGCTCTCGATTCCGACTCCACCGCGCACAGCGACCCCGCTCGAGGCGCCCGAAGAGTCCGCTGTTACGCGTGAGCCCACAGTCAAGCCCGAGCCTGCGGAGGAGCCTCGCTGGCCCTGGACACTAGGTGAAGTCGTTGACCTCACGACGCTGGACAGTCCGCCGCCCCTGCAGTCTCTCGAGTTCGAGCTCGGGGCACTCGAGGTGCAGCTGAATCGCGAGCTGACGGAGGTGCCGGAGGACGCGGAGGGCGAGAGGAAAAGGTGCATGTCGAGTGCGCCCGAGGATGAGGACGGTGTAAGGAAGCGAGCGCGACTCGAAGACGACGCTAGAGGTGGTGGTGGGGAAGACGAGGCTGTGACACCCCAACAGGGCCGTGCATCTCAGGCTGCGGCAGCCGTGCAAGACACGACTCGGCAAGTCGCAGCGGACCCTGGACCGACCATGGAAGATCTACCGCCGGCCATCACAACACTTGAACTCTCTACAGACAATCACCTTTCTCACGGCCCTTCCAAAACACCGAATCCGCCCCAAACGTCGGGTGCCGCCGCAAGTTCGGAGCCGCCACCCGATTCTGCGGGCGCAGCTCATATATCAACTGCCCTCGATCTTGTACATCCGTCTGAGACACCCGAGGGGCTTTCCAGCACGCTACCGTCCGATCCGCAGGCATGGCAAACTGATGCTGAGCCTGTCCAAACCAATGCCGATGTCGCCAGTTCAAATCCTCCAGCGCAGCCTGAAGATGCCGCTGCCCCGCCTGTCAAGGCTGAACCCGTAGACATTGTTCTACCCCGAAAACGACTTGGCATCCGCCATCTCGACCTGGTATACCACACGTCCAAGACAGAGATGACGTGTCGCATGTGCTTGTACGTGTCCTTCTTTCCCTAGTGAACTTCCCAGCTGACGTCTGCTCGCCAGCAAGCGTAAGGAGGACATGGATCCAAACTGGCGCGTGCAAAAGTTCCCACTCTCGGCGCCGTGGATCGAGCTCGAAAAACACTGCGAGGAGGTGCATCCAATCGGATACGAGAGTCTCATCAACCTCAGTCCTTCGACGCTCGCCGAGACGCGCGAACGCCTGCTCGCCCTCGACCATGGGGGTAAGCGCAAAGGCAAGTAGCGTGCCTGTCTGGCATGTACGTGTACTATCTGGGTTGGTTCTCTTGGATTTTTGTATGCTATACTTATGATGTATGTATAATTTATGCTGTAGAATGGGCGATGGATATGTATCTCTCTCTCTTGTCAAGTGCTAATCTGCTAGTGATTTTATTGGCGGCCTAAAGCACAAAGGACTGCTGTAAGTAATGGTGGAAAGGGCATTATCTACGTTGACTGTGCCTCGGGCTCGCTCGCAGGAATTTCTCATGCAGGCGTCGGTAATTGTGGGGCAGCTGCTTTACAACCGCGCGCTGCAGCCTCGTGCGCCCCACGAGGTCTTCTCACCTTGACCTGCGGCCCCCAGCTAGCCTCCGACGTCACTTCATCCTTAAGTCTGGCAAGTGCTCTTCTAAATCTGCCCCAACCCCAGAGCTGACTCGTTCATATCTGCAGATATATTGTCATGGGGAAAGCCTTACTGAATCGCGACATATTTTTGGAGATCGTAGAGTACTTGCCAAAGAGCTCCCTCGCGGCTTTGGCATGTACTTCCAAAGTTCTGTGCGATGCTGCCTTGGATGGGTTATGGCGTGAGATGGATTCATTGGATCCCTTGTACCGGTGTTTGCCGTCCGGGGTATGGATGGACTTCCGTGAGCAATTGGTACATTACTGTCTGCATCGAGAGTGTCGGTACTGACTCGTATTCTTTTGTTACGATGAAGGTGCTTGCCGGGGCCCCCGTACAGCCAAACGACTGGCTTAGGTTCATTTCCTACGCCAATCGAATATGCAGGCTTTCTTTGAATGAGAGCGCGCAGCTGCGGTTGGACTTCCTCAAGGTGATTAAATATCACCTGCCTCGCGGTGTCGCAGTGTTTCAGCGCCTCAAAAATCTACGGCTCGTGCGCAATAGCGCAGACTCCGAGTTCTTCCTCGGCCTTTCCATTCTCTTGCATCCTGGGTTGCAAGCGGTGGACCTATCCGCCACTCTTACAGACTGCGTCGTTGCGACGCTGAGCTACATGCAAACTCGCTGCCCTGATATCCAGGAGCTTTCCATCACGAAGGCGATTGGTGTCATGCCTATGATCGACTACTTCGCCCAGCTTCGAATTCTCGTTTACGATAGCCCCCAAGACGTCGTCGATCTCCACCTGATCTTTTCGCTTGCTCACTTACCTCACCTTCGGGCGCTGAAGATCACTGCTCGCTTCGCCCCCGATCCCTTGGGCACTAGCTCGTCCACGAGAAAGCCTCATGATCAGGCTTTCCCCGCTCTCGAAGAGTTATCGCTTGATCATGCTACGAGCCTTCAGGCTGTATCACATCTCCTTCGGCTCATTACTTCGCCCACGCTACGCTTGTTTTCCTTAGCTTATGGGCTACCAGATCGCAAACCTGCGGGAGGAGACCTGAGAGACCTCTCGACGGGTCTCTCGCGGCACCAAAAACTCGGCTCGCTTTCCCTGAGAAGTCTCCAAGTACCGGATGACGCTGTCCAAATCAAGGATTTGGGAGGCCTAACCGAGCTGAAATGCTTGACCGACGTCCACCTCACAGATATCTTGTCCCACAAAAGCATGAGCGCCGCCGGTATAGCTGTCCTAACACACTCCTGGAGCCGTCTTTGCACCCTGCACATCATCTGCAAGCCCTGGCACGACGATCGTGCTGCAGCCAAAGTCAGTGTACCCAACATCTCAGTCCTTTCTCGTCTAGCTGCAAACTGTCCTTGCTTGCAAGAGCTTCGCGTAGCAATCGAAGCAACGCGCTTTTCCCAGCCATTGGACGTAAACACCCCAGGCGAGCGATGTGAAAACCCTCTGCACCTCTTACTCTGCTCGGCATCTGCATTAGAGAACACTCCAGAGCACGCGTACGACGTCGCGGAATACATCTCGGACACCTACCCTCGTGTCGATCTTTCGTACGAAGGTCCACAGGACGGAGCCCGCTGGAAAAAGTATGGTGCACAGTGGGGAGAAGTTAAGAAGCTGGTCATGCGCATGAGTCGGACGAGAGCTATGGAAAGGCGGAGGATCGAATTGGAAATGTTGAAGTTGGTCGAAGGCGTCTCCCAGATGTCGAGCAATAGCTTGTAGAGGCGTGTAACATTCTTTAGTGCTGGTCCAGCAGAGTGATTTTGAGCATCTATCTGAAGCGAGCCAAGCGTGGTGATATTCCAAGCATACAGCGACAGTTAGGACGTTAAACATCAAATATGCTACAAGATGAGGACTAGCGCAATGTATTCAGCCAAAAAAAAAGCAGTGAAAACGATTCAACTATTGACAGGAAGTGCAAATGCTGACAATGCGGTGCTGGCCCGTGCCGACGAAGGCGCAAAGGACCGAGAGAAAACATGGTACTTCAGGACGTTGCAAGAGTGCGGGTTGGCAAACTAAAGCGCCTGCGATTCACCAGCTACGAAAACTACTAGGCCCAGCTTCTCCCCGCAAAGTCCCGTCGAGACGTCGCCGAACGCATCCGCTTCTCGCTCGTCCTCGAGGGACTCCTTTCGGGCCTAAGCTCCGCGCACCGTTTTGTGCCCGCTCTGTGACCTGCCATCGGCATCGCGCGCAGCTCCACCGGACGCCGCATATGCAGGTTACTCGTTGGACGTTCAGCTTGCGGAGACTCTATGGTGCGGCGCGCCGTGGTCTCATCCATGGAGGTCTGTCTGTCGTGCGCCGAGGCTCCAAGCTGTCTGTAGTGCGACACCGGCCCCGGGGGTGACCCATGCAATCGTCAGCATGGTAGCTCCGGTTTGCATTCCAGTAGCTCCGATCCTCATCATAGTAGCTCCGAGTGCGTTCTGTCGAGTGTCGTATCCTTGCGGCGCTGTCCGGGCAAGACGAGTCCCTGGGGCGGTCTACAACACGCTCCGCGCTGTCATCCCGCATTTTGTCTACCGAGTGTGGCGTCCTAGCGCTGCGGACTTCGAGCGACGTCTCTGCTCTTTCCCGTACATACTATGGCTCCGCGGCAGCCTCCGCCGCCGCCTTCTTGCCTTCGGCGGCTCCGAGGGCCATGAGCGCGTTCGCAAGCGGTTTGTTGTATCCGATATACCTGAGCGTTAGGTACTGCGTCCTGAAGTGACCGAGGAAGTACATGTTGCGCACATGATCCACGGCGTCCAGCTTCGTCGTGAGGAAGTCGGCCTTTGACGGGAACGTGTGCCGCAGGATGGCCTCTTTGACCTGTAATCAGCGTTTTTATTGGGCGACTTGACATACCGAGAGAACGAACACGTACATTTCTTGGAAGACGCGCGTACTCCTCCTTGCTAGTGTCACCCACTTCGACACCGATGAACGTCCCCGCATAGTGGATGCCGTTCTCCGAGTGATAGAATACCTCTTTGCGCACGCCGACGTGCTTCTTGAGCTCGTTCATGGGCGCATCTCTCTCAGTGGGGGGCGGCAGCGCCCTTACAGCGGTGCGTTGGAGAGATGAGACAGGCATAGCCTTCCAAATAGGGATAAATCATGCGGTTTATGCAGGAGAGGACGCTTCCTGGCACACTTCAGAAAGAGGAAAGACTAGTCTGAGGGAACGTGGGAGGAGCTAACTTACAGATGCGCCTTAACGTGCTGAGATGAGTGGGGATCAGAGGCCACGTAAGCAATCAAGAGCTTAGGAGAGTAGTGGCACCAACAGGAGGCAGATTGTGGGGTCCTTTCGGGCCGTTGAGCGGCAGGTAAGAGTGTCTAAGTACATCATCCACGATTTTGAACCATGGATCACGGGGCACCTGAGGATTCGAATTTCAAGCCGCATTCATCGAAAATGCATGTATTCACACTGACCGTAAGTCCAGGCGCAGCGGCGAGATTCAACATGGCCTGGAATTTTTCGCTGGGTCCTGCGAAACATGACGCATCAAGCGTAGGTGCAGCCGGAGCAGACGGTTCCTTGGTTACAGGTGTCGGTGTGACTGGTGTGACGTTGGTCCAGCCAAGAACCTGAAACAACGGTGCGCCTAAGCGCTATATTCTCGCTAACCATCAGACTCGTACTCGCCTGTTCGTACATTCGACGTTTACTGGTCATCAGCTCCAGCTCCTGGCGAAGCTTACACTCCTATAACGACATACGGATTAAGTGCCCTCGCAACAAAATAAGGAAGAGGCATTAAGTACCGTTTTCATGTACTCGTCTTCCTTGAGTTTCCATTGACTCCGCAGCTCGTCGAATTGCCGGCGCTCTTCACGCATCTCGTTATTCTTCAAAACGTGTTGCTCAAGTCCATCTGGTCGCTGCTGCAGCGCATCGCAGTGTTTTGACTTGGAAGCGAGCTTCTCCCCGAGTTCTTGATGTGATACTTGCGGGCCTCACAGGCTGCCGAGCTTCTGCTGCAACTCAATAACTCTTTCTCCCATTTCGTTATACGCGCTGATTCGATGATCAAGCCGCGTTGAAGTGTTAGGCATCATCCCCTGGACCTCGACGACTTCAGTATGTACCAAAATAAGGATATAACTGATATGAGCCTAGCGTATCTGCATCACAAAAATGACCTGGTGCACCTGGCGCTCAGCGCCCGAGCGTTTGTGCGCGCCTTCTTCGAATTTTCGTTGATGCGGATCGACCTCTCCGTGCATCGCTCCAGAAACTTGTAAACTTTCCAATAATACGCTCATGTCCGCATTCTCACCCCACAAAAGTCGACTGATCTGTGAAAAGATAACGTATGCGCATTAGATTCATCATTAGGCTGCCACTGAGTAGCATAACTCACTTCACGCGCTCACTCGAGCTCTTGACGGAGGACCTAAAAACTCACAAGATGGTCTCATACTCCCCTATTGGAGGTGATATGACCTTTACAACCTCGCTCTCAGGCACTTGTGCCCCTGCGGTGTCTTCTGCAATTTGCAGTCGCGCGATCTCGGCACGCAGGGTAAGGTTATCCTGCCAGTAATGAAAGCAAGTTCATATACGCTCCTGGATTGACAATCTACCCTTTCAATCACCGTCATGAATGCGTACGCATCCTGGGGCCTGTATCAATATGCAACACAGCCCAACCTTCCTTTTCATGGAAGCCCAGCAATACTAAGCTCTCTCGAATTTCCGACGGGTATACCCTGGAGCTATTTAATTGCCAACATGACGGTAGCAGTAACACGTGCTATCTGGGGACATTCAGGTGCACTGCTACCGGATTGCTTCCGATGCAGGACTACCGTCTCCTATCCAAAGGTGTTAGTCTGCAACCTTACGTTCTAGCCTCCAATCCTCACTCTATTTATTATACCGTAGACGCGCGTCGCCATCTTGCAGAATACCTTTCCGCCTGGACACTCGGCGTCCTCACCGGACTGGGACCACGTGAGAAGCATGTACCTTGCCGGAATACGTCAGATTCACTACGCAGACTTCGAGCGTGTTTCGTTTAACTATATGCTTTACGATGCCTTGATAAAGCAGAAAGAAAGGGATGACGCTTCGACGAACGGGAAAGAGAGGGACAGCGCTATGGAAGCCCCGCGACGTCGGCGCAAACGCAAACGCGACTCTGGCAACAGGCAGGCGAACAAGCGAGCGTATATCTGACCATTACAACTGAGCTCCCATATATTTGTAGCGTATGGAAATAATGTACTATCAGCTATGTATGTCTCGTTGTCGGTGTGTGTACATCTGGACTGCAGGAGTGCAACGCGTAGCGAACTTTTTCAGCGAGACCCCTGCCCGTCCTCGGCCCTCGGACCACCAGACGCCACAAAGGCTCTGCCAAAAGCAGCTTAGCTCGGGGTTCGAATCCGCGCGGTGCCCAATTTGTTTCATACTCCTATCATCTGGATCTGCGGATACGGGGTTCTGCGTTGCTTTTAGGTAATCCATTTGTTCTTCATTTATGGGCCTCTCAGCCTTTTGACTAAGGTCGAATTGCAGAGTCACCATGGACAGTCTCCTTCGTGATTCCGAGATGGTACCGCAGTCCTTCAAAGTGCTCGACGACAAGCTGCAGCAAACCCAACAGCTGTTGGACAAAATGAATAAGGTAGACAATCTTCGTATGCTCGAAAATGTCTCTCATTCACTTGCACCACCGTAAGTGTGAGATCGACGTAAATGGAGGAATAGTACGTGCAATATCTCCTTGATATGCTACAGCGCAAATAAAATTCATAATGAGAGCTGTTATCGCATGTCAAAAAAAACTTGAATACTTACTTGAGGAAGGTTATCGGGGTTACGTCCATGTCCCATACAAGGAATGCACTGGATGTTGGGTTGAAGCAATGACGACTGGATACGACGAGCACAATACTTGCCGTCTCATGGATCTGACCATCGTCGCGGAAGCGGACCCTTCGTGTTGGTTCGTTTTCGCCATCAGGGTTTTCCTCTTCTCCCTCGCCTCCAGAATCCTGGTCGCTCGCAAGTGGGGAGAGCGGCAGATTGAGCATGGACTTGACACTTATTTCCGGGCCCTGCCAGCGTAAGTGAGCTAGAATAACTCGTATACAAGCCAACATTCGCCAAAGATACTTACGTCTCGTTCGTATATCATGTTCGATCCTTCGGCGGCATGCTCTTTCAACGAAGCAAGCTTCTGAATCGTACTCGTGAGGAACGCACGACCTAAGCGGGAACTAGCTGCGCACCTTTCGAACATACTGGAGCTTCTTTTCATACCTGTTCTCGTTAGCCCTTAATTCTTGCAGTTGCTTAGCAATATCCTCTTCCTGAAGCGACACGACGAAGAATACATTAGAGATCATGAAGCGCTTGCTGCGATTACAACCGCGCATACTTACCGCGCGGAACCGGTCTAAGCAGCTAGCAAGAGGTTTCACGTGCTCTTCTATGTGCACGAGGGGCTGTGTACCAAGCTGAACGCGCAGCCTTGCGCTTTCTTCCTCCAGAAGAAGGTTGGCCTGATGATACGAGTGAGATTTAGAGCCAATACCAAAACGATCTTGTATTCAGTACGCACATGGGCAAGTTCCAAAACTTCGCGATTACTCCCTGCCAAAGCATGGCGCGTCCGCTGCAGCTCCTGCTCGATTTCGGAGTCCTAAAGAGCGTCCATATCAGCTTAGAGCCCTGGATACGCTCTGCGCCCATGCTTCCGCGAACTCACCGGAGCTGCATTCGCATCATCATCCACGTCCATAGCAAACGCGTCCATTTTCTGCTGACGCAGCTGGGCAATTTCATCTTGCAAATCTTGGATCTCCTATATCCAAATCGTATCGTCAACGACACGCCCGGTGGCCGGCTTTGCGCACCCTCTGCGATTTGTCTAACGCCTGTCGCGCATCCTTCAACTTCGTGTTGAAAAATTGCACAAGATCGGGGGCTAGACTGGAGTCCACGCTGAGCTCCTCCATAGGCGGAGGTATTGAGTTGAAAGCAGAGGGCGACAACCGCGGGCGTCTGCAACAATGCTGACAACAATATGATTGTGTGACACGGCAGCCCGGCAACACGACAACGGCACGTGAGATGTGACTAGCGCGCTGGTGACTTTTGCATGGACCGCGACCGTTCACGGCAAGCGCGCCTGTAGTGACAGCTTTGGTACGAGGTCATTCATACAGATTCACTTTGCTGACAAATTTTATTATACTTTGCGGTGAAGACTGCTTTCCCCAACACTAGCTCGCTACTCTCGACGGGTCTTCTTCCTCCGAATCGCTCCGCGGCCTCCACTGCTCTCGCGTTTACGCTTGTTCGACGCATGCTTCGTTTCGTCTTGAATTTTCAGATCTATCAATGCGTTGAAGTAGTCTTGATTGAACTTCACGAACTCCAGATGAAGATATTGCACCTGAACCTTGCCCTGTGAGTATAGGTCGATTATGTGGTCCCTGTTTCGCCTCGATAAGCTTCTGTATTGTGACGGACGAATAAATGTCTGTTTCAGGATGTCCTCCTTGAACTGTGTTTACAGCCGGTGAGCAAACGTTTTGCACGACAAGTGGTCCTTACCTCTTTATCTAGCTGCCGGAATTCATCCTGCGAGTAGTAATGGCTTGCGCTGACGCAACGATACATCCCTAGGTAATGCACGCTACCATGAACAGCACGGAACAATTCCCTTGTGCCGCCGGTGATTCCCTGGAGACTGGGCTCAATCTTGATCCACGAGATGGGCTCCGTCGATGTGTCACACTTGGAAGGTGACGCAAAGATGTGCGCCTTCCGGTTATTCTTCCCATGGAGTTGCCGTGTCTGCCCGGGCCATAAGAGGATCACTGCTCTCGCTGTGCTACATGTATAGCTCGATGAGCGAACTTTTTCTGTGATACAGAGCAACATACGATAGCTCGCGCACATGCTACTGCAAGGGTAAGTTCCCGATCACTACTGTACAATAGAATTACTGACGGCAGGAAGATCATAGGGTGTACGACTTGGATCAATGCAAGGTGTCACCTGAAGCATTGCCAGTGAGCAAAGATGCATCGCATAAGGTTTTTACAACACACCACGGATGTGTTCACGTCAGTTGGCATATCTGCTGCGTCTTCTTCACCCCTGTCATCATCACTTTCATCATCACTTTCATCATCACTTCTGATTTCCTTTCTATCGCACTCGCTGACCCAACCACCTGTGTGCTGACTCGTGTCATCACCATCTCTACGAGCAGTGCTTTCGTTCTGCTCAGCATCAGCATTAGAAACGCTCTGCTCGCGAGTCTGTGTAGTCAGCTTCAGTAATCAGATATTGTAAGAAGGTTGATACCACCCTACGTATTTCAGCTCTTCAAGGCGAACTACCTCGTTTTGCAGCAGCTGAATGCGACTAGTGAGCGATGTCACTTCCTGAGTGGGAGTAAGTTGGCGATGCGGAGGTAAAGAAGACCTTAGGTGCCGTACACACCCTTCTGGAAGCGTAGAGCTTTTTCTTGTATGTCTTCTTCTTCGCAGTGAGTATATCTAGCTGTAATTCTGAATCTCGGCACTTCTCCTGTGTCACAGCTTCGACGAATAGCACCCTGAGAGACATGGACTCACATTACGCTCGAGCGCGTGCTCAGAATCAGCAAGTTGCAGCTTCAAGACACTGTTCTGTTGGTGAAGCGATCTTATATCATTTTTTGCCTAGCACAAACACACATAAGCATGCAGCAAGGCACCATTCAACACATACGTACGGGGCAGAGTCTCGCCCAACAGGTCGTGAGAGGCTTAACATCCTGCTGCCATGATGAAGCGTCAGAAGAGTGTAGGCTTAGCTGCCCTCGCAGCCTCTCTATCTCTTCGCGAAGATTGCTGTTCTCCTTCCAAGCAAAAATTAACGACATTTGAATCTGCTAGTCAGCGCAGACTCGTTCTGTGACTGACCTCAGCAGTGTCCTGAGCATACTGGTTGCTCTCTGCTAACGCCTGCCGGACATGCCCAATTTCTTGTGCAAGTGTAACCTATAGGTAGCAGATTGAGTGAAAACAACAGCCTGTACGGCGAGGCCACGCAACTCACATGATTATCGCGTTGCTCTTCCTCTTGGTTGTTCGACTCGCTGGCAAAAGCATCGGCCTTCTGGCGATGCAACTGGTGAATCTCATCTCTCAGATCGATGCTCTCCTTGAGTAACACCTTAGTGTTAGCGCAATGCGAGCAGACCAGAACTCTCAACGCTTGCATACTCTTCTCGACTCGTCCAAGGCCCTACGTGTCTCCACGAGTTTCTCGCTGAGCAACCTGACGAACTCCGGGGCAAGCTCGGGGTCCCTGGTGAGCTCGTCCATGGCCCACGCGATACAGATACGGAGTATCAGAGCAAAATGTGGACAGACGAAACAAGGACCGTGCGATCTCACCCCTGTGGGCACCGGGCAGAGAGGAGTGCGTCTTTTAAATTATGTGCGGGTGACCCGCTTGGCAATGTATTGATCGGTACAACTTCACGTGAAATTCACGTGATATTCGCGTCTGTCTACTATGCGGTCGTTACGCGGGCAACCCGTCGCAAGCTATACGTCTAGACTCCACTCGCTCTGCGCAGAGAATGGGCGACGCGATTACCAGACCCGATCAACATTGTTTATTCCACATACTAGAGATCATCTCTGTAAAGGAACGGAACAAAGCCTGAATCAAACCCGCGCTCTCTTCCTCGCCTGCCACTCGCCAGCCTGGCCGTCATGTTTGCGCTTAGTAGGCTGAGTTTGCGATGTTCCGACACCGTCGTCCTCCTTCTGCTGTTCCTTCAAGGCATCATATAGCTCGCGATTGTACGCAACGTAATTAAAGTCTGCGTATTGTACCTGACGCGTGCCCTTTCGGTACATGCGGCTTACGTGCTTGTAGTCCGACTCAGAGACCGCGTTTCTGCATGCAAAGGTCTCATTTACAAGGTCATTCTTCATCTGTGCGACATCAACATTAGACGAGAAGATAGCTAGAGCACACGGTCGCAAGACTGACCTTACTAGACAGCTGGCGATATTCGCCCACCGGAAGAGATCCGGTAGCGGCACACTTGTACGTTCCTAGGTAGCATATGCCGCCGCACTGACGATGGAACAGCTCTATGGTGGCTCCAGCTAAAGACTCGAGGTGGTAGAGATCACCGCGCTTCCATTCGTAGGGAGTGTAAGACGTGTCGCAAATGAACATGGGTTTTACGATGCGTGCATGACCACAACGGCGATTGAATGGCGAGATTGTGAATTCGGGAACGAACATGCATTTGTTTGCGTGTCTGAATGCTCAGTAAGTCGTGAATGCAAATGGATGATAACGACGGGCTTACAGCAATTGTCTAATATTCTGGCGCGCAGATCAGCATCACGGCGGTACCAGCATCACAGGTTCTAAGGGATTCAATACTCACCCAGGGAAGATTGAATGGATGACGTTTATATCCCATGCAGGGAATGAGCTAAATACCGGTCAATCGCAACACATGGGCAGGTGCGGCAGAAGACTTGCCGTCTCAGGACCAGGGCCGTCATGCAAGTTGAAGCGGGCCTCTCGTGATGGCAATTTGTCTTTGCTGTTGGAGCGCTTGTCACTCTGCCCCTCATTTTCGAGATGGTTCTCTCCCAGAGGTGAGGGAGAAAGAGACTGGTCAAGCTTAATAAGTGCCTCAGCTTAAGCCGAGCCAGCGTGTAACTAAGTCCATGGTACTCACGTTTTGTTTCGATGCTGAGCTTTGTCTCTCTACAGTAAGCTCTTCATTCGAGGAGAGCGCCTGAAGTATACCCATGACAAGACAGACTAAGAGATTCGGGCGATCACGCACCTTTCGAGCGTTTTTGAACTTCTTCTTGTGCTTATGCTTGTTGGCTCCTAAATCTTGCAGCCGTTCTTGGGGCGCACTCTCCTATAGCAGCGTCGTTGGGACATCACCTAGTTCAGCGACAATGAGAACGCACTCTCTGTTCGGCTGCGTTTGCGCGCTCGGACAATTCCTCTGACTGTTCCCGGAATTCTTGTATCTCTTTTTTAGCCTATAATGCAGTACATCAGCGAGCGCTTTACGCAGTTACAGTCGCGCACACTCACTGGACACTTTCTAGCCAGGCGGCTTGGGCGCTGATTTTCGTCTTCGCCTGCGTCCCCCGCGGGCTGGGTTTCAGGCTTGGAGCGCAGCACTGTAATCTCGGAGCGCAATGTTGCAGCTTCTTCTTCTAGGAGCTGGTTCGCCTGATGGGACAAGTGGCGTTCTAAGCTTGAAGCAAATATAGTATCCGCGCAAATACGTACATGGGCCGTCTCTAGCACTTCCCGGTTGCTTCCAGCCAGAGCAAGACGTGTCCGTTCCAGCTCTCGCACGACTTTATCCTAGAGGGTGCAGATACCCGACACGGTTTGATAGCGACCTTTCACCATACTTTCTCGGACTCACCTGGGTGCCCACCACTTCGTTATCTACGCCTGACAAGTCCCCGAGAAACATATCCGCCTTCTGCTGACGCAGCCGGGCAATCTCATCTTGCAGGTCTCGGGTCTCCTGTATGGGAATTGTATTGTCAAAAACACGCTCGGTAGCTGGCTCTGCGCACCGCCCGTAAGTCATCTAACGCCTGCCGCGTCTCTACCAACTTTGTGCCGAACAGCCGCACAAGGTCAGGGGCTAAAGTAGGGTCCACGCTGAGCTCCTGCATGAATAGCGTGGTGAACGTGTAGGTCGAATGCGGAGGATGGCAACCGGGCGTATGCAACGATGTCCACAACAGTATGACCGTGTGACAGTCCGCCTCGTGGCGGCTCCGCAGTATAACAGTTCTCGTGAGATGTGACTAGCGCATCGGTAACCACTGACGACGAACGCCAACGAGCTTGCGAGCGTGCCCGGAGTAATAACTTTGGTACAAGATCACTCCGTTTGGCGTCGTGCGTACGTACAGGTGTTGGACACAAGGCTTGCGTTGACTCAGGCTATCCTTCGAAGTCCGGGATATCTTGACCTGACAATCTAAAAACCAAATACGCTGCGGAAATACAGTGGAGAGTATCAGAAGGCGGTACAATACAAGCATTCATCCATACAATTGTCCCATTTCCAGTCTCGCTTCCACCGTCCTCAAACCGACAAGAAGCGAGACAGGCCAAGGCGATTGCTCGCTGATCATCTAATCCGCTTGTTGTGCTGCCTTCCTCGCCTTCTTCGAAGGACCCGCCCCTCCTTCAGCGTCTGCCGAGGCGGAGCGCTTCATGCCCGCGGTGGGGGTACTGCCAGTCGTCGCCGCGTGAGCCTTCAGAGCAGCAAACAGCGACCGATTGAACCCGTCGAAGCGGAGCGTCAGATATTGTGCCTTGGCCTTCCCCGTCATGTATCCGTTGCGTAGGCGGTCGGTATTGCTCTTTTTGACCGCGGATAACGCTGTCTTGGATGGGAAGGTCTGCTTTACGATGGCCTCTTTCATCTAGTGCGGTATTACGTGTTAGAGATGGGCAGCACGGAGAGAAATGTCACGACGCACAGGCTTGGGCAGGGCCGCGTATTCAGACTGATTGACCGCGCCAAACGCGATGGCGAGGTAGGTGCCCACGTACGAGACCTCCGTCGGCGTGACATGATAGAACACTTCCTTCTTGCTGCCAATCATCTGCGGGAGCTCGTTCGTAGGAGGGCCGAAGTCGAGCGTCGCTTTGGCAGACTTGCAACGTGACAGAGGCGCGAGAAGTCGGATGTGATTCTCAGAGTGCGGGATGATGATACGATCAGGACAGGAAAGAATTGTACTGCCTGGCGTGCTGAAGGGGATGATAGGGTCAGCAAGAATATGCGAAATAGACTGCCATTTTCACGAACAGGTGCTTCTTAACGTCCTGTATGAATGTATTAAAGAATACCTAGTCAATCATTTGGATCATTAGGACGTACCGCCGGAAGTGAAAGCGGTGCAGTAGGCGACGTGATGGATAGGCAGGGATTCTTCATAATTTGATTTACGATTATTGCCCAGGGAACTCCAACCTTGACCTAGTCATAGTCTATCAGACCTAATACGAAAATAGCATATCATATGCGCTCTCACCGTCTTCACGGGAGTAGGAGGCCGGGGGCCGAACGATGAACTAGCTGCCAAGACAGAGCGAAACTCAGATTTCGGTGCCATCTGAGACGTCTTACTGCAGCTTGTTTGAGCATTGGCAGCGACCTGCACAGAGAAGAGTGTGAATGTCGTCCCAAATTGAAGTATTGTAGGAGCACTTACCGGTTGCGCAATGGGCACAAGTTGGGCAGGTATGGCCTCAGCCTGAGGCGACGCAGGCTGCGCTTGACGTGCATTAATCTGCTCAAGAGCCTGGGTATGGCTGTAGGTGACGCAGTGCCGGATCCGAAGGAAAAGATGAGCGTACTGCTTTGTACCGCCAGTGCTTGCTGGTGGCTAGCTCGAGTTCCTGACGGTGCTTGAACTCCTGTGGATTATGAGTCGAATACCGTCACGGATTATCACCCGTGCAAAACTTGCCTTCTGATCGAACTCGTATCGCATTGCGCTGGACTGTTGTTGGAGTTCCGTGATCTTGCCAGCGTTTTCTCGCACATCAGCATCGCGCCGTGCAAGTTGCTCCTCATATTCTTTAAGACGCTGCTTCATGCTGTGGTTCTGCGCATTGCTGGAGTCGAATTGATGTTGAAGCATGCTAATCTGACGCTGCTGTTCTTCACAGGCGCTTTCCTTTTGCTCAACTTGAAGCTCTAATTCTCCTACACGTTCTTGAAGCTCTTCGTACGCTGTGTGCTGCTGATCAATTACGGCTTGTGCCCCTGCGAGGTCCATTTGGAGTTTGCCGGCTTCTCGCCACGCCTACGCCAGAGAACAGCAGTTGACACAAAGTTCAAGTTCTCACAGATCCAGTACGCACCTCACACCCAGTCCCTGGGCATCCTGCACTAGCGTCCATAGCATCCTGACGCGACGTTCCCTCCGTCTCAGCAGTACGACACCCTTCCAGAAGGCCCCGGAGATCTGCGTTCTCTCCTTGGAGTCGTTGATTCATCTGAATACATAGATAGGTCAGGGCTATGCTTGACGAGGGTAATAGCTGGATCGAGGCCTCACTTCGAGCTCATTGGTGAGCATCTTTCTAGTATTCTGATCTCGAAGTTAGTGCGAAATGCTTTCAGCTTCGCGCGGGGTCTCTGACCTTCAGGTCTTCTTGCGCAGAACCTTCGGAGCCTGCGGTGGCCTGAACAGCTTGAAGTCGTAGAAGTTCAGCTTGGATTGCGTCCTTCTCCTGTGCAAGACTCCAGATACACGTTTCCTCAGGTCGAACAACACGCACATTTCTCGTATCCTCCAACGCTTTGCGTGTCTCTTGCAGCTTGTCGTCAATCAGCTTGAACAGCTGCGGGGCTAGCTCGGAGTCGCATAAGATATGGTCCATAGCTGTGGAGAGTAGGGAGTAGAAGTTTTAAACAATACAGCCGCGATCCTTTCTCTAAGCTACAGCTTGGTGGGTGGGGATAAGAGGGAGCGTGAGACAGCGCTCACACCAGATCTAGATCCGAGATCACTTAGACTTGTTAGGCAAAGGCTTGGTGGCGTTCGGGACCTGCCGCCAGTCGTCCGGCCAACAGCGATTGTGATAAATTCTTTGGAAGGGGCAGCGCAGGATGTTTTCTACCATCTCAGTGTATTCAGCAATTTACTGTTCGGAAATTTGTCTTCAATTCCGCTATAGCGTAATTTGTTTACGGCTGGTTCGGAAAATCAACTTTTCTGATGCCATCCCAACAAGGTAAGTGTAACTTCCACGACCCCCGTCGGCGGCAGCACCCAGACTCAGCTCGTCCGCACCCTTCACCCGGCACCTGTAGCAGCAAATTACGTCCGGTGCATTATTAGACCAAAACCCCTCCTTCCCGTAGCAAGACAGGGTGCAAAGTGCTTTTAAACGCCGAAGGGCTTGCGTTGTACTGCCAGCCTCGCTGCCGGCCTTGCTGCTAGTGCGGCCACCATTATAGCTTTCGGACCGGTTCCACAGGGATTGCATACCTCCGTTTGTGATTTTCACTTACCTGCGTGAACATGTATGAGGGCTAGAAGCTATAAAAAATGCAGGAGGGAATTGTGAAGCACAAGACATCGCGCGCTCAGGGCCTGAAGTTAGTTCAAGTTACCATTGTGGGACGGTGCTGGAAAAGTTCAATCTCTCCTTATTTTCCGAACCAACTGTAATTATTTCAGGCGTAGAACAATTGTACTCGCATATGTGAACTACAGGAGATATCGTAGTCAATGAGCGTCGTTACTTTGCCATCTTGCATTTCTTGGACAACTTTTGCACAGAAGAATCTTCTGTCGCTGCGTCCTGTCCGAACTTCCGCTTCTGAGATGTCTTCGTGGCATGGTGCACCTTCTCGTCTGCCTCCTTTAGCTTGAGCAAGGCATTAAAGTATTCGTAATTGAAGTTGTCAAAAACGAGGTGCACAAACTCCACTTCCGCTAGGCCTTTGGTGTATGCCTTGTGGATCGCGCTCTTCGTGGCATCGGTTAAGCCCCTCGTAGCCCACAGACCACCGGCAATCGAGTGATTTACGATATCTTCCTTGACCTAAAAATCAGTGCTCTCTTGAGTCGTACAAACAGGTAAAACCTACACCGCTCGCACCTGATTTTGAAGTTGACGAAACTCATTGCTCGAGTATATGCCTGCTGTGACGCAGCGATAGGTTCCCAGGTAGCGCACGTCCCTCGGGCCCGCAAGATAGAAGAGCTCGCGTATGTTACCCACCATTTTTGCTAGGTTGTTACCCGAAGGTGTCCAAGCAAACGGGCTCGTTGCAGGGTCGCAAACCGATGTCGAGCCCAGGATACGCACATCTTTCCCATCTCCGTGTGGATAGATCATCACAGTGCTTCCCGGTCGGAAGAAGAAATTGCCAGCGGTCCTGCATACGCGTTCAGCCATGCTCAGCGGTACGTATTTAGGACGCACGAGATTCTTGATACTTCCTGTGGGACGACGTCAGCTGAGGTTTCTCCTTACAGCAAAGCGAAGTTACCTTGGGAAGATTTATCAGCCTACGATTGGGAGATAAGCAGCATCTGTGCTTCAGTCATAATCAAAACGTTAAGGCTATCATATAGAGCGAAACATAGAGCACCCAACTATATCGACGTCTTCCTTGTCCTCATTGTTTTCCTTCTCATCCTTGCTCTCAGTATTTTTAGTGTCCTGCTGTGCCACTGCTTTCGTTGGTTCTCTAGGGACATCCACCTTTTGTAGAATATTAAACACCGTGCAGATCAAAATAAGATAAGATTAAGACTCACAGGGGGCTCCACATCACGCTTTTGCGCTTCATTTGCCTAATTCTGGCACTAAGAATGTTTCAAATATAGCGTGGTACGAGAAACTAACCTCTGTGATGGATTGCAGCTTTGCCTTGTATTTATTCTTCTTTGCAGTTGCCTTGTCTAACTTTTCCTGAAGTTCGAGCTCCTACATTCATCGCAGTTGAGATAGCATTGAAAGATGCTGGCCAAGCCGGAGATCACTCACCTTGTCACGGCTGGCTGCATCTTGCTGTGAAATTCGCTCTTGCAGTTCCTGGACTTGCTGATGCAGCTTCCGAACATCATTCCTCGCCTAGTACACGGAGAAGACAACTGAAATTAGGACTACGCTGGCAATATATTCATTTACGCACAGGACAGAGTCGCGCCAAACAGCTCGTTAGCGGCTTGGCATCTTTGATCACTTCGTCTGTCAGAACGAACGAGTTCTTCGAGCGGTAGTGGTTAAGCTCGGCATCCATGTTCTCATTCTCCTATATGTCTTGTTCAACACGCAAGTAGCCTAGTATAAGAGGAGGGCTACATGAAACTCACCCCACAGAGCTCCTCAAGCTGCGCAGTTTTCTCTGCCAGTACTTCACGCACACGTTCCAGCTCCTGTAACATATCGCCCTGTGTAGATTGAATTCGACGCGGAAGAGGATGTAGTAGTTTTGTTGAACTCACTCTCAGTCCTACATCTCCTTCTGCAGACGCGCTGGCAAACGCATCTGCCTTCTGCGCTCGCAGCTGCGTATTTTCATCTCGGAGGTCTTGGTTTTCCTATGCACTGTGTTATCCACGACACTGCGAAATATCTAGCTATAACTTCCCGTACTTGTTTAGCCTGGTCCAACGCTTTGCGCGTGTGCGCGAGCTTCTCGCTGAGGAGTTTAACCAAGCTAGGCGCCAGCTCCGGGTCTTTGCTGAGCTCTTCCATACTATTGTACAACCGTAGACAGGATACTTGCGATTTGGAGCGTCTTATGAGGGAGTGAGAGAGTATGTAGTTGGACGACGAAGGCGATGACAGCGGACTGAGCCCGCCGCATCACGCCTGCAGGCTGAGATCCCAGTACACTTTCATCTATACCACGTGACCAGCGCCTGTCACGCTTCAGCGTGTTTTGGTGGAGGAGCAACCTTCTAAAAATTTCACAAACTATTGTGTAGCTCAGAGGACAAAAATGAGTAACCGGAATTATAGATTGTATGTACAGTAACAGCTTTGGGTACCTCAATTTTGAGCAAACAAACACAGCCATGAGCAGTAGGGCTTAAGGAGAGAGGCATGGAATGAATATAATATAATATAATATAAAATTTATGAGATATTTCGCCGTGCTGCGCAGCAGTCTAAATGGACTCAGCACACACATCCCGGATGCTCAGGAGACAAAAGGTGAGGTGATGTCCCATTCACCAAGGGCTCAAGTTCACAACACAAGGAAAATGTGAGTGTCGTGTTTACCTATATGACCTATCTCGTACTTCTTAGCCGATATTATTCTCACGTGAGCTTGTGACCGTTGCGCCTGTGATTTCTGCAAAGCCGTATTTGTGTGTCAGACCATTTTTCATGTTAAGTGTTGCGTGATTCTGACTGGGGACCGTTGCGCGCCACACGAGTCCCATAGGGACGTACTTCTCGTACATATATTTTTTGGACCATGGTCTTCGCCCCCTTTACGTACTGCGCATCCAATATGACACGTCGTAGGACAGCGTGTCCAATACCCCGCCAGAGCATCGCCATCTCAGGCCTCAACACGCGTCGATATGAAGAGGGAGGGGGGAGGGCCCTGAGCCAGGAAATCTAACATCAAGCGCTATAATTTTTATACGGTACCCTGGCTACTAACGGTCAGTGAGCTGCGCAGCAGACTTCCGAGCAGCGAGCGCCCGACGCATGCGTTCGCGCGTTTCATTCGAAGCGTTTCTAGCTCTCGTCTCCGTAGAATCCATAGTAATGCCGCCGTATCGCCTGCACCTGCAATCTGTTACCATGTCGCAGAAGGAGCCAAAACACTTACAACACCTGCTCGTACATCTCGTGTCGCACCTGCTCCACCGCGTCGGGGTCGAGAGCTTCCCAGTCTTCTGTCAGCCACTGGAGATGGCTTCTGTACTTGGCGCGATACTCGGCCGTGCGAAAATGGTGGGCCTGATCTGGCTTTCCCGTCACCCAGGAGTCAAGGCTGCATTCTGCCTGCACGAGAGTTGGCCTGCATGATCACGCGGGTGAGGATAGAACGCACACATGTGAGTAGAAATGCGATTGTAGGGATGGGCAGAGGGTCGAAAGCGGCGTGAAATTCGGCGCCTATGTCATGCTCATTGGAAAAGAGCCGCTTCTGTAACGCGTGCATGAGCATCGGAACTTCAGCATAGACCTCTGGTTTGTCCGCATCAAAGTCCTGCGCCCTACGTTAGTGACAATAAAGCCAATGATATCGACGCTATCTGCACACCTTATATCCAAAACGTTTGGGCGTGCCAGACAGTAGGCGAGCGACTCGCGCCATATTCGCTGCAACGATGTCCTCGTGGAGCGCATCTATGGCAAGGCCGTAAGTTAGCGGAAGCATGTCGCGCACTATTTCTCGCATATGCGACCGTATTGAGGATTGGCGCCTCGACATCTGGAGAAGCAGGCTGAGTAGCAGTCAGAATAAACGAGCGAGTATACGCACAGCATTGACAATCCGAACAATACCCTCTTGCGGCGTGAACTTCTTTCGCATCTCTCGGCAGGTGGAGATCCAGCACTCCCGTGACCACTCTTTGTTCAGCTCATCGGAAGGAAATGCGTCGATGGTGTAAATCTTGACGGTGAGCTTCTGGACTGCACGATTAATCAACTCTTTGATCGACTTGCTATAATCACTGGCCTTCGGCCTAACTTTAGCAGGTGGTACAGCCCCGCCGTTCTTGTAAAGGATGAGTTGAGGCTCAGGAGATGGTGAACGTGACCTTCGCCGCTTGTGAGCAGGGGACCTACTGCGAGTGCGCTGAACTCGCTGACGAATGGCGCCATCTCGCCTGTTTTGCAGTTCGAGCTCCTACACACATAACGGTTGAGGAACGGGATGCCGCACGAGACACAGATAGTTAACCTTGTCACACTGCGAAAGCTGCCCTTGTAGCTCTTGAGTTTGTTGACGTAGCTCCGGAATATCATCTTCGACCTGGTGCATAGCGATGACGTCACTCATTAGTCTGGCGAGGCGTCAGCACACGCACCGGCGGCTTGATATCTTCATCTTCATCATTCGACGGAGTGTCAGTATTTCTTGTGCGCAGATCATCCAGCTCGTTTCTCATTCTCTCATTCTCCTATGAAGCTAGGCGATGAGTTGCACACAACAGAGTATAAGAGAAGGTTTATGTTACACTCACCCCGGAGAGTTCTTCTAACTGCACGTTTTTATCGGCCAAGTCATCACGCATACGTTCGAGCTCCCGCAAGACATCGTCCTGTAGGACTGTGGTGTTTAATGATTACGGCTCACGAGACAGCTTGTTAGAATCACTCTCGACCCCACATGTCCTTCCACTACCATTTCATCCCGCAAATCTTGTATTTCCTAACTTTCGTATCAGTGCCAGCACTGTGAAGCATCTCGCTGGAGCCAGCCGCACTTGTTTGGCTTCGTCCAACGCCTTGCGCGTGTCCGCGAGTTTCTCGCTGAGGAGCTTCACCAGGCCGGGTGTCAGCTCCGGGTCTTTGCTGAGCTCTTCCATATTTTCATACAACTCGAGAGGATTCGACGCGAGCACGGGATTCGTGTGAGATTCCGAGGCGGCTCTGAGGGTGATGTTGGCAAAAGCGAACCGACGTTAGTCCCTCGCGAGGGCTGATGGCATCGGTGCTATCACGTGATCCGTGACAACTCGCGTCTCGACGAAGCAGGACTTGGCAGGAGTCAAACCCCACAACCCTACTGCAAACCGCGTTGCACTGCAATAGGCTTATCGACGTTGCAATTTCCTGTCTCGACGTGCGAGTCGATATCAACATTCACGTTGGCCACAAGCTAGAGCGATAAGCTCTTCCGCGAGACGGACTCCATACAATACACAAGATGCGACGTCTACTCAACCTGAATGAGGAGTAAAAGTGGACATGGTTTTCTCGAGTATGTATATATAAATTATTTCATGTCGCTGCTACAACTAGCTAACAGCTTGCAAAAATTCAGGTGCTGGAGGGAATGGTCATGTACAATGCGCCACACTGGCACATTGCCGACACGCTTCTGATAATTGTAAGTACATGGCAAACACCTGCTGAAGGTAATTTCACTTTTTTATTCCAGGGATTTTACAGATGACTCGAAGATACCACTATCTGTAGGATATACGTGCTGCACATTCACCACTCGCCACTCAGTGCTCCTTGAGTGCTCAATTACAATGGCGCTTTCTCTTGCTCATGAGGTGCTGATGTGCGAGCCAGCAACTGCTCAAGCGCGTTCTTCCGAAGCAAACCCTGATGTCTTCTCACCTAGATATCTGCCCTTTCCACTGGCCTCACACAGAACTTGACAACCTATGCGATTCACCCACTTTGAAGCCTCGTCATATAACTTGGCACCACTGGCAGGACTCGTCTGCATCAATTTTCACTGCCAACACTCGGCGATATCGAGGGCACGAGGAACTGCGCTGACACTTTGTGGCTGCGCAGCTGATATCCTATATGCGAGTGGTGGGGTGTCTCTTGGCATCAATCTTCGTACACGAATTCCAAAAAAATCCCGTCGAGCCCCCCCACCAATATATCAGGGCCGTTCGAAAGCCTGGCCATCAGCGTGTATGAGTTCTGTCGCTTCCGGCTCTGCTCTTTGGGGCTGGTGCCTCGAGCCGCTCATCTGAGATCCACTGTTTACGAACATATAGATGGACGACTGCGATGGCTCAGCGACCAGGATGCTGGCGGTTCTGAAATGCAGCGGTAATAACAAGCATTTGAAAATCATTGTTTAAGCTTGTCAGAATGAACAAAATTTATCTACAAATCTGTAAGTGTTAAGTGCCTCGGTGTTCTGGATACATTTGAAATCGCGATTTATCTAGTTCATTGTCAGTTGGTTTTCAGGACGTGAAGGCTGTGATTGATGGGTGAGCTGGATTTCCATATGACTGAATGGAAAACGTCGGGTACCTTGCATTAACGCTCTGGGGTCAGAGCTGGCAGTGATGGAAAATCATGAGTGCCTTCTCTCTACTTCTTCAGCCGTTCAATGAAGTCTATCATTGGCTCCTTGCCCTCTATATGGTGATGAAGTGTGAGTCGAGCGTTTGCCATATTCTTTCGTATCTAGTGTGACACCTGGGTAAACTCCTCTGCAGTGGTTTTGTTGCTGTACACGATGTCGAGAGACACGTCAGGACAGAGCTGACACATGGAGGAATCAATTTCTCTCTACGATGGCTGAGTGGCGCAAGGTGTAACTGACCTGTAGTCAGCCACGACTACTTGATGAAGAGACAATGGGTGATTAGAAGACGAGGATCGTGTGACTATGTTCACCTCGATACTGGCAGAACCTCCCAAGATGCGAAAGTCGCCTAGAAAATGCAGTTTAAACGTGCGTAGGACAACACAAGATATGTAAGACTTGCCTTTATGAAGCCAATGGACATTGAGTGTGTCGGAACAGTGCACAGCCCAGAGCGACTTAATGATCTGGGCACTGCAGAGCATCGAGTTCTCCGCCTTATCCAACAGAAACTGTCCTTCAAGCTCAGCCTCATCCCAAAGGTGTCATGGGCGTAGCCCCAGCCTCCCATTTTATTCCGATTTTCTATGATTTATCCTACGTTTATATGGCCCTCCAAATGTCGTCGGCGCATTGGCGCCAGTTTACAAGTCCTAGCCGCGCGCTAAACACCTTGAGAGCGCATTACTGACGGGCACGCATCAGCGCATTAGACACGCCTGTATCGCCGCTGCCTCGTCACCGCATCACGCTTTCTCGGTAAAACAGCCGCACTCCAATCTCCACCAGACATCCGATCTCTGTTGGCCCGACAATGTCATACGTTATGACATGCCGGCCCCGTCTATCTCCGAGTCCGATCAACAACGGACATTCTATCTCCGTCGGCCTGACAAACGTCATATCCTATGATATGCCGGCCCTCGCTTCTCTGCCAAAGTCCCCTAGACATTAGTAGCCGCCGTAGCACAGTCGCTTATGTAACGCCTGGTCCGCGCGCAGCCTGACTAGTATATAAGGAGCCCCTTTGTCACTACCTAGCTCCCATCTCAACCTCTTGGTTATTGGGCTAGGTAAGCCTTTGTTTGTACTTTAGTATAGTCACTAATACATCTTGGTTATTGGGCTAGCTGAACAAGCTAATGCATAGTCGCCAGACCTCGTCGGCGCCGCCTTCTGACTAGATCCACGCAGTATCCCTCGTGGTGTGTCGATGCAAGTCCACATCAAAAGGCCAGAAGAAATAGAAATTCAGATAAAAGGCCAGTATTCAGTGCAGTTTCTCACGTAGACGCTCCTGATAGAATGAAATGTCCACTTGCATCGAGGAAGGTGGCGTATATCGCAGGGATCTCTTCATGATATGTTGTCTGCCTCGATGGCTTCAAGGCACTTGAGAATGGCTAGCTGTCGGAGAAGGGAGGTGAAGGAATGGAATCTGTATCCGGAAAATTTAATACTCAATAACCTCTGTAGTGAACCTGGATATTCATGTAATCGAGGCCACATTGCAGTCAGATCGCTGCTTGCTTGGAAATAAGCCTGAAGTCCACAGCACTCTAGTCAATTGATGTTAGGCAGAAGCCCGTTGAGAGGACTGCGGAGACATCGCCAAAAGTAGGAGAGTTCGTGGTGTTCACTAGATCTGAGTATGAGCTGTGTAACATGTGGAGCAAGCCAGCCAGATAACTGTGACTGCAGAATTTTGACAAAGTAGGTTATGTCCTCTTTGCACAGTAGGCACATTTGGTGAAAGAGCTGTGGGCAGATCTTGCGAGCCCAATGTGACCAGACAAGAGAAAGATCAAGGACAACAGCAGAGGATGCAGGAAAGAAAGGACAGGAAACCATGCTTTAGGGCATCTATGGCTGTAGCATAACAGCGAGAATGGGAAGGAGAGGAGTCACGTGGCTACCGGAGGATCAACAACATGCTGACGTAATAACTGATACTCCATTTTAGTTGTCATGTTGTGCTCACATCGACCAGAGCAGTTCTAAGAGTCTAACTGGTGTCTCTTCACTGCCCTCCAAACAATCCCCAGCACAACAATACTGGCTTGTTACAGGTTATAAATGGCTTCTACATCTCCCAGGGCTCCGTCTCCCTCTGCTAAGGCCCCCGCTCTTCCAATAGCATGCTCCATTGTGCCAGGGCTGATGCATTGCGCATGCTGAGCTTATGGCAATCATGCACTTCGATGACCTATTGCGTGGTGTTGATAACATCACTCTAATGTGAGGTGTGTATGACCCTCTGCATATGGGGGATGATGCATAATTCACTCGTTTGCTTAGCACACGATCCAAGACGTCTCCAGCCAGAAAGGTGAACATCTGCAACTGGATAAGCCATGCATGATGGATTCAGATACTTGTTGGGCATGTCAGCTGATAAAACTGGAGCTAGCACGCAGATGTGCAAGGGATTTTATTTTAGTATATGACTGGCATTGTGGGTATGTGCAAGTAAGGATACTATAAAGGTTGGAGATGGACAAAAATACACACATCACAAACTTGAAACACGAGGAAACTTGTTTTCAATCTGAGACACCGAGGAGAGGTGCACATGCATGCAACACAGTGCATGAGAGTGTATGAGGGTGCACATGCATGCAACACAGTGCATGAGAGTGTATGAGGATGCACATGAATGCACAAAAATGCATGTGCGTGCATGGCCATGTGCTCACGTGAGCCGAAGTGCAACTAGGGTTATGTGGACCATAGCATATATGCTTGGCGGGTACAATTTCTTCATTTCTTTTATGCTGCAATATAAATAATAATAACTTATATATTATAATAGCTTACTATTTATATGAGACTTGGAACTATATACAGTATTACAAGTTTACTAGTTTCTAAACTGTCTGCTTGGTCAGACAGTGCGAGACTTATTAGATTATATCTGGTGCCTGTAATCAAGCCAGAATTTGAAGAGATGGCCTCTGAAGCCATGCCACAAGGTGGCTGGAAGCTTTGTTCACCCAAACTCAACTCATATTGGACTGGGATGCTCTTCTCTTTTAATCTGTCTGAGCATGAAGACAGGACAGGGCATTTGGAGATGGCCCCTGTGGCCATGCCACAAAGTGGCTAGAAGCAGTTATATTCCAGGCTCCACTCATTCTCAACTGGGAAGCTCTTTTGGTCTAGTCTGTCTGAGCCAGAAGACAGAACAGGGCTTTTGGAGATGGCCCCTGTAACCATGCCACAAAGTGGCTGGAGGCATTTATGACCTAGGCTCCACTCAATCTTAACTGGGTTGCTCTGCTTGTTCAGTCTGTCTGAGCAAGACAGGGTAGGCCTTTTATAAATGGTGCCTCCAATCATTCCATTCCAGAAGTTGGGCTCAAGATTTATATCAAAGGTTTATAAGGTGATTTTGTCTAAGAAAGTGCCAGTAGAAGCTACCAAAAGGTAGCAAGCAAGGTAGAAGATCAGGGGCAAGCCAAATCTCCATGAAGACTTGGAGAAGTTACACTTGTGAAGCATGTTGTGAGCAGAGATGATGGTGGTTAAGGTGAAAGAAGTGTATGAGGTGTATTTACCCTTTTCAGTTGGGTCTGAGGTGGCAAATTGCGC